TAGGCCAAGTTCTCGAGCTTTGGCTCAATGCTTCAGTTCTTCAAACTGCTAAAGCTATTGCAATGAACTTGTATTCATTAGCTTCATGATATTAAATCATACAAACTAAGTACACAGCTCTACAGTCTTTAATATTTAGTTCTTAACAACGGCATTGACAAAGGACCTTACTTTGTATTTTCTATTGCTTGAAGCACATAAAAGCATCTTTTAATTCCTTTCCTGATTTTTTTCCCCTTTTATATTGAAAATGTATTTTTCTACTTCCCCGTGACATTGAATTTATTGCTTTTTCATGTTATAATCTTTCCTATTCAACACTTTTAAGCATATGAAGTAAAAACACTTGACCCCTGAAGTTAAGAGTTCCAGCAAATTGCTAATTTTAAATTCAACCGGAATATTTTATTTTCTATGACGTCAATTTACGATTCTGTGATATTTTAATATTTGGAAGGTTAATTTGGTTCATTGAGCCTTAATAGATTCATTTAAGATTTGCAAAGACTTTGTTGAAATATTACTTCACCCTTGCAAAAACACGTTGTTTGTGGAAACTAAGATTTTACCGATTTTACTCAAGCAAAAGAGAAAGCGGCGTTATCAGAAAAAGATTAATTTCATATTGCGATAAGAACAGCAAGTATTATGTTGTTAATGTAAAGAAAATACGCAGCAAGATTCACCACAATACACAAAAAATATTCTAAAGCATTAAGAATAAAGTTAAAGAGTTTTGCTCTTCTTTGTTCCTTATCAAAATTTTTCACTCATAGAAATCCAGGCAGTTGACGCATTGCTTATGTCATCGCGAGCATATGGCATATAATAGCATTTTTTATGAAAGAAAAATGTTTAGAAGCAAAAGAACGAGAATCTTTGCATTCCCTCACAATGAAGCTGTTCCATGCCGCGATACATATACATATTGCGTGAAAAGAAGATTATCGTAGACATTTCACGCTAGGCATTGAGAACAGAAGAGGGAGGAAAAAAAATGACAAATTTCATAACATTTTCACACTTCCTTACATCGAATGTACATTTTTCCTTCTTTCTCTTTCTCATGACTACAAAGTTGTCGCTAACTGAAAAATGAAATATAAAAGCGTAATGATATAGGATAAAAAATGAATATTTTTTTCACTATGTTAATCTGACTGGAAATTTAATTTTCTCGTGGAGCATTTTTGCTTCTTTTATTCCATCATAGCCAAGAAATGGTGAAAATGTGAAAATTTTCCATTTGCAAGGTAATGGAGAGGAATCAAATCGGATTAAAATATTTAAAAGGGAATGAGGAAGATCAGTGATAAGAACAACCTCAAGCATTTAGGACAAAATAAGACCAAATTAAATATTTAAACTTCATAATTCAACATTTCCTAAAATATTCAATGTGTTAAGCTTCTTATTAATCAGCCCGCGATTTAATTTCATGTTACTAGCTCGGATTCTATTTGTATCTCTCATCCTTTTTGCCGCAATTTTTTTGCACAGTAGATACGTGATAGTACAAAATAGCAGCAGCAACAAAAACATAAAGGCAATCAATCTCATTATAAAAGCAGCATAATTAAATAGAAATGAAGAGGTTTTTACATCTGATAGAGGATAGAAGAGTCTAAAAAGCACTTTAATTAGCACAAACGAAATCTAATTAAGGAATGTTTTAATTAGATTTGAAGTTCGCTGTAGGTCATCATTTTAATTGAAAAGTAAATCATATCTGATGGATTTATGCAGAAATAACCACCATCATTATTTTCATGAATTTTCATTTTAATCTCCTTTTTCAGTACTACTTATAAACTAGCTAGTCATTTGGCTCATTAGCTTTTTGTGTATTCCCTTTTATTCAATTAATCTCTTCTTGATTTTTAATTTTAGAAAAGCTTTTATGCTTGTTTGTCTCTACTCCTCAATTTATGTGTAGCAGAAAGTCTTCAATCTTTCGTATTTTAAAATGATGAAAAAGATGTACAGAAGTAGAAGGGAAATTAAAGCGACAGGTGCTGCAAAAATTTTGATGTATAATGAACATATTAAAGAAGTATCGTTTATGTCATTCCACTGAATCTACGACTTAAAACAATTTTCTTTTAACTTTACATTTGTATGCAGCTAGTTGGAGATATAAAATTTCTCTTTAAAAAATCAAGTCATTTAGTGATGATTTTAGAACTTTTTTATGTTCTCATAAATTAATATTTTAATGTTTATGCGTCACTAGGCTCATTATGGATTATTATAAATTATCATTTCCTAAAGCATTTATTAACTGCTCATAATTCTTTAATTTGATTCATATTTGTAGCATTTTCATGAGAGTCTCTATCAGTTTATGACGTCCAATATTCAATCAGTATTTTTTTTTGCACTTTTTTTTGGAACGAACCCCAATTGACCCAACAACCGAAAGACTTTAAAAGCGTGTAACAATTTCAATTTAAACCACAGGAACAACTTTTTTTGGTTCAAAATCTGTGACCAAAATGGAAATTCAGTAAGTGTTTTCAATTTACTCATCCATTAAGCAATTCACAGTAATGTTATTGCATGAGATGAAATTAATTTCGCTAATGGAGGAAAAATTGGCATTAAAATTAAATTCTTTCGGTCATGAAAAAAAAAAGTTTTTCAATATGAATAAAAAAGCAGCTTTTTGATGTTTTTTCTCTCTTCTCTCCCATTTCATGTGGTTTTCAGTTTAAAAATCCGCATTCATAGTTATTATCCGAATGTTACTTTGTGTTTAATCTCATATGTACGGACTGTGGATTTTTGTGTAATTTTTTTAATATCTTTGTTATTCTTTAAATTCAATGAACATAAATGCAAGTTTGGAACTGCTGGTATGCTTTGCAAAACGGAACGATCATAAGGAATCTGTATAAAAATATTCCGCTTTGGTAATTCCATTTTTCAAAAGCATTCATCAGCACGAGCTAGCCAAAAAAAGAAGAATTTAACTTTAAATTTTTTCAACTTCCATTTTCATTTTTATGTGGATTCTTTCATATCAAGATGTTAACAGAGAATCAGGTTAGGGGCTGTTCATGAATTACGTACATCAAAATTAAGTTGTATTGAGGAAATTTTATTTTATTCGATTCAAGAACCCCCAACAGCGTGTTAGACGTCATTTACAAACAAGTGCTTATGAAAACGAGGAAGCAAAAACTTTTTTTAAAGAATGTATATGAAGTTTTCCCATACATATTCTGTTTATATCAAGAATGGGGAGAAAATATTTTAAAATCATAGCTGGAAGCATGAAAAAAGTTTGGGAAAGAGAAATAAAAAGGCTAATGATAGTATAAAGAAGATAATTTTTTTGACAATTGTCTGCAACATGTTTGCTCCTTTTTAAAAGAGATCTTGATTATAAAGACTTTATTTCTAGGTAAAGAAAAACTTTTTTCCTTGTAAAAGGAATTGTACATTTTAATTAAAATGTCGTTCATTTAAAAAAGGGCTCTTTTTTGAGTTGTTTCATGAAGAATTTAAGGAAATAATGAAATGCTAATTGATGAAAAGGATTTAAACACTCGAAAAATGAAGAAAACATTGATATTTAAGATATAATTTAAGCAACAAAAAAACTTGTATAGGTAGCTCAATTTCAGAAATTATTATGCAAATGCTGTTCATTATAAATTATTCGCTCAATATTTAAATTTTTAAAGCAATAGAATGATTAAACGTAGAAGTAGAAAGCAAATAAATGAGAAATAATCAGCACTTCATGATACTTAAAGCTATAAATCTACATAATCGTTAACAGCTTTTTCTTTTAACATGACAAAAGCATTTTTAATTCTCTTCACAAACTTAACAATAAATTCTGACACGCGACACGAGATGAATTAAAAGAAAGTGTAAGTTCTGTCATATTCATTAAGTGACAAAATGAAATGAAAAAGGAGGATTTAGTTTTCTCACGTTTCGCGTCACATTCATGAAAAAGTTTTTAATCATAAATGTGTAAATTTACTTGTAGTTTATAAGTGAAATGCATGGGAGTGTCACATAAAATAACATACTTTTTTGACACTTTATTTACAATGTAGCAAATTGCAATTTTTTATGGATTTTCATCAAGTACGGTGGTGGATTAACTTATTAATTCCACAAAAAAATCCCAAAAACAACATCCATTAAGAGAATCACAAGCATTTGCATCATTAATGATATTGTTAATTATAATTTTCTCATGTTGTTCAACGCCCAAGCATTAGTTTAATGACAACTGTGATCACAAATGTTTTACTTCCTTACAATCATCCAAAAACATTTAAAATTATTGCTCGCCATCTGCTTATAATTTTGAATAATTTCGCTCAACAAGCTTCCAATTACTTTATAAAGACACGACAACAATTTTAGGTAATGAATATTCTTTTATATAAAGTTGGAAGTATGAAGAATATGTTTGTTGCGGAAATTTAAAGCAACAAATTAACTCAAGTCAGAATTACACTTCGTTGTTGTTTTGTAAAACATTTAATGATTTTCTGGATAATCCAAATTTATTCTCGTACTCCAAACTTTGAGTTTAATAATTTAATAAGCAAAAAGCCCCATTTACTTACAGTTTTTTTACAGCCTTCGATCAATTTAGTGGTTAATGTTATTAAGGTAGAAAACTAAATGGAATGTTCTTTAACCACCAGCATTGCAATTAAGTATCCCCACAGATAATAAAAAAAATGTTTCAACATATTTAATAGCCGTATATTTTATTGAGATATGAAGCATCATATTTCTCTCCTTATTGTACTCAAGAGACTTTAATGAAATATTTTTAAGCATAAAGAAAATTAGCCAGAAAGACATAAGCTAGCTCAAAGTAAATAATTACACTAAATTGTCCGGCTCCTTTATACTTTGTAAAAATATTTTTTTCATCTCCACGCAACATTAATCTATTTAACGTGTATCGAATCGAAACATAATTTTTTGTAAATTTGCTCAAATAATAAAGTTTAATGACTTACCTTCAATATTATGAGTTAGAGAATTAACTGAATTTGATATTACAAGTTTGTCAAGTGTAAAACTTCGGAAAGTATGCTCTTCTTCCTTATGTGAACTATGTAGAGTTTCTACAACTTCTTGTTTAAACTGTTCTTCCTCTTGTTTGCCGTTTGTATGATAATAGTGTCCGTTTTTCTTTGTTTCGACACCGTTAGATGTGATGTAGTTATTTGTATGATCTCTTTCAGTGTTCTACAAATTTATTTGTTTATAAATTATTTGGAATCAAACTGAATATCTCGTTTATTACTCACCAGGAACTGATCTAGTGATGATTGGATTTGAGTGTATTTGTTTGTTTCTCTTACAGTTGATTCAGTATATTCTTCTTTTGAGTAGCTGACTTTTGTATGCTTTTCGATGGCAGTCACTTCTTGTAGCTCCTCGCTCGATGATAGACTTTCTACAGCCTTTAATTGAAATAAAGTAGACGATTTTTTGGTATGAATTAAATGTTTACTGCTTAAAGTTTAGTTATAAGACTAGACGACATGTGTTGACGGTGATACATGAAGAGATTTAAGTATGAAGCATTAAATTTCCTTATCACATTCAATCATGCTCAACTTTTCATCATTTGTACTATTAACATCTTTTTCACAATGTCTATATACTAAATCTCAAAACAAGCTAGGTTAGCCTTGCTTTTCCTATACACGAATCTTTGTGCTTATATAAGCACATAAGAAAATTGAAGAAAAAAATCCGAAAATTAAGTGTGTGATGAAAAGGATGAACAGGAGATATCTTTGGTATCTAATAATTTACTCCACACATCATAAGAGTATGATTTTATTGAGATTCAAATGATTTATTGTAGCTTATCTGAGATATAAGAAGAAAGAAGAACTTGTTGTGATAGAGAGATAAAAGAGACTACCTGCAATGCATTTACATCAATAGTAAACATCATTGTAAAAATCATACATTAATAACTATATCTAACATCTGCTTGGAGCAATTACAAGAATTCGCTTAAATCAAGTCACTAATCGTTCAGTCAGCAAGATAGCAACACATGATATGTTTAATAATTTTTTTAAAAAGAAATTCACACATAAATCCCTTTAATGTTTCCAAATTAATCTACAATTTTAGCAATTAATCAACTCAAGTGCTGATTTTCTCGTTTCATATTTTTTTCTCACATAAAAATTTTTAAACCACGATATTAATTATCATATACGTTAGTGATAAAAAAATCTTTACGCCTCTGAAATAATATTTTGAGGCATTGTTGATCATAAATTCCAATTATTTTAATATTTCAGCGAGATAATGATAATTAATCTATTTTTAAATGCTATCAACAGAATCGAGATGGTCCTCGTTCGTAAAAAAAATTAGCACTCAATATTGTAGAGAAAGAAAACAAACGAAATGAACAAAAATCAATCTTTTAAAAGCATTTAAAAAATTCTCAACTTCATTTTCTTCATCAAACATACCCGGATTATGAGTAATGGCTCTATAAATTTTGGCATATTTTCCACAAAATATGATTTGTGTGCTTGTAATCATCATGATTTTTAATAAAAAATGAATCATATGATGTGAACGTGTGTGTCATAAAATCACTCTAAAATTTTTACATCGTCAAAAAATGTGTCGCTTCCATTCTTCGTGCTAGAAAAATCTTTCAACTTTTATTATATTTTTCACATGTTATTCGCTAAACGTATAAATGCAAAGAAGAATAAAAATACTTTTGTTTATCACTCCTTCTCAATGTTTAAGCTGTCAAACTCAATTTTTATAATAATTTCCATCAAGTGAGTCACATGGACGCGGTCCATTGAGTAATATCAAAAATGTTGGAGTCTATAAGATTAGATTTTTACGAGCACAGAATTTTTATAATTAAACGAAGGTCTAGAGTTGAGATCAAGTCATTTTGAAATTAAATGCTTGATGAAAAAGTTATGGAAGCATAATTCACGTCTGTTGACTAAAACACACAAGAAAAAGGTTCCTCGAGAAACTAATTTTTCTCTTAGTAATTACTTAATTCAGGGTAGATGTTATAATAAAAATAAATCAAAGGAAAAAAAACTGCGAATGTTGCATGCAAGTTGCAAATGCAATGATCTAAACGAATGCGTGCATAAAGTGCACTTCCTCAATAACAAATAATATTCATCATACTAAGTTTAAATGTTTCTAAGCAAAAGCAAATGTGAATTAAATATTTTTACAATATTTATTGCCTTACAACTGAAATTTCATGCTTAATGTTCCGAAATTTTATGACAAACATCATTCATCTTAAATTGTATCTGAGAGTTTTTTACGAATGAAGGAAAAATTATCAAGATGAAATGAGTTGAAAAATTCTTTTCAATCTAAAATTATAAATTCCCTGTCGAGAAATATGCCTGTGCTTGTTCCTCTATTAAGTGTGATATGTACGACATACTGAATTAATAATGAACACATTTATGCTTTCTCATCATTCCAATTTTTTTTTTCTTCTTTTGGATCCACTTAAACACTTCGGAACTGTAGTTTTTCTTTCTATTTAATTCATTTATAATTTTACTCTCTACAAAGCAGAACTCAACAAGTCGCTAGCCACTTCTTTTTCTTCAACAAAATTTTATTTGAATAGAATGAAAATTTCATTAATTTTCGCATTTAATAAGCTACTCAAATTAGTGTAGCGTTAATCTAAATTCTAAAAAGAAGTTAAAATAGAGAAGTTCTCAGTCAGCGCGATCGATGTTGAAATGAAAATAAAAAGGGGGAAGGCGATGAGAAAGAAGAAAAACATGACAGAAAATTTCAATAAAAATTCCAGAATGATGTAAAACAGAAAAAAAAGTATATCTAGCGGGTGAAAAAAATGTCTCATCGCAGGTTGTATAGCTTACTGCTTGAATGCAAATTCATAAATTAAAACATAATAATTTAATTAAAGTAGACTTCAAAGATATTAAATGCTTCTAATAAGTTTTCAACACCTTTTGAAAGCTCTGATGTAGTTGAATCCAGATGAATTTAAAATATTAGCTGTTGTTGATTTGTCACGTAGATATTAGATTTTTGTAGCAATTTTGGAGTTTGACAAATGGATAGTATCGATAATTTTTTCATTCTATTGAAAGATTTGAAATTAATCAGAGATTAAAAACTTATCTAAATCAAATTAAGCAGTTGCGTATCCTTGATTGTGAGGGTAGTAATTCCCCTCAATATTTAATGAAGATGGAGACGATTTTCAGACTTTTCAACTACTTTTAATTGGTTTCCTAGAAGCTTGGTTGCTTTTTTTGTTGGCCGAAGAGATCAGTTCTGATCCGTTGCTTCCATTATTCTTTGCCTAAAGCTGACTCTATCACTTAAAACCATCTGACACTTCACGATTCCAAGCGCAACAATTTCCTTAACCAAACCAACAAATCATCGGGATATTTTTAAAATATTATTACATTACCTTAAGCAATTATGTCCAAGCACATGTTCAGATCATTTCGGACATGACTCTCTTAAAGAATTTCTACTAATTTTTAGCTTTCAAATGAATCTAATGACTACGATTATTGATTATTATAGACTTTGTTGTGTCAAACAAGTAATTATTCATAATAATAACAAGATGTTGAAAGGCATTACACTTTCTAAATCATCATTTTTTCGTTCATCTCTAATCCCCGTGAGTATATCAAGTTTCCAAAGAAAAAAAATATACAAAATATGAAAAAATATTAATAATAAAGGAATAAGAAAACTCCGAAAATTTGTAACATTTAAATGTTTCACTTTTTTCCGGTGATGAAGATATTTCATTCATATTTTGTCATGTATATTTAAACGACGATATTGCCAACGATTTAACCATCAACGATTAATAAATCATAATTTTCATCATGATCGTGTGTTTCTTTATATATTTTTTGAATAATTTAAAGAAATTATAATTCACTTCGCAAAATTTATTAGGATTTAAAAAACGAGGGATCTGGAGAAAATATATCTACATGTTGTACATCTCAATTTAATATCTTTTAATCAAAATGTTTAAACTGTCTTAAAGATGAAATGAAATGGAATTATAGCATTGGTGATAAATTAGCGGATATTTGTTTATAAATATAATTTCAATATTGCTTTTCCATACCCAGATTATGACGAATATTCAATAAAAAGTATTAAGCAACGCAACAACAGAAATTGTGTGATATCATCACATACCACTTCCATCACCCAAGCATCGGATCATAAATTTTCAAAAATAAACATTTTCATTTAGAGTAGCCCTGTCGAAATGTATGATTGTGCTGGATGAAAGATTTGAAATATCTTTACGATATCCATGATGATGTAGTAAGTTGGAAACTAGCACGTAAAAATGTAGGACTACACGCTTCACGCATGTTTGACTTTTTATGTTCGGCAGCATGGTATGATTAATAAGAAATGATATTTGACGTAATGTGAAAGATATTGATATATACCCCATGATCTAGGGATTTGCATAACCTTACGAATCATGTCAATTGTCTATTAAAATTGATTGGCATTGTTTGATGTTCAATTTTAGTTTTAAAATATATTCACAAAAATTGAAAATTTTGTGTGAATATGAATGCTTGCATGTGATTTTTATGAATTCAACAATGAACAAGATTGAAGTTTTTTAAGCGCATCTCATCGGTTGAGCCATCTATTCTATTTTGGTTATTTTTGAACCTGTAAAAAGTAAATTTTTTCTAATATTTTTAATTTTAGCTTGAAATCACTTTGACTGTTCTTATCACGGTAAGACAACAGACATATCATATTTAATTCTTAGTGACATTATCATGATTTGAAGGATCATCAAAATTGCGCAAGAATTCTTTTGGAACTTTTAAAGTTGTAATCAATAAAAAAAATCATAATTAAGAACACCTCAAATTTTATGAATGAACATCGAGACTATCAAATATCAGCCTTAATTATAAAGCAATTCCGTTCCAAGTTTAATTAGGAAAATTATCATTTAATAAATGATTTAATGAAATTTTCACGAGTTTAACATCAAGAATTACATCATTAATCATTCATGGAAATTGTAGCAAATTTATCTCAGCTTCGCGGAAGTTTTATTTTCCCGTTTTGCTCCTTAACTTCCTTCAAAGACTTTTCCACAAAGAGAAAAGCTTCTTCTTATGCCTCTGTACTTCAAAAACTTTTCTCTTTAATTAATTGCTCACTTCTTTCAATCATCCGTTATTAATTAAGATTTTAATTAATAATTAACAAAATACTAATTTTAAGAATAAGAAGACACGAGGAGAAAATGTTCCTGCAACAATATTTCAGTTTCAATTTCCATTTCCACAATCTTTTTAAAAATTTTTTTTCTCATCGTCGCATCACTGAAATTTTCAGCATGAAAGCATAAGCTAATTTTATATAAAAAATTTATCTCGATGTACTCAAGGTAGATTGACATTTTTTAAGGATTTTGTTGCTGTTTCTGCTGCTTCTTCATGAATATTGAAGTATGAATGAGTCACGATCAATGACTTTGTGGAATCTTAACGAATCAAATGTTTTAATTAATGCATAAAGACTATCCAGAAAATCGTATTGATTCCTATTTCCTAATGAATTAATCACAATTATTAAATGGCTCACTAATTGAATTTTCCACTTAATTACTTGACAAATTATTCCGAAAAAACTAGCACTTTGATTGATTAATCGTTTCTCTAATCCTTTTCATCACAGTATTAACACTTGTTGCTTATATTTATCATAATAAGAAGCCCATTAGTCCCATTAAAATAATTTATTCTACAATCAGAAACATACTTAAAAGAGCACTTAAAACTTGCGAATAAAAAATAAATTTTCCAGAAGAAAAATCTTCCAAATTGATTTCTTCTCGTCACAAGCAAACAACCAACTAACCGATCTTCGTGAAAATCAACAATATACTTCACTGAGTGATCACATTTTTTGCCTCGAGATCAATTTTCATTTTCATTCGAGACGGAAATTAAAGCTAGTTTTGAGACTTTTCACGGAAAGATGACGCTACGTGTCGGAAAATCCAAACGGAAAACTAGAAAATTTTTCTTATTTTTTAAAATCCAAAAGAAGATGCTTTTTGAGATTGAAACTTTTCATAGCTGAAACTTAAAATTTTTCATTTTTTTCAAAGCCGTTAAAAATTTCACAAAAAGCACTTCCAATTAAAAAGCATGAATCTTTGCAAAAAGAAAAATCAATTTTTCTACAAATGATTTTTTTAAAGTTTGGTGATGAATGTTAATGTCTGATTTTAAGTTATTAGTAGCACAAATAAAACACAAAAATCTTAATGTTAAGTTAGAATTAAAAACAGCAAATAGTCACGACAAACGCATGCAGATAAAGTTCGAACAAGATTGCCTGTTTTATTGCAATAAAATAAATAAATTTTAATATTTTCCTTTTTTAACTTTCACCATCTAACATCTTTTGTTCTTGTGTGTATATGAATAAATAAATAATTTTGTGTAAATATGTGTGTTTGAGTATATTTTCCAAAAGAATTTTTAGAACAACCATCACCAATCAGTAGAAACGTTAATTAATTTTTTTATTACAAAGTTCATGATTTTTTTGATGAAAAACATTTTTATGACATTTTTTATAAATTAAATAAATATACCAACACCGAGAATAAATAAAAAGAGGTATGCGACTTCATGAGAAAGAATGAAGATATTAGAGACGTCGTGGGACCAAAAAACAACTTGTTAAGACTCTTGAGTCGATAGTATAATAAGTAGTAATAAACGTTGACTTTTTTAATAGTTTAAAAAATTATTTTACCGTCATTCGCATCAAGCCATTTGGAACTTGCTTTCCTCCAAACTTGACATCAACATCATAAGTGCCTGGCTCTGTAAGCATGTAGAAGATATCGAAGAATCCATCTTTTTCAACAATCTCTGTATCAATTGCCCTAGAATTGAAACATAAAGTTCAAAATTAAGCTATCGTATTACAATCCATAATAATTATTGTTGCAACTTACTTTCCGTCAGATGATTTATTGATTCTGCAAGTGACATTTCCTGCACCTGCTTCTCTTGCATCAACTGTCAATCGATTCTTCTTGCCAAAAATTACTTTTTCAGCAGCATTATTGACAAACTTGCATTTATTGGCATCTCCTGATGCATTTGATTCTAAAATAAATGGTGAACCTTCAATTTCCTTACCAGCGTATAAAACGGAAACGCTATAAATAAAAGAATACATTTTAAAAATCTCTAAAATGACTTAATTAGAAATAATACTTACTTGTATGGTCCTAATTCATCGGGTACGAAGCTTACTGAATATTTTCCATCAGCTCCACGTTCTAATTTTGGTATCAATGGCTTGCCTTGTGGATTTGCAATGACAACACGAATTTCACCATTTCCAGCTTTGCTTGTATCAACTTGGAAGGATGCAGGAACTGAAGCGTTCAAGCTCTTCTTTGAAATATCTCCAGACATGACCAAATTTCCACTCTTAATTGCAACTGGTGGCAAAACACGCATAACAAATGGAGAATGAGGGACATTTTGCTTAGCAAATGAGACTTTAGCTGTGATTGTTGTATTTTGTTTTGGTGGGATGAAAGTTACTAAATAATTGCCATCACCACGTTCTTCTACTTCGTAATTTTCAACTGCACCTCCTTCGCTTGAAACCATTTCAACTCCAATTAATCCAGCGCCAGCATTCTCGACATTAATAAAGAAACTAGCTGGAATTCCTTCGTAAACTTGAAGAGTTTCAACAGCTGGACCATAGAGCTTAACACTGCGATAATCTCCAGTTAAAACTTGTGTTGGACCGTCAATAAGAATCTTAAATGGAGAGCCCGGAATGTGCTTATCAGCAAAACGAACTGAAATATCATAAACACCGGGTTCAGTTGGTAAAAATTCAACATCGCATGATCCATCACGATTATCAACACATGACATTTTGGCTTCTGATGGTCCTTCAATTGCAAAAGATAAACCTCCAATACCAGCTTCACGAGTTGATACAGTAAATTTAGCTTTTTGATTGATTTGTCCTCCTTGTAATCCAGCTCCAAATGCTTTACAACGGCTTGGATCGCATCCACTTTTAACATGAATAACAAATGGAGAACCAGGAACTGGGACATTATCATAACTTAATTCAATTGTATGACGTCCAGCTTCAAATGGTGTATAAAGGATTTTAAAGACCTCATTCGTAGATATAATTTTACTTGGGACATTTTTGCCACTTGGTGCTGTAATTGAGCATGTTAATTTGCTAGTATCAATTTTCTGTCCTAACTTTGCCATGTCTACTTTGAATTCAGTCTGTCCATTCATAACGACACCTACGAGAAATAAATAATATTTAAACCTTTAATGCTTGAATGATATAAAAGAAATTATTCATTAAAGATAAAGAATGGTTATGACGAGTTACGAATCAAAGATGAAGAAGAAAAAAATATTTTTTTGTTATGATAAAAAAACAGCAAAGTCCAATAAAAATTGTGTGAAAACAACGAAGCAAATGGAATGTTAAGAAAAATATAAAATATAAATGAGTCGCCAAAATATGGTTCTAGTAAAAAAAAGCACGGCATTGTCTTGAATCGTATTATTGCCAGTAGTAGTTAATAGAGAAAATAAACAAAAATATAAGGGAACAACAGCAAAAAACAATCCATGCTGGAAATCACATCGCAAAAAAACGACAAACTCAAAAACTACAATACACAACTGCCGAATTGGATTTACCGTGCATTTCAATTCCCGTGCCACAGACGGTAACGCGCTCTAAATTTGGTACGGGATAAATCATAACTTGAAACGGAGATCCTGTTATGTGATAATCATTAAATGTAACATTGACTGTATAATGTCCACATTCGGTTGGCCAATATGCAATATTGCATGTTCCATCACCATTATCTCTACAATTTAAATGACATTCACTAGGTCCTTCAACAGTCACGCCTAGAGCACCTTGTCCGGCAGCTCTTGTATCGATTATAAATTCAGCAGGTTTATTTACTATTCCGGAATGAAGGCCAGGTCCAGTGGCAAATACTTTTTTGGGATCACTTTCTTTTAGGCAGTGTAATAAATATGGTTCAGTCAATAATGGAATTCCTCCAAATGTTATAAATAATAAATACTGTCCCACTTGTGTCGGTGTAAAATTTACTAAAAATCCATCTTCTGTATTGATTATGTGAGCTTTTAATCTATTTCCCGATGGACTTGTTATCGTCACTTGTAAATCCGCTGCTTTAACATCATTCGTTACAATACGAAATTGCTGAAGACTATTCACTGGTGCAGCTATTTTTATTTATAGTGAATTCATTAAAATATCATCATGTCAATTGAGAGACATTGAATGTTACTTATTTTCATTCGTTCAATTTTTTTATCGTTGGTTTAACAGAAAGCGACAATTAAGATCAGAAAAAAAAGGAATTCTGGCAATAATAAATGAATGATGGGAAATGATGCATAATGCTTTTGAATATTTATATATTTTTTTGAAACTTATTTTAAGACCGATCAATCTGAAATCCATCATGAAATCCCATCATGTTGCTGAATATTATGTAAACAATATTAACATTAGATAAAAATGACTAGTAAAAAGGCACCAAGGCATCAAAAGAAAATTTCGAATGCTCTTTTTAAAAATGATTTTGTTTTTTTCATCTAGCGAATGAATGTCTCGTATTTCTATGCATAAAAGGTTAGACAAGAACTTAAAAAGATTCCACTTACTCTGTTCTAATCCTTCAACTTGAACTTTCGAGACATCAACTGTGCTGGTTTGTGCACTTGTAATGACTGTTTTCTTATTGAATGGCACTTTTAATCCTCCATAGGTCAAGTTTGTTGTATAAGTTCCTGGAGTTTCTGGCGTAATTTCAACAGTATAAGTGTTGTCTTCATTATCAATCAAATTGACTGGCACTGCTTGTTTTGTGGCATCATTGATTACACTGACTTCCAAATCTCCATTACCAGCCTCACTTTATTAGGGAAAATTAAATCAAAATAAATTTTAATACATTAAATTACTTTAGAAGAACTTACGCGGCATCGATTATGAAATGAGTTGCTTGATTAGGTTTTACATCTGGATTGTCAACAAATGGTCCGAAAACTTGAACTTTTGATGGATCTAATGGAGCATTTGCATAGATACGGAAAGGAGAATTAGGAACGGCAACTCCTCCATAATTGACTTCAACCGTTAATGGTTTTGTTGTTGTAGCTGTATAATAGACTTGCTTAACATTCTCAGATGTTTCTACTACTTGCACTGCAACTGGTCGTCCAATACTATCGCTTACTTTAACTTCCAATGGTGCAACACCTGCTTGTTTATGATCAATTGTAAATTGAGTCTTTTTACCGACATCAACACTATTTGGTTCAATGCCTTGACCATAAACTTTGACACTTTCAGGATGAATGTCAGATGGAGAAACGATAACTTGTGACATAAATGGACTCTTTGGAATATCCTCTTCATCGCACAAAATATGTACAGCATATTCACCAGGAGCTGTTGGATGATAAGTAACCAAAGCACTTCCATCACCATTATCATGGCATTCAATTTTAGCTTGACTTGGACCAGCGACTGAGAATCCTAAAGCACCAGTTTCGCCATTTGTTTCAACGACAAATCTTGCAGGCTTATTAACAATTCCACTATGAAGACCTGGTCCGAAAGCTTTTATAGATGACTCCTTCTTTGGACCAACTACGACATCAAATGGTGATTTTGGGATTTCTTGACCAGCAAATGTTATCATGACACGATATCTGCCTTCCTTTGTAGGCTTATAATATCCATCAAATGTAGAGTTATTGATACCTTTAAGTTCAAATTGAGTATTTTGACCTCCAGGTCCGAGAATTTGAACATGTGGAACTCCATCGCCTGCTCCTTCAGTTGAAATTCTAAAATCAGCAACATCTCCAATTCTAACGCCTGTTGGTTGTAAACCACGTCCAAAAGCACGAACTTTCTTCGAATCAGATGTTGGTGCAACACGAACGCCAAATGGTGAGTTTGGAATTGCTTTTCCAGCATAAAATACGTTAACAGAGTGTAAACCAACGGCACCAGGTGTATAATCACATCTCCACAAGTTATTTTCAATTTGACGAACTTTAGCTGCAACAGATGTCTTATGACCTTGTGGATCTAAGATAATAACTTCAGGTACGCCTTTTCCTGCATCCTTAGTGTGGATATCAAAGTATGTTGGACGTTTAACCATAACACCATCAGCTTGTAAACCTGGTCCACTAGCTGTAACTAATTCTGCATTTCCAGCAACACCCTCGACTTTAACGTCGAAAGGACTCTTTGGAACATCGCGACCATTAAAGTTGACAACGACTTTATGTTGACCTTCCATTTTTGGGATATATGAAACAGAATATGTCAATGCCTTATCATTATTGAAACGACAATCAACTTGTTCTGGTAAACCATTTGGATTCAAGACAGTTACTTCAACATTTCCTATTATCAAGCAATTATTACATTATAATTAAAGTCAAAAAGGAATTTAAAGGCATAGAAAAGCTCACCCTTTCCAGCAGAGAAAGTTTCGACCGTAAAATTAGCTGGAGCGCCAACGATTGGTCCTGAAGGCTCAATTCCTGGTCCATAGCAACGTACTCTATAAAATTGTTAGCAAAACATTTTTAAAAATGCAAGAACATCAACACACAGCGAGCAATAAAGTAAATAAATGAAACTCTGACTATGATTACCACTACTGAATTGGTTAGTCCATATTTATAACATTTATAGAGAAGCAATTAGAGATAAAAAGTAATTTTGAGAGAGTTAAATTTAACAACATAAGAGAATCCGAATGAGACATTAAATAAAAGAGTTCAATCTTCATGCGAACATCAGACAATTAGTTGCCTTCTTCTTTCTTCCTTAATATAATTTTTTATCATCAACAATTTATTCACGGCCATTCAATATCAATAAAGGGAGAAGAAAAAAAAAATCAATTCATGAACCAACAAATAACGTCATTTAAGCAGACTGCATGGAATTAGTAAACGTCAATGAACCTCATACTTATTACCATAAAATACAATAATAATAATAGTAATTTTTGGCATCAATATTAATTAACTGAATAATATACCATTAAATTAAAGAGTATTAAGGATGTCAGAATTAAATGAAATAGCAATTAAACGCAAAAATAAGCATTCGCATATCATTCGCCTAAGTTGTCCATTTTTTGTTTCTAAAAACTTTACTCACCGCGGAGGTGGAACACTATGTGTTTAAAAATAAGGATTGAGATAAGAGAAAGATGAATAGATGGAAAGTTTGTGAATGTAATGAATTACTAGTATTTTTCTTTCAATGATTATTTGAGGATTTTTTTTAGGATTTTAAACCTTACCTATTTGGATTAGTACGTTGTCTAATTGGAGCACCACCCTTCAATTTGGCACTTGGATATTGTGAAAGATATGTCATCATTGACTGTTCGTCAATATTTGGATTTGTCATTTCGTCAGGTTTAATAAGTTGACGAACACCGAGCCAGTCATCAGCTAATCCCATTGCTTCTGTTGCATTTTGAAGAGCATCCTTAGGATCCCATGATTCCCAATCAGGACACAAGCCAGGTGCGACATTGTCAACAAGAGCACCGATAGCTTTACCGTCATTCCAGTCTAAAGTTTTGTAGACATGCCACAATTTGTAGAAAAATATTATTAAATAAAAAAATAAACTAATTAAGATTAATTATCATTACCCGTTGTAAAGTTATGAATGGGCAATTCAGGAACTCTATTTTTAACCCAATTAAGTAATCGTTGTTTTGGTGTTTGTTTGTCATTTGGTGCCTCAGTGTCACTATCCCACATTGGCATTGAAATTGAATAGTGAAGAATCAAAAGCCAGATAAGACCAAGGATCAATTTCAATTTACAGTCAACAATATCAGTGGAATCGATATTGATGATCTTAATTCCTTCGCGTTCAAGGAATTTTAATGCAACGGAGACATTCTCCAATTTTTGTGAGCGAAAAGTTGGTCGTTTGTTGTGCTTGCTCATTTTCTTTTGTGACAAGACTTCAACGAGTGCAATGAGCGCAAGACCATCAGATAAATCAGTCTCTAAACTCATAAGTGTCTTATCGATGATTTTCAAGTGCTCATTAGCCCATCTTGTAAATGTATTTTGTTGGATGCGCTTCCACTCTGCATCCTCTGCTAAATCACGTTCAGCTTCAATCATTTCTTCTTCGATATCGCAATAGTCCTATTACCAAAACAAAATTATTATTATTATTATTATTAAGAATTAGTCTAATGAGTCACACTTTTAAAAAAGCTAATTCTCGGCTCAATTGAATAACACATTTTCACCTGCTCGCCTGAAATGTTGCCAGTATAAATACAAAAAATTCTTTTCTGTTGATAAACAAAGCGCCAAGCAATAAAAAAACATACATACAATAGAGCTCAATTTGTTTTGGTCGATTATGGAATGATTAAACGACGATGCGTGAAACTTATTAATTTTTTTTCTTCAGTCTCACAGCGAATAAGTACGAAAGGTAATTGTTTTATTGTACTTCCCAATATTTTCCTTATTGGTCTTATATAGTCCATGACCATGATTCACGTGGAATTTGCGAGCAAAGCCGACATCAAATATTAAACGAAGAAGAGCAAGAAGAATCACCTAATTAAATTCTTTGCATCCACAAATAATGAAATATTTGATCTTATTATTTAATGCTACATTTTTTGACTCTAAACTCAACACACACTTTAAGCATGGAAAATTACTGAGCACAGAATGATGTTCTATTGTTTCCCAAACTTTTTTTCATTTCTGTTAATTACAATTGGGGAATGAAAGAAAAGAATGGAATTGAAATGAATAAATTAAGTCAGCATATTAATATGCATACAGTTTTGGATCGTGTACGATTAATGTCGCTATTCATTTTTAGTGCTATTTTTACAAGCATTTGACAAAAGAGAATTACTTCCAGCTACAACTTTTATGTTGTTTTCTTCTTTTTACAGCAAAAATGAGATCATAAAAATGACGTAGTGTGCTTGTGTCTGCATGCTTAGTAATAATTCAAAAGAATCTATTGAAAATACGACGGAATAATGATGAAGCACGAAAGAAGCACACAGAAATGAATTTGAGGATTAAGAAAACATACGAAAAAATAGCATCATTGTCAGTGTGAGTTTGGGCAACAAATATTTTCGGTTCCTTCTAAAAACAAGTTATTGTTGCATTATTAAATGAACGGCGGATGAGAAAAGGAAGGAAGATGAAGCATAACGATTCCAAGAAAAAATACTTTTGCACGGGTGTGGATGAATATTAGCATTTACAGGTATCTCTGAATATTTCACGGTCAGATGCAAAGATATAATAAAAAGCTTGTACAAGCACACAAAATAATGTATTCATATCTCACATTCACTTTCATTCGTTATGACGAATGGCTAAGGAAAATAAGAGTCGCGAATTCTCGAACGTGATGTCAGCAACAAGTTATTTTTGAAACACCAAACCAATCGTTCTTAAAAAAGCAATTAAAGCTGAACGATGTCGTTGCCTGTATATTTTATTGTTTTATTTACATTGTATGTCACATACGATTTATTTCATCATCATACTGCATTGGACAAGCAATATAATCAAGCAAGCAAAAAAACTGATCGTGCTGATGAAAAGGTATTATTCATGGGAAAATGATTCAATGTCAAAATGAAGAGAAATCAAAATTAAAAGGTTCCTTCTTATTCATTCTCTTCTCGTACATGTCTTTTAAAATGAAATAGCACGCAGTCTTTCTTAAAGAAAGGTTTGAGAATCACACCGGCATTTTTTCGTACTTTTGACTTATAAACATACTTATACTCACAAACAAATATCAAGCTGCACTTTATATACTTCTTTTATCGCTTTTGGAATGTTACTGGATGTTTACTTTAACAAATTTTATTAGCCTTATTTCGTAATTCAATTTTTCTCTATGAAATTGTTGCTTATAGCCAAGATTTCAATACACTGATATATTAAAAGATTATGCCTTATCACGACTGCAATAAAATTATATTTTTTAAGCTAATAAATTCACGTAAAAATGTGATAAAAACACTCTGAGACTCAATTTTTTTTTGTTTGTTGTTTTTTTTGAAAACCTTACAATTGTTGAAAACTATACAAATGTTTTGTATGGAATTGTAGGGTTTTCATAAAATTATTTGAATTTGAAAATATGAAATACGTTTAAATAACGGTTAAATACTGATAATTAAACTTAAAAAGCAATTAACAACTGGCACTTTAAAGATAACTTATCACTCTCGCGTTTAAATGTTAATGCACTTTAGTATTTGCGAAGAAATAAAATCAACGGAACAATCAATTTATTTTTTGAATGTGATGGAAACACGTTTGCTAAAGAACTGACTATTTGAAGTATGAAATTCTACTGCTTTACTTGCGAAAAGGCACTTTTTATGTCTTTCATTTATTTTCTCCTAAAAGAGCACGACTTGAGCACGACACAAACATACAAAAAAAAATAATATCGAGCGAGAGAGGTAGGTATCGCGGTATTGATTGTTATGTTATAACTTCTTTTTTGTTCACAAATATATTCATTCCATAAACATCTACTCTTTTTTTTTGCACATATAATTTGAGATTAATGTATTTACACATTTATACAATTTCATTCTACACAAGACGCAAAATTTTCTAAAGAGAAGCTCTTATAAAGGTACATCCAGAAATGTGTATTAAACAGGTTTCAAATTAAAATTTCCGAAAAGGAATTGTTGTTGCTGCTTATTTTATTTTATCTTTTGAGGAATACAATGAAACGAAGAGGAATTCTCAAATAATTCGCACAATGATAATTGAATTGCATGGGCCGTGCCATTTAAAAATATATAAGTTTAAAGACGATAAAAGATGATGTCATTAAATGAGTTTACTTTTTACACTTGAATCAATAGCATTGAGGAACTTGATGATTCAAGCAATATTCACTTTTATATTCAATTTCAATAATAATTGACTCACTCAACACAAAACCGTTTAAATTAATCACAGAAGCTACTTTAAAACCATTTTAAGCTCTCAATAAGAATGACATCATCAAACACTTTGAATCAGACACAAAACAAATTGCTTTACTATTTCAATCAATTTCAATTAGAAGCCGAGAAACAAAAAAAAATCTATAAAGATTATTAGTCACTTAAAAAAGATGTGCTTACACGAGGCTGTACAGATTGACTCTGAAGAAAATCTCCTAATGCTTGTGGTTGTGCCATTTTGCCGGTTGAACTTTATTCTCTCCCTCTTTTTTTGTTGTTTCTACTTTAAACTAACGTATTTCTTCTCACAAAACCCGGTCTGTCTCTTCTTTCTGAGTAGATGTACTCAGTTTGATTGTTGTTTATGCTTGTTATTTGTTGATGTGTAGTAAATCAGAAGTCTCGCTCTCTAAAATTGTGCAGAAAGAAAAAATATAAAAAGAAATAAAATTTAATAACTTCAATTTCATTTGGAAAACATTGTCGCTGTGATGACCATATATAGATTCAAATAGTCAGCATGTATGCATGAATGTGAGAAAGTCATACGCTTCAATATAATCAATAACGCATGAAAATAGAGGACGTCTTTTAATTAAAGATTATATTATGTCAATGAAATGTCTTTTTGGAAAGTCTAAAAGTGATCACGCCTTATGCATTAATTACTTGATGTATTTACACAAAATGGGTTGGAAAATTATACATCATAAAAATTAGAACTAGTTGTAAAGGCTGTAAATTTTGTGATCTTTCAACGCTTAATTACTTGTTAATTGTTCAAATAATGTTGTTGTTGGATAACACACCCCCCCCCCCCCCCCCCCCACCTCAAAAAAATTACAAAATCAAAGTGTACTCAAAATGATTTCATGAATTTTCAACGAACCAACTGCAAAACTCGAAAGTAGGTAATTTCCTATGACGTTGCCCAATACACAGCAGAAAAAAAATGATTCGGCACCGGTGCTGATTTCTCGCTCATTCGATCATTGAACTTTATTTCAAATAAGAACATTATTATGTTTCCTTTGAACAAAATATGACGTAACTCTCAATCTACATTATCAATGAAAGAAATTATTTCCCAATGTCCATAAATTCGAGACAGCACGTTTAGCCAATTCAATATTTTTTTAAATTGATTTCATCGATGAATTTATAATCAAATTGTCAATCATAATTTTGACACTTTAAGGTATCCGTTCACGTCTCTGTGGAGTAAATAATTTTTGAGTTTTGATTTTTTTTTTTGACAGAAGAGGAAGTTCGTGCTGTGTCTGAAAGATTCATGATAGTGGAAATAAAAATCTTGTAATGGATTTTGATAACGGAAAAGATCAAATAGAATTTGCGACTATAAAGCTACAAAATTTTTATAAAAATACAGTAATCATACGGAGAAATGAAATCTCGAAACATTGACCTATCAAGAAAGCATATACACTCCATAAGTACAATAAGTATCAGAAATCTCGACTCGACCTATTACTCGCATTTCAATATTTCTGATGTCTCAACAAGCGTTCCAAATTTTTGTTATTAATTCTTTTTTTCATATCACGTTTTAAACACTCTCGGGCTGCCTTTAAAGAGAGACACACATGTTCGAATATGCTCTCTGAGAGGTAGACACTTGCGAAAACATTCGTTCGCTCAACAGGTAAGTAAATTCGTATGGGTTAGAAAGAAGAAAATAAGATTTAAGCTATAGGTAGTGTGTGCAGACATCAAAAGGAATTTTTTTTTTCATACAGTTCACGAATTTTTATGACACACTTAATATTAATATTATTTGAAGCGATTACGAAATAAGCAAATGGTAATAAAAAGAACTTATCATCCAAGTTCTATTGCTTATTTCATTACTACTTAGAATTGAACGTGCCGTTAATATTTACATCAATAGTCTCTATAAATCATAATCACGTAAATAATTCTCTGATGAAATCATACTTGACATTTAATGTCATAATTAACGACTGGATCAGGCTGAATGAATTTTATTTTTTGTTTGCAGTCTAATTAAAGATTTTATCATCACAGATTTGCACACTTGTAAAAGTTGTGGATGAAGAAGAAGATTAATGTTGTTTTAATCACAAAGAAGCTGTCATCAGACACTAAACTTGACACTTAAAATTTTCAGATTCACTGACGCCACATGATCTACATATTTCAATAGGCTTCTTGATGTTCCTTTCCTTTACATTCAATGAATGATCCGCAACATTTTCATTCATACTATTTTTTTTCTAATCTAGACTAAGCTTGTGAAGTTTTATTTTACAGACATAAATGACCCATTATTTACAGATTTGGCTATAATGGAACCAGATGGAACGAGTGAAAGATTGAACGATAAAAGTAATCTGATCATCAACCACCCATTGACTTTTGTCAAATTTATGTACGAAGCTGCAAAGAAAATTACTTTTTGGACGAATCCTCGCTCGCCTATACAGAGTTGGAGCTGACTTTACCAATGAAAAGTTTGCAAACAGAGAAACTTTGAATGTAACGACAATGGAAGTTCATTTATCGCAGGTATTATTATTGTGAATATATAGTAAACATATATCACAGCACCTGGGATCTACAGCGCATAGAAGAAGATGATATTTGATTTTTGTCATGCTACACTTGATCACAAGAAGGACACAAACATTTTCACACATCAGCACTGGATGAAAAAGAAAGAAATTGATAAAAAGATGGAGAAAATATTTCTAGGTCATGTGAAGGACGAGACAGGTGTGCACATAACTTTATTAAATCATTTATCTTAGCTGATCATTTTCGGACTATCAAAGGTATTTAAATTAAAATATTTTGAATACAAAAGACTACATTGTAGTCATCAGATGTATTTATAGCACCTTCTTAATTAAAATCGTCACCGATATATTTTTTCCTCAATTTAGTCACACTTATTATTGTCAAATGTATAGTTTTACTAAAATTAAATTAGTGAGTTGTCCAATTCTCACATATATGGCGTCTCAAATTTTAATTCACTTGCTAAAATAAAATTTATCGTTAAGATCGTGCATGAATATCGAATTTGGACGATCTATTGTTCGCGATCATTCATTTTATAAAAAAAAATTTGAAGCGAAAAAAAGTTGTGGCTGAATAATGTAAATATTTATGTGTGAGGAATTAATAGAATGTGGATATTCAGTGATCGCATAACTTATTGGGTATCTAAGTCCGATAAAGATTAATCACTCTCAAATTTGTTTATAATTGTCATGATCATATGCAATTTATCTTAGTGTGACTTCCAACATTGATTTCAGGGGACGGGAAACATTAAGGGGGGGGGGGGATGGGGGGGGGGGGGGTGTTTAAAAATCCCACCATATTTTAGAAAGACATTATAAGTGAACGGCAACCTTATATTAAAATATGTAAACATGGGCAGTAATAAAATATTTTCAAGAAAAAGAGTTAGAGTACGTCTTCTGATGTGATAGAATCACAACTTCTAAAAATAGCTTTTATGAATTTTTTTATATTTTTAAAAAAAGAAAAACTCATGCTGTTTTTGTCAATAGCGTCACATGCTTTTCATTATAAGCTACAGATCACTCATAGTGGAGTCGTAGCAAAGTGGAATCTGGGATATCGAGCTATTTGTAAGAGAATCTGACAATAAAAGAGTTGGGTCTCTGTGGTTGACAACTAAGACAAGAGTACGAATACTTTTTACAAACATTTGTGAGGATTTGAGTTCAATTCTCAATATGTAGAGAACGAGCTATCAATCATTCGATTTTCGAAATGACGAGGGAGACACCATGACCTGCCATTATCACTAGTTTAGACATATTTTTTGAAAGACTGAATAAGGCTGTATTAAGCTGAGTTGAGCAGTATTCAGCACTTTTCAGTTGAACTGAATTCAGCACATTTCAGTTTAGCTGAATTCAGCATTACGCCATTATGACAAGAGTTCCCCAAATGCACACAACATTATACTCATGAAAAAGTAAGTAAGCAGCACATCACTTAGACTTAAGTCCCGATTTTCTCCAACCTCACACTTTTTATTTTTTTCGCATGCACGGATCTCACGAAACAGAAGAAAAACACATTAAAAAGAAAATTATGAAAATGAAGAAGGGGATTTTTCTTAAATAATTACACGAAAAGAAAGATGAGAATGGATTTTAAAAATAAATATTTTTTTTTCTTCCACCGTGTGAGATCTTTATGACCACTTTTCTAAATTAAAATTTCCATCCTCCGACTTTCTCAATTTAAATTTATCGACTTGATATGAAAAATTTCCTTATTGACTACTCACGACTTATTAAGGCACTTAAATTATAGTTTTTTTACAAATGTGCTAACAAATTAAAGATTTCCAAAGATGATGAAAATTTAAAAGAAAAATCTTTTCGCTCTTAATTTGCTTTTCAAACCGTTCAGAGCGAAACTTTTCCGACGACTGAATTTTTCGAAAATTCACTTTTCTTTTCTCATTTCTTATTTTCACACACAATCATGTCGAAAAATCCTCGACAGACATTGGTACGCACGAATGCATTCACCGATTGATCGTGCCTTATTGTTTTCAAACAAAATCTCATTTTTGTCTCTTTTCTCTTTTGTGGCTGGCGCTTAAACAATATTTTTTTGTTGATGCCGACTTTATAGTCAGACATGTGATTTTATACTCTCATTTAATGTGACATTTTCATGTTTTTCCTTCACATGTGCTGCTGATCATGATTTCGTTTGTTTTCAAGGATGTATTAAGCATCATGATTCATGAAATGGCTGTTGTGTAATTGCTTTTATTGAATTAAATCAGGGCTGCAATATAGAATCGAACGCAATAATTAAGTGACCCAAGCCAATCAAAACGTCTGGAAATTGCGGTGAAAAAAAAAATGATGTTAAGTAACAAGAGTACAATCGTAAAAGACAAATATGGATATGGGTATGTGAAACTTTTAACCATTTAAGGAATTATTTTTAAAACTCAAAAATTTCACAAACAAAATGTTATTGCTCAATCTCCAGACACTTTAAGTTATTGTTGTCATTCTACAAAATCAAATACAACATCAATTAATCTTTATTGATCGATGCTATCATAAATTTTCGTTGTACTCCAATTGCACATGCTTGTCAATGTCCGTTAAAATCAACAATTTGAATCTTTTCATTAAATAAGCATCGCAATATTTTGAAAATTTTGTAACCGTTGGGTTTCTCAATCATTACATAATTAATTTAATTACACTATAAGCAACGTTAATCCAATATAATTTTACATTATTGCGCTCTGTTCCTTACAAAAAAATGATTTGTGTTGAATTTAATTAAATTAAAATAACGTAAAAAGAAAATTTAAAATCAACAACATAAACAAAAACAAATGAGACAATTCAGTTTGAAATTTAATTATGTCGCTTTTCTTTGAATTGTGCAGACTGTGCTTGACAAATTGTAGTTCCAACTGTAATGGGGTGATAATCTATGAGAATGACGAGATCAGACGACAAAAAATAAAGGACTGCCTGCCTATTACTGTAAGTTTTCATTCATCAAAAAATTATTTTAATAAAATTAACTTATTCTTTTAGATTCCAGATATATTTCAAATTTGCAGTAATTGTGATGGAAAGTTGAACTGTTTCTATCAATTTAGACTAGATTCCGTGAGATGCCAACATGAATTTAATGGTAAATTTACAACATCCAGAAGTCACAGAATTTATGCTTAATCGTTTCATTCTTTTCATCAGATATCCTTAAATCAGTTCAGCCACCGCAGAATGTACAGTATGAGCAAGAGTATTACATACCAATGAATGAACAGAATATGTATATACAACATCCAACACAAACAAATGAACTCCAAGAGGATTATCATTATATGGCACACGAACTTCATTTAGCATTAGAAGATAATCAGAATGATAATAATTCATTAATTTCATTGCCTGCCAATATTTATGAGCAAATGCAAACACCAAACAATTCAGAACATCATATTCACAATGAAGAATTCGATCAGACATCACAATTAATTGATAATCAGCCACAAGAGATAATTGAAGTTCCTAAAATTGAAAGTCCAGAACATTGTGTAATATCAATAGAGCAACAAAATAATGATCAGTCTGAAAATATCCTTCATAATGACGATTTCACGTATGATGATTTTGACGAATCCTGTCAGTCATTTCCGAGTGATCGAAATAATATAGATAATGCTATTGAGAAGAAAATAGAAGAATTTATTCAAAATAAGAGAAATAAGGCGAATCCAAAGATCTGTACAGTATGTAATAAATTATTTAGGACCAATTATAAATTAAGAGAACATATGCAGACCCACGAAAATAATCCAAAATTTATCTGCAACTATCCAGATTGCAATAAGAGCTTTAAATCAAAAATAGGACTTAAGGAGCATGCTGCTAAACATACTGGACAATACAGTTATTCCTGTGAAACCTGTGATAAGAAATTTTTACTTCGTTCCTACTATTTAGCCCATCAAAAGATTCATTCAAATGTCAAAAACTTTGCATGCTCAATGTGCTCTAAAACGTTCAAAAATAAGCAGAACCTTGTGAATCACGAGAATTTCCATTATGGACTTAAATTGTTTATTTGTGAAATCTGTCAAAAGTCTTTTACTACAAAAACGAATTTGGATGTACATATGAAATCATCGCATACTCAAGTTGAACAGTTTGAATGCAATGTATGTAAAAAATATTTCAAGACAAGAGCGTATCTTAAAGTCCATCAAAAGACGCATTTCAAAGAGCTTCAAAATTATGCTTGCAAGATCTGCTCAAAAACTTTTATTCAACTCTGTGATCTCAAAATTCACCAAAAAACTCATACGAATCAAAAGGACTTTGTCTGTGAAGTGTAAGTAAAGGAACTGAAAATTTGCTAGAGTCGAGTCCAAATTAATTTCAAGTTAATTTTTTTACAGCTGCGGCGAGTCATTTACAAGAAAAGATTCTCTGAAGCTTCACGTATCGTCAGTTCACGATAAAGACTGCATTTTTAACTGTGAGTTTTGTCAAAAGACTTTTACAAGGAAGAACTCACTTAATCAGCATCGAAAGAAATGTATTAATAGCGCAAATGCTGTGAAATTTTAGAATAAAAAAGAATCTCATTTATTTATTCAATGCAATGGCAGAGGACATGATTTAATAAGGTTCGTCAATGAAATCATTTTCTTAATGAAATTCTCCTTTTCAGCTTCCTTTTCACTGGCCGTCATTTCCAATTTTGACAGCATTTGAACTTTAAGAATTTCATCTAAATATCCATTAGCGACAAATCTTTCGACAGTACATGCTTCAGCTCCATCAGCACTAATTTGAGCTTTCATTTGATCTTTAGTGACTCTCATTATGTCATCACATCTAATTCCCCTAGATCTTGCAGCTTGAATCATATTTGTACTGAATCCATACTGATTATGCTTAATTATGTTATTGTCTCCAAGGTACTTCCTTAAGCAGTACTCAAAATCAACAGTAAGCTGTTCACTTTTCTTCTGATCATAGAAAGAATCGAAAAATTCTCCATACTTCTTCCTTCCTTGACAGTTAACCAGTCCATTATTTTCTAATTCGAGAGCCTTATTCTGATTTTCTTGGATGTACTTATTCTTATCACTAGATTTCCAAAACTTTAATCCAACGCCCTTCATTTCAGCACCAAGTGCTGCTAATCGATAATTTTCAAACTGAGTTTCGGCTTTAACTTCCTTTACAGCGCAATCAGCATATTCTTTTCTTGCTACATGATTAGTAAATTTTGTACGAACTTTATTATAAAAGTTTTCATTCTGCGATCTAATCTCGTTGGTGCAATCGGTTGGATTTCCATCATACTTGTTGACTGATGAGAAATAGTCCGTATCAAAATGCTTGAACTTAAGATAGTCAACAATGCATTCGACTGTCAATTTTGCATCAGATTTATGGAAACTGAAGATTAATAGAATCTGTACGAGAAGCAATTCACGGCTGCAAAACAAATTATATATTTAGAATGATAATGATTCATCTGTTTATGCCTTATCACTGATAATGGTAAGCACAAAGATAACGATATATTGATTTTTGAACTTTAACGGTTAAATGAAATTTGAATTTTATGCTAAATATTTGAATTCTCAAAAGCCGTTAAATTCGAAGAAAAAAAATACTTACATCATTTTGATGCAACCTGCTCTTAAACAAGACGCAAAACAACTAAGAGTCAAGTTCAATATTGTTCCTTAATACTATAAATTCCTCTCATAAAACAATCTTTCTCTCCACAAAAAAAAAATTAAATCTGAGAATTTGGATTAAAATCGAAGCTGGATTAAGCTATAAGTAAATGAGCGGAAGCGTGTCAAGGTCGAAATTAAAGAGCAGCTGATAAGAAATTTTATTAATAGCAATTAAATAGAAATTTATTTTATTTACGATTTGTAAGCTAGATTACAAGTTACGTTACATCAAATTTACTGATCTCATGCTCATTACTCAAATGTATTACAATTCCTACTCAGCAGTTCTTAGTGTCAATGGATATGTCGACCATATTATTAATGAAATTTTGCTTTTCTTTCGACTTGTCTGATCGAGTTAATGTCAACTTTGAGAGAACTTCAGCCTTCAAGATATTCTCAGCATATCCATTTTTGATGTATGCTTCAATGAAGCAATCATTGAGCTCTTTTTCTTCCTTTAAATTTTCATAGAAGCTCGCTTTAATTTGCTTAAATACTTCCTCACAATCAATATCGGTACGGACGTTTTTTGGATTTTCACGGAAATTGTAGAATGACGGATTCAATAAAGTTCTATTGACGAGAATTTTACGAATACAAAACTCTTGTTCCCCACTTCTATCAAATAATATGTTCTGTTCATTTATGTTAGTAAACAAGTCACCGAATTCTCTATGACCTTTACACTTTAATAATGATTTTTTGACCATATCATCTGCCTTAGCTCTTAAACCTTCCAATGTTGACTTTTTATCAAAATATTTCCAAAATCTCCAGCTACTGATCATCTCAACTGCTACTTCCTGTAAGATGACATTCTCGTACCGTTCATAATCATCTTCTTCCTCGATATCCTTCATTACGCACTCAGCATGAGGTCTTGACTTTCTATCACTTTTCAACTTATCCCTTAAATCTTCATTAAGACTTGAAATTCTTGTCCTTACTGCACTTTCACAGTCACTGACTGATCCAACATAGCCATCTACATAATCTAAAGTACTGAGATAAACTCCTTTTCCTTTTAAATAGTATTTCAGACATTCGTGTGTCAATGGCTCAGCATCTGCAAAACCCAATGCCAGCAGTAGTGCAGCAGAGTATAAAAATAATGTCAATCCTCTGAAAACACAAAAATTTATGAAAATGCAACTGATAAGGTTCGACATAATTTTAACTCTTACTTCATTTTTCTGTCTTTTTTCTGGACTCTTTCCCCAATTCCCGACTTAACCACTCTGAGATTTCAAGTTATACTGAGGCTCTGAGCATAGAATGAATTCCTAAATAAATTATTTTTTTTTACTCTAAAATTCCATAAGCAAGCAGACTGATAAGGCTGATGAGTTAATTGTCGCTCTCACTTGAATTAAATTTGTTTAAATTATTTTACTCATTCACTATAATGTCTGTTATTTGATGTCAAAACGTTAGCGGAAAGCAAGGGTATCATTAATGAATTAATTTAAAAGAAGCAGCATGTGAGACAACGTGATTGTCAGAAAATGTCCGTTAAATATGATATTTTTGAATTATGGACTGAACTGATTTTAAAAATGCTACCAGCGTGAAGTTGCACCCGTTCTCAAATTTGAATTTAACTGTTTTTCTTTCACCAATACAAACTTAAATAATTACCAACACAAACTTAAATTTTATTCTTTACTTTAAAAATTGTAAAAAAATAATAAAATTAAGAATTCTCCATTAAATACTTAATAACATCTAAGGAAAATATAGTCATCGTGTGCAGCAGTCATCAGTTTACTAGTTTTTAATCAAATACATTTAAAATGTCGGCTTTTGTGGCTGCAAAACATATTTTATCATCTTGTAAGAAAATTTTTGGTTATTTTCACTATTATTCAATAACTTTCATCATTTCTAGCTCTTAATTCGACATTTAGAAGCATAATTCTTAACAGTACAATTAAATCGCCTGCATCACTGTCTGTTTCACCATTCTTAATTTCAAAGAGATTTTATGCAGAAAAGGAAGTTTTCCAGAGAACTAAACCGCACTGTAACATTGGTAAGATCCATAAACACAAATAATTATACTATAAACTAAGTGGATTATGATTTACAGGAACAATTGGACATGTTGATCATGGTAAAACAACACTTACTGCTGCAATTACAAAAGTTTTAGCTGAAAAGGACCTCGCAGAAAGCAAGGATTATGCTGATATCGATAATGCTCCTGAAGAAAAAGCCAGAGGAATCACAATTAATGTAGCTCACATTGAGTATCAAACTGATAATAGACATTATGGACATACCGATTGTCCTGGACATGCTGATTACATCAAAAATATGATCACTGGTGCCGGTAAGTAGGAAATATGATAAATTATTGCAAAATTATATGTCAACAGTTCCAATTATGTACAGCACAAATGGATGGAGCTATTCTCGTCGTTGCTGCTACGGACGGAGCTATGCCACAGACTCGAGAGCATCTTTTGCTTGCAAAACAAATTGGAGTTGATCATATTGTAGTCTTTATTAATAAGGTTGATGCTGCTGATGCTGAAATGGTTGAATTAGTCGAGATGGAAATTCGTGAATTATTAACTGAAATGGGATATGACGGTGACAATGTTCCCATAATAAAAGGCTCTGCATTATCTGCTTTAGAAGGCAAAGACCCTGATATTGGATCAAAAGCAATTACAGAACTTCTCGAACAAGTCGATAAAACGATTCCAACACCAGAAAGAAGCTTAGACAAGCCATTCTTATTGCCAGTAGAAAATGTTTATAGTATTCAAGGAAGAGGAACTGTTGTTACAGGAAGATTAGAACGTGGTGTCTTGAAAAAGGGTCAAGAATGTGAATTTGTTGGATATAATAAAGTTATCAAATCAACAATTACTGGCGTTGAAATGTTCCATAAAATTCTCGATGAAGCACAAGCAGGAGATCAACTCGGTGCCTTAGTAAGAGGTATTAAGCGTGACGATATTAAGAGAGGAATGGTTATGTGTAAACCAGGAACATGTAAAGCCAATGATCATTTTGAAGCTAAAGTTTATATTTTAAGCAAAGAAGAAGGAGGAAGACATAAGCCATTTACGAGCTTCATTCAGCTTCAAATGTTTTCACGTACTTGGGATTGTGCTACACAAGTAGTTATTCCAAATAAGGACATGGTTATGCCTGGAGAAGATACACCTCTACAATTAAGGCTGTTCAGACCAATGGTTTTAGAACAAGGCCAGAGATTCACACTAAGAGATGGCTCAATCACATTAGGAACAGGAGTTGTCACAAAGATTTTAGCTCCATTATCAGAGCACGACAGATTAGACCTAACTGAGGGCAAGAAAGGACGAGAAAAGAAAGAGAAGACAAAGAAAAATTAATAGTCTAGCATAGTAAACATTAGTGATACACAAAATAAATAATCTACCTTAACAGAAAACATTTTTGAGAACACTGTCTGTATCATAAATTTGCAATTATCTTGAAGTACTGCTATTTTCATTTGTAATAAACTGGATTTAATAAAACTTGATTAAAATTAACATTTGTATGGTTTTGTAGCATAACATTTGTAAGTTTTCAGAGCTCTTGGCTGTTGAATGGTTTTCAAAATTTAAAAGATCAAAAAACGTTAATTTGATAATATTTTATTTCATGTAGAAGTTCACATCCTTTACAAGCTACATTGCAATTCAGTTCCATGAAGAATTTGTCCATCGGGAGCAATTGCGCAAATACTCATCGTAAATTCATTGGACATTATTGTATTTTCCAGCAATTTCTTCGAAATATCACATTGGCAGTCTATTCCTTTATATATAGTCACAGAGTTTGAGTACTGTTCTGTCTTAATGTCAAATGAAACTAGAAACTCAACATCAGCAAATGTTGTATTCCATTTTAAGGTGTAATAGTCATTGAAACTCATCAATTCTAAATTATATATTGGCTCGTCTTGTTTTGTTTTAACTGTGACTGGATCACTCATATCCGACAGTCCAATGGAATTTAATGCTCCAACTCGAACGAAATATGTTCTATTCGGTTCAATAGAAACCAGCTTAGATCCAATTAAATTTGGAATACAGTCAGCCTTTAATGTTAGCTTGTTTAGGATGTGCGAGTTGTAGTTCTTAATTTTGCAGAAATTATTTTTGAAGATTCCAACAAGGTACCAGCAATTTTTACGGATATTCTTATCCTTACTTAATGATGCCAAATATGTCTCTAATTCAGAGTCTGTGCTTTCAGATTCAGCTAGTTCCGATACTCCATCCATTTGATCTATGTTAATAGTTTGATTGTCAGGTACAAGATTTACAATTTCATATCTCTCAGAAGATGAATCATTAAACAAGTGATCAGTGTCTATTGTATATGGTGGTGTTAATAGGATATTTTCATGAATAATAATTTTTGGCTTTTTGCTGGTGACTGTTTCATGTTTTTCAGCCTTTTCAACAACAATGTTTGTTGGATGATCCTGAATAATTACTATCTCTTCTTGCTCGACAATCATTGGCTCGTCTTTGAGCTCTACTTTTGACTCCCAAAATTCTTTCAATTCAATGACATACAATACTGCATTTGTTGATGCTGACCACTCGAGGGTGAAAGATTTCCTGTCACATTTTATAACATTTACATCAGTTACTTTTAACGGTTTTTTTGTCTCAAAATACCAGAGATCATTATGGCATTTAATTGGAAGTGTCTCATCAAACTCATTATCATCTCTTCCTGACCAAATATGAATTCTTCCAAAATGTTCGATTGCAGCATGTCCAGCTCGAGGATTAGGTTTATTACCTGTTGGGAAATTTTTCCATTTATATGATTCTAAATCTAAGCATTGAATGCTACTTGTGCACTTCCAACTTTTTGATTTTTCATGAACAAACCCACCAAAAATGTACATTTCATTATCAACAAGCGTTGCTGTATGCATTGATCTCGCGAGTGGAATAGTTCCAGTTGTAGTTAATTTTATCCATGAAAAAGAATCAAGATCTAACATCCAGATATCATTTAATCTCCTTTTTCCATTCATTCCACCATAAACGATTAGTTGGTTTTTGTAAAGAATTGAAGTATGTGATTCTCTTGGACATGGTTCCTCAAAATTCTGTTCTTTAATCTTTTCCCAACGATAGTAGTCTTCGTCAATATGCAGGATATAAATATCATTCAAGTATTTTGGAATCATTTCATAGCGCATGGTACATGTATTCTCAACGCCACCAAAAAGTAAAATTTCGCTATCATTTATTTTTGTGAATGTATGTCCAATTCGAGGACTTGGAATGTCTCCAATTGTCTGGATGATTTTTAATTCAGCATAATTTTCTAGTACATAAAGTGTATCTGAAAATCCATAATCTCCTGTTATTCCTCCATAAATCAAGACTATATCATTCCTTTCTATATAAGCCATATCAAAAGCAGCTAAGCCTGAGAATTGATTCTCTTCGACATATGATCCAGTATAATCGAAGTTGAATTGTTCCTTATTTAATGCGAATTTTTGATACGAGTTTTTTGGAACGTTATAAATAACGACTGAATCTCTGAATTTATTACATCCACCACCAAAAAATAGCACATTATTGTCCTTAATATTTACAGCTTTAGATCCATAATTTGGAGTTAAAAATGCCAACGAAGGAGAGAACGGAGCCCTGAAGAAAGGCATCTGAAACATTACATTTCATTATACTACCTGAATGCTGAATATAGTCATTGTTATTACCTGCTTATTACCGAGAAAAATTAAATTAATTAAACTTTGCTGACAATGCTCGAACTCAGTGGTTCTCAAACTTTTTGGTGCGTAGTTCTATCAGTGAAATTTACATGAATTATAAGCATACACATCAAGGAACACATTAATTAATACTTGTCACATGATATTAGTCACAACAGTATAACATTACTTTAATTAATAAGCAAAAACAATCACAGTGAGTTTAGAAAAGCTTGAGAACCACTGAAAACAGTTAAAGTCAAACGTAACATTTATTGAGGATTCAAATCGAGTTCAGCACAGTCCTAAACGTCATATTCAGCTGACGACTATTTTTATCTCGGAGAAGACAACACTTTAAAGTTAAAAGTTAATTTTTCAAAGGAATTTTAGTGAAAAAGCACGATTAAGAACTTATCATTCAGTGAATTAAACTTTATATTTTGATTTTCCCCTGCCGTAAGTATTAAAATTTGTTAAATTACACGTGAAAATAGCATAGTTTGAACAAAAGAAAAAAATTCTCCATTTACACGCATTTTTAAGTTATTTTCGTGAATTCATTAAGTTAATTTCATAAAAATCGGTAATTTATGACTAGCTAGACATATTAAAGTTATTTTCAAGCTGAAAAAGCATCTTTTTAAAGTCAAAAAGGTGTATTGTAGTTTTTGCGAATTTTGACGCGCTTACTGTGAGATCCAACATGCGTTTTGAATCAATTAAATTTTATTTACTATCGTCCTTTTACTTGGAAAGGAACTATATAGTCATTAACCTTACATGATAAATAAGTCGTCTAGAACTGAAAAGCTATAAATTTATCAATTTTTGAATCATATTTCCTCGATTTCTCATAATTTTTATTACAATACAAAAGTATAAAGGCACGAAACAGAACCTTTTTCTTCATATTTCTTCTGCTAGCTAGTGTCTCGGAGAGAGCGAAAGTTTTTTTTTTCTTTGTTGGTATTGTTTTGCGACGCATTAATTTTTCTTCATTCTCAAAACTTAATGTTTATTAATCCTTACTGTATCTTTATTTGGTGGCATATTAGGCATAAAATTCAGAGATCACGACGAATCACAATATGGTAATGGAGGCCAAACCATCTCCTTTAGTTGTTGGACGTGAATTTGTTCGTCAATATTATACACTTCTTCATAACTCGCCTGATCATCTCCATCGGTATGTATTATATATGCTCTTATCTCTCATACATGATATACTTAGTTGTTAATATTGTCTTTAGATTCTACAATCAACACTCGAGCTTCTCTCATAGCGGCTTGGATCCAGACAAAGATGATGGATTGGTTATTGGTCAAAAGAACATCCACGATAAGATTCAGCAGATGAATTTCCGTGATTGTCATGCAAAGATTTCGCATGTTGATGCCCAAGCGACTTTGGGTGATGGAGTAGTCGTGCAAGTTTTTGGTGAGCTCTCCAATGATGGCCATCAAATGCGTCGATTTACGCAAACTTTTGTGCTTGCTTGTCAATCGCCCAAGAAGTACTATGTCCATAACGACATTTTTCGTTATCATGACATTTACAGCGAAGATGATGAAATCCGTGAAGATCAGGTTGCAATGGATGTTGTTGAACCAATTGTTGTTGCATCACCCAACAGCGTTGCTAATAATACTGGCAACAATTCTGATGCTTCGCCTACAACTACAACAATGATTGTTCAACCAAATGTATACTATCCAGCACCTGCAAACGTAATTCCTGTTAATCCAACGCAAATCGTTGCAGCAACTTTCATTCAAGCTCCGCAAGTTAATGGTGTCATGCAGCACGAAGAAATGCTTAAGAATATGGCTACTCAGACGTCTCAAACACCACAAATTTTGCCACCAGCTCAAGCTCCACCTCAAATTATGACGATTCCAATTGCACCGGCACCAACTGCATTGCCAATTCCCGTCGAACCTGTAGCTCAGCCACAACAACAACAAACGGTAGTTCCAGTAATAACAGAAGTAATTCCCATCGTTCAACAAGCACCAGCCGTCATTGAAGTCGTTAATCAATACGATGCTGATCAATCGAATGGAGAGGAATCTGATACATTGGATAATAGCAAAGAAACTGATCCAACATCGTCAGAAGAACCGATTCAACAAAAACCTACGGCGATCTCTCCAATTCCACCAACAACGTCTCAATTGCCACCAAAGAATTGGGCTAATTTGGTTAAAGCTGGACCACAATTAGGATACGCTCAACCAGAAGTTCCCGTCAATCCACAGCCACAATCGTTTGTTTCCATCACTCAGCAACAACAACAACAAGCTCAGCAACAGAAGCAAGCTGAAACTTATACTGATCGTCGTCCAATTCGCGATCAGCGAGATCAACGGGATCCAAGAGAACGTCGTGTAAGCAATAATAACGATGGAAGCTGTCAATTGTTTTTGGGAAATTTACCAACACTTGCTACTGAAGAGGAACTCAAACAATTGTTTAGTGTTTTCGGAAAGATTGCAGACCTTCGTATTCATACGAAACAGTCACTAAAGGGCGGAAATCGACCAGTTCCAAACTACGGCTTCATTACTTTCGAAGATCCAGCGAGTGCTCAACGATTGCAAGATGCACAGGTAAATTATTCATTATTATAACTTGTTATGTTTATACATGCTTAATGAAAATTTCTTCTTTAGCCTATTTACTATCCGGTTCTAAACGACAAGAGTGGTCAGAAATTGAATATTGAACACAAGATTCGCAAGAATGTTGATGGACAAAGCACTGGCGGCATGAATCGATCATCGACTAATGGACAGAATATGGATCGTGGACGAAATAATAATCCTTCGACAGGTATGAATCGTAATGGATCAGGCGGTAGATCAGATAGACGTGATGATCGAGGTGGAAATCGTCAATTTAATCGCTCAGACAGAATTGGAGGTCCGAGAGCTACAAATGGCAATGCTAGCGCAACATTCACTAATTCACGTCGTTAAGATTGGAGAAGCATCTCAAATGAAGGGATGCAGTAAAAGACATACACACACACACACAAACAGAATAATAATTATTATAATCGGTAAATTATGGGGGAAAAATCAAACAGATTGAGGAGAAAGATATTATCCTCATAAATTAAAGTAAATAATAATGATAATATTTAAATGAAGAAATTTTATAAAAAAAAAGAAAATGCGCAGGGGAAGTAACAGATAAAATGAATAAGAATATGACAACAACAGAAAGTAGAAAATACGAAAATCATGGGAAATTTTCAAGACTTTACATACTTTTTTTTAAAGAAGAATCGTCGTGCTTTAAAAAAAATCCTAAAAGAATATTAATGAAAATTTTGTGAAAGTGAGATTGATAAAAAAATGTAATGTTTTTTTTTTTTATTAAGAAAAAGTAGAAGAAAGTGGATTTTTTTTTATTAGAAAAAAAGAGGTAGTTTCAGAAACGAGAATAATTTTTTACTTAATTATTTCATAATAATTACGATATGTAGCAGAATTTATATTTTTCCTAGAATTGAAAGACGCGACTCAACACGAATTTATTTTTGATTAAATAATTGAACAAAAACGCAAACAATAAAAGTGAAAATCATTCAAATCGGATCCATCTAAATCATTCATCCTCTCCCTCAGCGCATTCTTATGTCCAAACTACATACTTATTAAGTCTAGTACGTAAAAAAGAAGCATAAAATTCAAATATCGAAAAAGCCGTTAAAATTCAAATTTGAAAATCCGTTTAATATTCAAACTTGATGTTGGAATTTTTTTTTGACAGAGATGTGCGATCGATGATGTTAATCACGTAGCGAGAGGATGATGAATGAATTTTTTAACACGTTTATTTTGACTTTATAAACAATTAGGGATGTATGTTGTCGTTTTCTTAAAACAAAATGTGAGTCGTGTATTTTCTTCATGGGCGTAAGTCTCTCGACTGTTAATTTATAAAAAGAAAGAATATATATGATGTGAATGTAAAGGAAGCTATCCTAATTGTTTCAAGAACCAACAAAAAACTTTTTCGTGTGTGCTAGAAATTTGAAAAATTTCTTTCGTAAAAATTATTATGAAAATAGTTGCTTATCAACCAACAACAACCTTCTTTTTTTTAAAGCTACTACTTTTAAAAGTATTTTTTTTAAAAAATTTAAAATGTATGGAAAACCCCATCATTACTTCTCGTCATATCTACAAAGATTAATTTTAAAAGCATCATTTCACTATTTGCTTATGACTAACACAGAATCAGCTGGCTCATGAACAACTTTATAGCTCATCATTTCTTCTAATGTCTCGGACGATACAAAAATCTATTTTTTTGATGTTTAATAATCACAATCATCTTATTCTTTGTATCATTTTTAGTTTGTTTTGTACACAATTATTATTAATACTATTATTTGTTTTTTTTCGCTTATTATTATCTCTCATCTTTAAATCTATCAAGCTGTTACTGGAAAAAAAAAGAATGAAACATAAGTTCACTATCAGGAACTCTCTGACTGTAAATCTTGAATTAAAAGAAAATAAAGTAATGATACTACAATGAAGGAAAATTAATTTTATAAGAAGATGAAAAACCTTAATGGAAAGCTAGTTTTCAGTTCTATTATTATTTAAAACAGTAACAACAACAACATCAACACAAAAAGAGTTGTGTAATGTGAATATGGGCATTCATTCATCGAACGTTTGTCCATTTTCAAAGTATATCTAGTTGTATGATAATTTTATACTTAATGAAACCTTTTAAAAATTAGGAACAGAAAAAATACAAAAAAAAAATTGTAAAATATTTAAAAAAAACCCAAAAAAAATGAATAAGATTTAATGAAACTACAACTTAGGATTGTGAAAAAGCTTTGATGCTTAACTTTTTTTCACATAAATCAAATAATTCGATCTATAAAGTTCAGCATCAAACTTCACAAATAATATTAATTTAACTTTTAATTTGTTAATTTTTTGTTTCCTTCTTAATTTAATTCAAACGAGTTCAACCAGACGATTACAAACCATCCTTATCCCAAATACTTCCAAATTAACAAGAATTAAAAGCTCAAAGCTTTATAACTCGTAAATAACTTTAGTTTATGTAAGAGTAAGTGACTAGATTTTGTCATTTTACTGTCTTTCTAGCTTAATAATTTCAAATTCAATAGTAGGAATTTAATTTAATGTCACAACTTGTTTCTGCTTTAGTTTGATCATTCTGAATATTTAGTTCTATAGGTTTTCATTTTATGGATTAGGAATCTTTAAATAATAAACATTTTCAGTTGTAAAATTCTAAATTATGACATTTTATTGCCAATTATAAATTGTTTGAAATTCAGGAGAGAACCGTATAATTTGATAGGTTCTATTAGAATTTGTATGGTTTTATTAGAAAACCTCATAAATTATCAAGGAATTGTACGGTTCTCACATGTGCACAGGTTTCAACCCTGGTTTGAATTTAAAGTGTTTTTGGTCAATTGTATGGTTTCCAAACACTTGATTTTTCAATCATTTGTATGGTTTTCAAACACTTGATTTTCAATCATTTGTATGGTTTTAAATTTTATTTGACTAAATTTAATGTGAAATGAAATGAAATATAAAGAAGTGCTAAATAGTTTCTTTTATAAAAATGAAATATGAAAAAAAAATCGGTGGTAACATAACTTCTAAATTTATTGAGAATATATAAGAAGAATGGATTAACTGGGCTTAATAAGTCAGATTGTAAGAAGAAGATGCTGCTGTCTGGCTAATTAAGCTCAGTCAATCCATATGAAAATAATACTAATGAATAATACTGAATGAAATCGATGTCAGACACACACTTTAAGATTGAAAAGAGAAACAGAAAGATTAGGAAACAAGAGAAAAAAAATTAATTATTTAGAAATTATTCATTAAAATAAACGGGGACTTCTTATTACTTATTACATAACACAATTACCGACTTTTTAGACTCTTCTTCCATAGTCCTTGAATAACATTTTCTTCTGTTTGAATTGTCATAAAATCCAAGAATCACTCCTGTCCCTAAATGCGTTACATAATAAGTGATGGAATTGGACATTAATGTCTAGTTTATAACAAGACCTATGCTCGACTAATGACATATGGAACGTTCCGAAAAAATGTCATCATTTGATCTTAGATCCAATAATAAACTAGACATTAGTACACTCTTCGAGGCCCCAACAAAGTTCATTTGTGAGTAAGGATTAAGAATGTCGCATGAAAGATTAGCTGTCGAAATCGTAAATGAATGAGAAATGGCTCACAAATGGACTTTTAAATTTACTATAAATGAGAATAGAAAATATGTGTCCTTTTTGTATGTAAAGTTTTTAGGAATGAAAAAAATATGAGAATTAATCTTCAAGGAATCAAAAAAAAATTATATACATTAAAATATAGTTGTAGAAGCTCATGGCATCTCCAAGCTCATTGGATGGAAGATAAGTTTCGTCTTATGCGATTGGAGATAACTTGAGAGAAATACATAAATTTCTTTTGTGTGCTTAAAAGCTTCTTATTGCTGTTTATGGAAGGAACTATGTCAAGAACATGGATTACAATCTATAGATCCAGGGGTGTAGCAAGTTTTAGGATATTGTCACGTTGAGAAGAGGATCAAATGTGCAGAACTAATCATCTGACTTTTCAGTTCCGCATCTTTGGGTCAAGTCTTAACTCTATCCAGGTCAAGACCTAAGTTGCACCCTAAATAATGAACCTCAATTAAGAGTAAAAAAAGAATCTTTTTAGCACACAAGCAGCTTCTTATCGTAATCTTCAATTAACACTGCAGAAAAACTTTCAAACTCTTATGTTAATGGTCTATAAATTTTCAAGAAGATGAAAAAAGATTAATTAAGGATTAAATCATCATTAGGTAAAAAAAATACGATTTGAAGTTAGAAATTTTTCAAAATTTAATCTTTGAATTCTTAAAAATTTCTATCAAAAAATTGTTGAAAAAAATAAAAGTGAATTAAATTGATGCTAATATTAAGAAAAACAAAAAAATAGATAATGATTAAAATGCAAAAGAAGTAATAAATTAATTAAAATTCATTTTTGTGATAACCAAGGAAGTAAAAAATGAAGAGAAAAAAAATCACTTTTGTGAAGCGTGCAGTGAAAAAATAATTCGAAAGAAGCATAATCATGGGAAATTACATTTTATTTTAATCAGAATACGAAATTATCATTAAATCAACCAACTCTTAGTGATTTTTGGTTCACACATTTTTTATGTTAATCAATCAGACGTAACACGTAACACACAAGAAATCTAGAAAAACAGTGGATAGAAAAAATTGAATTATTTTGCAATGTTCCAGTGAATGTGTTTTTCGGTACCTGACCGAGAAGTGCACTCTAGGATGTCTTTGTTTCTTTAAGTTTTTAAATTAATCTTAAAAATTAATTCATGATAAAATGTGGAATCGACAAAAATGGAACTGGATTTGATTAAAATTAATCCAGTGTTTCAGAACCATACAATTGGACTGAAATGTGTGAAAACATTTGTATGGTTTTACTTAAAGTATTCGGAATTTGTAATGTTTCATAAGAGAGAGTAAATGTCTGTTGTATGGTTTTATAAGGGAAAATATGAAAATTGTATGGTTTTCAAGGACAAATTTGGATCAATTTCAATCACTTCCAGTGCCATAATTCATCAATAATGAACTTTCAGTCACAAGAAATTTATACAATAATTTTTAATAGTGATTTTCCGTAATAAAAACTGATTTTTGTGTATTGAATAATAAGTAATGAGGAATCATGTAAGATTTTTGTTTTTAGTAGATTTCAAAAACAAGAAAAACCTGACTAGTAAATCCTTTTCATATATTCGTGTTTCGTTTAACCATCGTTCATAATTATTTGTATCATGCTTAACATACATTAGATCATAAAATTAAATTAATCACATTATTAATGCGGATAGTTTTCATGATTTTTCTTTACAAAAATAAGCAATCCCACAACTTTTTTATTTGAAATAAAGTTTTATTTTATTCAAACATTAATTTCGAGATGAAAAAAATACAAGAAATATATGAAAATCATAATAAACTGAAGAAGGTAGTAGTGGATAGCGATTGTGTAATGAAGAAAAGTCTACAGATAAATGAGAAACTACAATAATTTAATAATTATTAAAAATTAAAATAAAAACAGACTTTATTTAAAACCAAGAAATATCTGTCATTTACTTTTTCGTGACTTTCAGCTGATCTGATAGACATTTTGGACATTATAATGATCAATTTAATAACGCATGTCATTTCTAAACAGTATCTTGTTAGTACAGTGCAATATGTCATGCAGATAAACTATAATACATGCTGTTCATACATTCCTATGCATTTATTACTTTTTCACCCCTCTACAAATGGTCCTTTAAGGCTTCTTTGATACTCGTACAACCATAAAAAGTACAAAAGACGACGTTTATTGTTTTTATGCATGCTCAAATGTGCTTCCCCTAATCTGACAGAATTATAGCCGTGTGAATTGACATCTTAGACACATTTTTGATCACTTTCAAGGATCCCATTTGAAATGACAAGAGAAAGCTAGCAACCTTAATAGCAGACGTAAGACGCTGTTTTAAACCGACTTATGAGACTTTATACTAGCTAGCTTGAAGAGTAAATACGTTTAAAATCTGAAAATGCCAAAACTGCTGTAATTGGGGACTTTTGCGTTTGCTTTACTTAGTTTTTAAATTTTTATTTATTTTTTACATCATTTTTTATTTATCAATTATCATTATCTAATAAAAGAAAAGTCTAGTTAAACTTTGCTTATATCTCTCTCATCATTTAAAACTCAAAAACGAAAATTTTGACAGAAAAATAAAATAGTAAGTAGGAAAAGAACAAAAAGCAAAACTTTCTGTGACAAAAAGGCAATTTTTAAATGAACTCATGTACTTAATAATCTATTTATTCTATTAAGCATCTAAATTAATAATTAATCGTGAGGAAAATGAATTTTATGTATTGTTTTTTTTTTGAACCTCTCTCTTTTAATATTTGTCTCTCATTAAAATGCATTTTTAAAAGAAATATCGATATACATAAAGTGTCTGTGACAAGGAATCAAAGAGAAGATATTCAATTATTAACTTATAAAAATGACATATCGTCAATAACTCATATTATTGATATTAATATTATTATTTAACTTATCGTTTCTCTGATTCCATTGTCCATCTTTGTGTATATAATTTTAATATATGTATAACTATGTTGAGAAAGAAAAATTAATTAAATCTAAGTTTCTCTACGATTCTCAGTTAAACTTAAAGATTGATTTTTCATAATTTGTAATTAAAGTTAATGGTCGTAGAAAAATAAGAACTGTTTGAAAGAAGGACCGATCCTTAAAGTCCTTAAAATATGTATATATAGTTAATGTGAATGTTATGGTTTCCTTTGAACATATTATTATTATATATCTTCTTTCTGTTGTTGTTAAGTTTACTGCTGTGATAAAGTTGTTGGATTTAGGATATCATCTATTGTTTTGGTGGTTGCATATTCAAATTATAAATGAATAGTAGTAAAAAAAGGCGTCATTTATGCAGCTACGTATTATTATTCAGGACCTCCTTTCTTGCCAATGAGCGACTTATGGATGTGTGGAATAACACCACCACCAGCAATAGTTGCCTTGATCAAGGAATCGAGTTCTTCATCTCCACGGATGGCTAATTGAAGATGACGTGGTGTGATACGTTTGACTTTCAAATCTTTTGATGCATTTCCTGCCAATTCGAGGACCTATAATGGATCATATATAGTTTATCATATTGTAACGGACGAAAGGAAGTAAATATTACTTTAAATGTATCTTATATTTTACGAATTCAGTAAATAAATGGGTAATGAAGAATTGATTTAAGCCAAAAAAATTGTAGATGTAAAATAAATCAATTGAAAAGTCAATAACATCAAGAAAATGTAAAGAAACAGAATGAGAAATAGGAGAGAATGTTTATAGAAGGAAAGGAACAGAAGAAAGAGTGAAAACAAAATGGCGTTGTTTGGCGCGCGTCGGTTTGTATTTTTAAGATCCAGTAAACTTAATATGAATGAATGATAATTACCTCAGCAGTCAAATATTCCAAGATAGCAGCGGAATAGACAGCAGCAGTAGCTCCAACACGTCCATGGCTAGTAGTGCGATTTTTTAAATGTCGATGAATACGTCCAACGGGGAACTAGACGAGAATTGACAACAAATAGATTTTTTGATGTGTTAGAACTTTTGTTTTCTAGCGCCAAAATTGATGCTTTTGAAATATTTCATCATTTTTCTTTAATTACCTGCAAACCAGCACGTGCAGAACGGGAAACTGCCTTGGCTTTAGCCTTTCCTGAATCTTTTCCAGCTTTACCACCAGCCTAATTAGGGATAAAAGATGTTTAATTATAGTGATGAGTTGAAGGTTAGAATGATTTGTTTAAAAATTCGAGAAAAATCAAGAAAATGACACTTTTTGAACAATCCTCGAGTACTTTGAGGTATTAGACACTTTATAGTATGATTAACAACACTTTCTTACCATTTTTGATATTTATTTAATGCTTAAATCCTTTAAATTAAGAAAGCTTGACTACTTTTCGCGATGAATTCTTCTTCAATAATGACTGATGTTCAGAACATATAATTTTTTTTTCTTTCAACCTTAGCATGTTTTTCACAGCAACTTATAATTTCCACTGCTTTTGTCTGACTGTCACATATAGTAAAATATCACTCTTTGAACCGATTAATTCACTTTTGATCAGATCTTCATCCTTTACTACACATGCAATTGATTATTACTATTTATTTAATTAATTAAACAATCTGTGAATATGCGCTTTAGTCCCTAATAGTGTGAGATCGAAGTTTGCTCTTGCTTTGAGTGCGTTCAGTAGACGTTTTTAATTTTTCGTTCAGTTCACAATTTCTAGTTTTTCTTTGTCTTTCTGAATGAAATTTCACATGCTGACTATATAGATGCATTAAGTATCAATCAAATAATGCATAGTTAAATCGATTAAGCAGCATCAAAGCTTAAAAATTGTGAAAAATGAAATATTATTTTGGCGCGAAAATTTGAATTTTATTTGACAGTTTCCAACGGTTTCTGTTATTTTTGAATGCATTGCATTGTTTTTGTTGAAATTCACGAAAAAAGTTAAAATTTTTGTTAAATACAGTCAATTATAGTTGATTTTGTTGTGTAATTCAATGGCTTCAAAGGATAAGCCAGCAACTAAGAAAGAAAGCAAGAAGAAGAATGCATATGAACAGCCAAAACATCTGAAAACCGGCTCGATCATAATTGACAATTACAAGAAGCAATGGAAAATTGGAGTTTCGATCGGTAAATTGCTTAATTATACTAATAATAATATCACAATATATAACACACAGCAATAATCCTTAGGAATCGGTGGATTTGGTGAGATTTATTCAGCTTGTGATGCATCTTCAGGAACTAAGAAGGTTGATGACTATCCATTTGTTGTTAAGATTGTAAATATACAGCATAAAATCTCTGAATTTCATAAGATTGCTTAATTAATATAAATGCTTTAGGAACCACATAGTAATGGACCGTTATTCGTGGAGATGCACTTTTATATGCGCAATGCTAAAAAGGATGATATTGACAAGTTCTCAAAGGATAATAAAGTTAAGTCGATTGGAATGCCAATATTTATTGGAAGTGGCTCACATGATATTGAAAACATAAAGCATCGATTCCTGGTTATGCCTCGTTATGGCAAGGATATTTGGAAGATATTTCTTGAACAGAATCGAAAGTTTCCTTTACATACAGTCTACAGAATTGGATGGCAAATGATCAATGTGCTGGAATATATTCATCAACGAGAATATGTTCATATGGACATAAAAGGAACTAACATTTTACTCGGTTTTGGATCAAATGATCAAGTATTTTTACTAGATTATGGCTTGGCTTGTCATTATAGCACAAAAGATTATAAAGTTGATCCAAAAAAGGCTCACAATGGTACTATTGAGTATACTAGTCGAGATGCACATAATGGAGTTCCAACAATGCGTGGGGATATTGAAATACTTGCTTACAACTTGATTGAATGGGCAGGAGCAAAACTTCCCTGGACAGCATCAGCTTCAATTCTTCAAAAACCAGTTGAAGTTCAAAAATTAAAAGAAACGTTCATGAAAGACACAGGAAAGTCATTAAAGTCAGCATTTGGATCTCTTTCAGTTCCATCACAATTGACTGCATTTATGAAGTATATCGAGTCAATGAAGCATAATGACGTTCCTGACTACAAAAAGATTCGTAGCATGTTTGAAAGTGGAATAAAAGAATTGAAACAATCAAATAGTGGAAAATTAGAGTTTGGTAAAACAAAAGACGACGAAAAGACTTCAAAGTCACCAATAAAAAGAGCTCCAACTAAGGAAATTGAAAAGCCTGTAAAATCACCTGTGAAGAGAGCTCACGCATTAACAAAAGATCCAGCTGAAAAGGCACAAAAACAGCCAAAAGTTTTAGCATCAAAAACTGAAAGTACAGACGACGATCGACCACTAAGATCAAAGCGTATTAATGATAGGAAGCGATATGTAGAACTCGATAGCGATGATGAGGTTGAAGCTACTGTTAAAAAGACTGATAAAAAGACAGAAGAAAAGAATAAGTCAACGTCAGAAAAGAGTGAAAATAAAACGACTAATATGTCACCACCACAAAAGAAGACGAAAGATGACAAAAAAGGTACGAAAGCAGCAGCAAAAGGCAAAGTAATCTTAAAGTCATCATCTGGATCTTCAAAGAAAACGGTACAATTAAACTTTGATCTTGATATATCCTTTGATTCTGATTTAGTTGTTACGGTTAATAGAAAAGACAAAAAGAATAAAAATGACGTACAGAAGGAAGATGATAGCCACAAGAATGAGGCAGGGTATTATAAAGGAAAATATACGAAAAATTAGCGATATTAATGCTTAAGATTGATTAATTTACCTCATTTATATTTTAAATTCTTTTTTGTTATTTAACAACGAACGTAACTTAATTAATAAGCAACACTTTGGTCATTAATAAAGATTTTTGATAATGAAAGCTATTAATTAACGACCTTTTGATATTTTAAATCAAGGCGCTTTATGATTTTTGGAACTGATTTTTTTTTACTTGGAATATATAGTGAATCACTGGCTCACAAAATTTAATTATTTTAATAGAATATAGGGCATTACAAAGTATCCAGAATATTTTTGTACATCATTTAGTCATTAAGAAGCTGCTGTACTTGATAGTTGGGTAGATTGTCGTAAGGAATTGGTGAAATTTAAAGCAATTAGAAATGACGAAATTATTACTCGTATTTTCGATACTTTTAATGAATTTATGCAATCTAATTGCATTAGATATCAAGGTAAGCAGCACATAAAAATACGCATTAATGAGGCTATAATAACGAATGAATTGAAGCTAATCTGATCAGATACGGTTATCTATATTAATTCTGTTCCTTTGTTTTCATTTTTACTTTGTAATACATTAAATCCTGATAAAAATAGAAAGACGTACAAGGTGATCAACAAAAGTGTGCAGTTATTGAACCTGTTAGAAATTTCACTTTCGATTTTAACGAAATTGTAAGCGAATTGGGCTATCACATAAACGGCGATGATGATAATCTTGGACAGTATTTCTTTAATTTATGCAAGCCATTAAGTAGAAAATGTAAAAATCAAACAGTTGCGGCTTGCCTCATCAAGCATAGATCAAAGGAAGAAGTTATCATTGGTATGCAATCTATTATTTTGATTGATTTGTTCTCAATTAAACAATTTCATTAATAATAGGATATGATAGCAAGCTGTACTGGAATGATGGTCAGATTAGATTAAGTTATGTAGGCGAAGAATGTAAAGATAAGATTAACTTTACATTGAATGTGATGCTACACTGTGATTATCAGAATAATAAGAATGACTTCCTTGGAGTTTTCCATCTTGAAGATCAATGTGAAATTAATATTTTCATGAAGACTCCTAAAGCATGCTTGCCAGTTCCCGATAATATAAAAAGTGCTAAAATGTTTGTAAAAACTCTATCAAATAAGACACTCAATTTTAATGCTTTAAAATCATCAAATCATATTGCTGAGAAGTCTAGTGACGGTTCCTTTGTTATTGGATTTCCAATTTTATATTCTCACGATGTAATGTGTGAAGCAGGCTCAACTGTTTGCTTTATTAATAATACAGAGACTGATACAAAGAAAAAATTTAAGAATGTAGGAATGATGACATCTGATATCAAATTTGAAAATGATCATCCTGTACTTGTGCTGACAAGTGATGAAGAATGTAATGGAACTAAGAAATATTCATCAAAAATTACATTTATTTGTGATAAACTGCTAAGTGATGGCTCACCAAGATTCATGAAAGAGAATGACTGTACATATTATTTTGAATGGGAAACAAAGTATGCATGTGTCGATGAGAAATCTTGCCAAATTTCTGGTCCAAATGGAGAGTTTTATGATTTTAGCTCACTTGTTGGACTTCAATATTCAATTCCTCGTTCAAACAAAAGCAATGAAGTCATTCATTTCTCTTTATGTTCACCGGCTAAAGAATGCGTTGATGAAAATTGGGGAAGCTGCATCATCAGAACAGATGAGAATGGCAATAAGCAAACAACCAATATAGGATTTCTTAATTCTAAATTGCAGATCGACAGCAAAAATGTATTTCTTAAGTATGATGGCTCCAAATGTAATGGTAAAGGAGATTTATTTTCAACGAGAATCGAGTTTATTGTCGCAGACGAGCCAAAAGATGAAGAAGTTGTGCTAATTGAAGATAAATGTGAAATTGTATTGCATTTAAAGACACTTCTCGTCAATCAAAATGTCAAAAATTGTGTCGTTAAGAATCGCCATGATGTCGAATTTGATTTGAGGCCACTGATTGATTACAATGGAAATTACGAGGCAACGATCGATACAAAGGAATCAATTGATGCACGTTATTTTATCAATGTTTGTCGTCCACTTAACTCTAAATATTCACTTGATTGTCATGGAAATAGTGCAGCTTGCAGAACAGTAGTTAAAGATGGTAAACATGAAGAAGAATTAAGTTTGGGACATTTCGAGTATGCAATGTCTACAGAACCTGGAAAAGATGGAACAACGAATGTCTTGATGAAATATTTCCATGGATCTAAATGTCCAGAAGATAATGAAGAGCACATTACAACAACAATCACATTCTTTTGCGATATTTTAGCTGGTTTGGGAAATCCAATTCTAAAATCAACGGAACACTGTGAATACAGCTTTGATTTTCCAACAAATATTCTGTGTAATGAACAACATTTAACATTAAAAAGCAGTGATTCATGCGAGCTACTGAATGATAAAGCAAACAAAAGCATAAATTTAAAAACGTTTGGCATTTTTGAGAGCGATAATGTGAAAGTTGATATTTGCGATAACGTCACCAAATTCTACACGCTAAACTATAAAGACTCGTTGGTTGTCATCGAATATGCTAGCAAAGATAAGGGTAATTAATAACGAATGTCGTCTTTTTGAGTTTAAACAGGTCTAATACAAGTTTACTTCTTTAATAGATATCCAAGTACAGCTCAAATGTGGTGTGAAAAATAACACAAAAATCGATGTCGATCAAGTGAGTCAAAACTATTTACTGAGACTAAGTTACGTTGTTTAATGACAATTTTATGTTTATAGAATCAAATATTAGTCATGCATGAGACAAATTTGATTTGTCCGTTTTTGAATATAGCACCGAAAATGATGGAGTTTGTGGCGAGTCCAAAGAGTGATACAGATGAGAAAACAGTTATTAAGGATGAACAAAAGAAACCTGATGAGAGTTCTGCTGGATTTTCTATGGGTATGTTAAGACTTGATAGATTCAGAATACATTAATTAACTTTACTCTTCATTTAGGATACATATTCCTGATAATATGTTTGATCGTGGCTTTCGGAGCATTTTATTTGGTTATAAGACATCCAGAAAGACGTGAAATCATTATGAATATGGTCAAGTTTAGGTCGCGACGAAACATCAGATACGCTCGGGTAAGCTTTCTTTTGATTGCATCTATTTAATTTATTATTTCACATGATTTTTTTATTGAACTTTTTTCAGAATATGAATGATGATGATTTAATTTTAGGATAGTTGAATTGAAAGACTTGATAGATTTTCACACGATAAAAAAAGTTCCTGTAGAAAAATCAATGTGTGCTTATAATCCTTTTTGTTGTTTAATTCCTTAAAAATCAGTTGTAATCGTAAGACTTTATAATTTTTATTCTATTTGGTGATGGACATATCTAGACATTCTTTCTATGACTAATCGTATGCTTTCAATTACTTTTTCATAAACTCAAATTAACACCTCAGTTATTCATATAATTGCTTCTTGTCGTACCCTTTTCCTTATATGTGCAAGTATTTGTTTAAATGCTAGACTTTAAAGTGTTTATTTTTCTCATTTGCAGATAAATTTAAGTGAAGAATCAGCTCTTCTAACAGATAACCACGACTTAATAGCGTCGGACAGTGATGATGAAAACATTTTACTTTAAGTTTAAAAAGTTTGTTGATAATTTATTACATTTAATTTATGCCTAACCGTGAAGTAATAATGTGATCTTGAAAGTACGTACTTAAGTGCTACCTTTCAGCTGGTTCTAAGTCATTATAGTTTTTTAATTTATCTTAATTTATATGAAATTGCTTTAGTAGCTAGGAAATGTCAAGCTAAATAGTTTCAATCAAAGACAAAAACACCATAAATTGTACTTATATCCAATAGATTTTCTAAATATTAAATAATATCCCCAAAAAAGAAGTTGTATTTTTATAATCGAGAAGAAAAGATTGTTAATTGTTCTGTAGTTAATTTTGAGCAATAAAAAAGCATCAATAGAACTTTATTTTTTTTCTTAATGACTATACTTAATTTAAGGAACTTGTAATATTGAAAGTAATTGGGTTCTTTTCGAGTGAAATCATTATCTTTAAAGCATGTCTCATATCTAACTTAATCCAATCTTTAGCATCTTTAAGTTTATAAAAATTCCTATAAAAAAGGAATAGACAATTGAGGATGTCAATTATGGTACAAAAAACTTACATTTTAATGAATCCAATGCAGTTTTCTTCTAAAATCTTCTCTTCGTAGTGATCAGCCAAGATTAGTGTTTCCAAAACATTTTCTAATTCAAGACTTTCAGACAAGCTGGATATGCAGATAGTCTTCAGATTATTCAATTGAAATTTTTCAGCAGCATACAAAAGTTTCGAAGACATGCTTTGATTAATAACTAAATCTCCAGTATAAAGATAAAGTACAAGAGCTTTCATAGTTTTCGAATCGATATCATTGAGCTTTATCTTATTGTTTCCGCAATCTGTCGCTTCAGCTTCAAGCATTTCCATCAGAATTGGGCATTTAAGTGCTAGTACGAATTTGTGGACTTTAATTTCTTCTTGATCAGAACAGATTATTGTTAAATCACTCAATTCAAATGACAGAATCTTTTCAAAATCTGACAAGCTTAATAATCCTTTATTTAACTGGTCAGATGATTTTGTCGGTTCAAGATCCACTTCATCAAGCTCTAACTTTAAGTTAAATTGATCAGCACTTAAGAAATTATAAAGTATAAAGCAAGCTTACCTCAATAATAAAAGATAAAGTGTTTTCTTTTAGAAAAGTGTTCTGTGCAAGCATGTCTTGTGGTCTGAACATATTTGGAAAGGTAAATCCTTCATCTTCGTCAAATTCGCACGAATTTCCATGACTAGAGCTAATGTATTGCAAAGTTCCATCATATTTCTCAACAAATAAACTAGCTTTAAGGAATACGTTGTCTTTATTTACACGCAATTTGAATATGCTAAACTCGCAAGGATTTAAGTTTGGAGAGAACTCGATGATCCATTGAGTTTGATTGTTGCCTGGAAGATTTACAGTAATTGTTTTGCTAACGCTCTTATATTTACTGCCTTTACAGAGTAATTCTCGCGATATACAATCAATTTTCCAATTTATTTTACGATAAACAATCAATTTTGACATAATTATACACGAATTATGCTAATATTAATGATTTAAAACAGGACAAACTAGTACAAACAAATATCACAGAAAAATGCTGTTTTAAAAATATTAACGGCTTGTGAGAATTCAAATGTTTACTTTTCGCAAATCGACTGTAGGGTTTTCAAATTTAAAAACGAGAAAAGGAATAATTTCATTAAAAATAGTGTAAAACGGGAGTCTTTATAAAATTAATGTATTTAAAGCGATAGATAAGAAGTTGATTAGTGCAAAAAACAAGAGAGAGACTTGAAAACAAGTCAAGTTTAAAGAAAAAAGCTAAAAATAAAATTTTGAATTCAGTTTCCTTATTTTTTAATTCATTTTTATATTAAGAAATAGAGCAATATTTTAACAAATAGCTATGTACAATAACAATCAGACTAGACATCCGCCACCTCATCAAATGTTCACATCCAGTGTAAGAAAAACATAGATTTTTGAGTCATAAAAATTTCAGCAAATAATGTCATTTCTTTTTCTTCCAAATAATCCAGCAGCAACCACCTCGAAATGATTTCAATAAATCTATTGGATCTGGACCTCAGTTTTATACAAAACCTCCATCAAATCTTCCGTCTAATCAAACAATCGAGTTTGATGAAGGTCCAAAAATTACAGTTTTTATCGGTGAGTTTACTTACAGTCGGCATTATTCAACTTTATGCTAATTATTGTTTACTATACAAGGCAATATAAGCGAAAAAGTCCCAGATGCTATGATTAAGAAAATAGTAGCAGCTTGCGGACCTGTCGCGAATTGGAAAAGAGTTTCAACATTTGGATTCTGTGAATTTGAGTAAGTCAATTCTTCATTACCTCCAATAAAGGTTTGATTAATCAGTTTATGCTTTCATTTAAAGTGGCCCAAAATCTGGAGCAAGAGCTGTGCGATTATTACATGGATTCGAAGTTGATGGGAAGAAATTAGTGGCAAAAGTCGATGCCAAAAATCAACAGTTACTTGACACGGCAAAAGATGAAGAAAATAAAAAATCCGATGCAAATAATACGAGAAATACAGATGCGGTTAATGAAAAGAAAAATGACGATTTGACAATTGAAAGATTAAATCAGATAGTTGACGAACATAAAGAGGAATTAAAGGCAGCCAACTCAGGTGAAAGTAAGTTCATAAATATAACACTAATGTGTTTATAAACTCATAATGCTTATTAATTTATAGATCAACAACATCATCCAAGGAGCAAACAGACAGTGCCATCAATAGAAATTGAAGAAGGAAAGAGAGATTTGATTAATAAAGAAATTGGTCGGTTTCGTAAGAATGCTGAAGAAGAAGAAGCTAAAAAGGAAAAGGATAAAAAGAAACGCGAAGAACGTGTAGAAAAAGAACGATCCGAAAAGAGACACACTCCATCACCAGACCGAAAAAGACGTCGTTCAAGATCCAGGTCCAGAGATAGAAATCGTGAAGTTGCAGCAAGGTAAATTTAAATGTGGAAATATTTGATAATTAATTAATAGTTATTCGTATAGGGAAAGGGAGAGAGAGCGAGAAAGGGAAAGAGAAAGGCGTGAAGTGGATAGACGTCGTGAGCAGGAAATGAGAGAAAAGGAATCAAGAGATCGTGATAGATTTCGAGAAGAACCAAAAGTGATGAAAAATCCAAAAGAAATTCAACGAGAAAAAGAGATTGCAGAAGAAGAATATGAACGCCGTCGAGCACAAAAACGTGCCAGAGATAAGCATGAAGACTATCTAGCTCGATTAGAGTAAGTCACACCTTTAAATTGCATCCAAACAGATAAATTTATTGTTAAATTTCAGAGCTTGGGAAAGCAGAGAACGTAAAAAAGCTAAAGAATATGAGAAGCAGCGAGAAAAGGAACTTAAACGGGAGGAAAAACGAGAACGAGAAGCTAAAATAATGAAAGAATTCCTTGAAGATTATGACGATGAACGAGACGATCCAAAATACTACAAGTAAGATTAAATTTTATGGTTTAATTGGTTTAATTTATAAATTCTAATATTAATGATAATGATTGTTTAAACAGAGGAAAGGCTTACAAAACTCGTATGGCAGATAGATTGGCTGAGGCAGATGCTGATTTGAAGGATCGTGATGATGAACGAGAGGAATTAGACAAATTAAAGGCTGAAATTTTCAGTGGAAAATATGACAATCCAACTCAAGAATTTGAACGACAAAAACAAGAAATGGAGGATAGGTATAAACCGAAAATATTGATTGATGTAAATCTTGAAGAGAATCAGCAACGTGAGCAAGAATATCAGCGAGAAAAGGCGCGTGAAGCAGATCGTATAAGAGCAAAAGAACGTAGATTACAACAAAAGGAACGTTATGTGAAAGAAAAATCAGCACGAGAACTTTCAACGATTGATGTTGAACCAATTGATTCCGATTCGAGCGGTGCTCATAATTTCTCGCCATCCAATGAAAGGGAACAATCAAATTCACGTGACGGTATGGATGATGAGTTATCAAGAAATTCACTTTTATCAAATTCAAATACGCCAACAACACCGAATAGTCCTGGACAGAATAATTCATCAGGTGGCACAACGGGAATAGGAATGGGCTTTAGCTTAAGTTTAAATAAAAAGCGCAAAATAGATCCTAAGAGTGCATTCAGTATGGATGATGATGGCGAGGAAGCAAATGGACCAGCAAAGAAGAAATTGGTTCCTCTAGACTATGAAGATCCTTCAGCAAATAACAAGAAGTCGAAACGTGACGGAGATGCTCAAAAGAAATCAGAAGCCGACATTGTTCGTTCACAAGAAGAGAAACGAAAATTGCATAAACAAATAATTGACAAAATTCCCATAGATAAGGAAGATCTCTTTAATCATCCACTAGATCGTACCGAAATTGATGGAACTATAAAGAAGAAGGTTCAATCATGGATTAATAAGAAAATTATTGAATATATTGGTGAGCCAGAGCCAACTTTAGTCGACTTTATATGCTCGAAGTTGCTTGCTGGAAGTTCTCCGCAATCAATTTTGGACGATGTAAAAATGGTAAGTCCAGTATTATGTCTTGAAAGTTTGTGATTAATTATTAATGAATCTTGTGTTTATATGTCTAGATATTAGACGAGGAGGCAGACATATTTGTGGTAAAGATGTGGCGCTTGATTATCTTCGAGGTGGAGGCAAAGAAACTTGGAATAAAATAATAAGTCATATTGTAAGAATAAACTTCTACTAACATATTTTTTGCGTACATTAGAAATAAAAGAAAAAATCATCTTTTTTCATACAAAATTATCAACTTATCAAATCAACTCAATCGAAATAAAGGACATTAATTAAAGAATGGAAAGTCTGGTTACTGTGTAAATCAATCGAGTGTGCATGATCGTCGATGACTTGTTATCATTTCTTGGGTAAATATTCAATTCTAAGTATGTATTTGATATCAAAACATATAAATATGCTATTTGGAATTTTTAAGAAAACTAAAGTAAAAACTTACTTATTATAAACAGCAACAAAAAAAAAATTATTAGTAACTTTAAGTCATTAATTGATTATTCCTTCATCTTAAATTCTTAATTATTATTGAAGAGATGAAAAAAATGAAAAATAAAGAAAATAATTTTGATGGAATTTGACACGGATTTTGGGTTCCGTCGGAGGATTCATTACCATATCGATCATGTCTCCTTTTTTGGTAAGTTTAACTTAAACCTTGCATTAATTATTGTACGTCCTACTATCCTTAAATTTCCCTTAAAAGTGTATCATTCAAGTCTTGCGTGCATCAAAATGAGTCAATAAAAGCAATTCCTTTCAAATAATTTTTTGTCAATAAATTTTTATTCATACTCATAGATAGATAGATCGCTGCTTAGCTCACACTTATTAAATGCATTTAATAATACTTCATTTTATTTTTTTAAAAAATTCCAACTCGTCTTATATCAATCCTAAGATGTATAATAATAATAATCATGTATGTTTGAGAGATAAATGTCTTAAAAAAAGTATTTAAATTTGATATATAGATAGATAGCTTAAAAAATGGAATGTTTGAAATTGCAGTTTTGATTTCAAAATAATTGCCATTAAAATGCATCATAACTCTCTATATGATGTTCATATTAATACTCATATCACAAATCATATCTATGCATAAGAGTAGTTTTCTTTATAATACTTGGTATAATAGAAACTTATTAAAACTTCAATCTTGCAATCATAGATAGTTATGTTGATGAAAAATGCTTCCTTAAAGTCTAGTTCTAAAAGATTATTTCTGAGTTTTTGATTACCTTAAAATCATCTCCTGAAATTCATTTAATTCATAAACTGATAGCTAATTGAAGCCGGTTCAATCATGCGACTATGTGTATTGATTCGCTGCAAATGACAATTGCGGCACAACAAATGCCCATCAAGTGGATAACAACGTTTATCTGCTTCATCTGTCAATTGCATCTGACATGCTTCGCATTTATAACAGTCGACATGAAAATCTTGATCCATAGAAACAACGCGAACGGTTTCCTCGCTATCTGATAATGGCGTTATACCTAGAAAATGTTTAAAATTAAGCTTAGTCACTTACGATTAATTTATTGTACTTACTCTTTTTACAAGCATGACATTTAGGTGCATATAAAAAATGATAATCATTCACACAATAAATTTTATTGTCCACGTCCACCTAAATTGAAAGAAAACGAGAAAGTTTTTATTTATGTCATGAATTATGCGAAGGTAAAACTCACTGTAAAAGGAACTCCATCCAAGCATTCATTGCATACACAACATCTAAAGCAGCCAGGATGATAGGATTTACCTATACAGAAATATACTTGCTTAATATTACTTGAGCATTTATAATTAATTATTTTATAGCTTACCCATAGCATGCAAAATCTGTAAATCATAAGATTAAAAAGATAGTGATTAATATCAGTAAATTGATACATGACTGAAAAATATTAATTACCATTTCCATAATTAAATGTCCACAAATATTACATTTTTCTGATGTCTGTTGGAATCCAGAATACTGTTAAAGAATTGAATGTTTTATTGACTTAATTTGATGCTTCACAAATGAATCAGACTTACCAAATAATCTTCTTCACAATAGACACGACCTAAAACATTATAAAAGGCCTTTCCGCGTAAGGCTCGTCCACATTGACAGCAAATAAAACATGCTGTATGATACAAATTTCCCATTGCCTATACAAAAATCATGTAGATTATTTTCAGTCGTTTCTAAAATAGACCTAGAGACTCATACCTGACAAGCTTGTCCTGCACCGGTAACCTTTAGCTTGCACGTATGACAAATTCCAAAATATTCTCCCTGTTCTTCATTCTTCTCCATTTCTTCTTCTAATGCACGCGTTAACTCTTCAATCTTTCTTTCAGCATCCGTTTTGCCAGCTATAGAAAAGCCAAAGATCCAAAATGACGAGTTATTTCATGACAATATATCCATAACTTACCTGGCCGTGATGTGACACTATATGGAAGTAAGTTTTTAAATTTAACTGAAATAGGATAAATAGAAAAAATAGTTATGAAGTGATTCCAGCAGACATAAATGACATTTTACCTTTTCCAGATGAGCCAATTGATGGTGTTGGCGACGACGTTTTATTGACTGGTGAGCTTGATGTTGATGATATTTTATTTAAATTAACAGACTGCTTGGCAGCAGCAATCGAGTCAATTTGCTGATTGGCTGCAGTTGAATATTGTGCTTGTGGAAGCTCATTCGCTGGCGTCGTATAGTTAGTCTTTAAGTCTATATTTGAGAGAGGCGGAATAACAGGAGAACGTTGGATAACAACTTGAGAAGCTGGAATTTGGTTTGTCGCTGACTGTTTACCATTTCCATTAGTGCTTCCTTGTAGTTTCTTTGAGAGAGTTCCACTGTTCATGCATACATAGTCAGATCCATTAATATCATCCATTGCTGTACGAGATCCAGCGCTTCCGATTGATTTTGTTGGCGATGAGTGTTGGTATGAACGAGTGAGTGATTTTGATGGGGAAGAGCTTTGAGGATGCTGCTGTTGCTGCTGTTGGATTTGATTTGAGTAATTAATTGGCGGATTTATTTGGACATAATCCTTATTTGGAGATTGAATGATTTTTAGTTGCTGCTGGTGCTGTAATATTGTTTTTGGTGGCAAACTTTTTTGTGCTGGCAATGACGCTGAAGCGCTATGATAAATAGCATTGCCGCCACTGGCTATATTAATATACTTTGAGCTAGCAGACGTATTGAGAACTAATGAATCAGACGCAAGATGTTCTCGTTGTAAATGATATGGAATTTGTGGACTATTTGATCCACTTCGTTCATAGTAATAAATTTGTTTATTAGCTGGTGATGCTTGAGGTTGTGCTTGTTGTCCTAAATGAACGAATAAATGAGTAACATGAGTAATAGAGCCATAAAATTAATAAGGAACTAACCTGAAATCACTTGCAAATTCTCATATATAGGTTGCGGTTCAACTTCCGAAGGTTGTGGTGTATGAGCATATCGTAAATTCTCATGTTCTTGACTAAAACTCATATTGTTTCCATTCGACGGACGTAATTGAGGTTGTGCCTTTGCATTACTGGATTCAAAGTTCTGATCGATTGCGTCTAGATCTGTGACTTGTAGCTTTGATCCATACTCAACATTCTCATAGATTCCTTGACTTGAAGCTTCCTCGGGCATATAATGATAAATTGGTTGAGAATAATTTATGGATTGTGGATTCGCCCTACGATTGAGCGAAGAATTCGGAGAAAATCGTTGATAATCAGATGACCCATTATTCAGGTTCATTTGTTGTAAGCGATACAGTAATGCATCATTCTGATTGTTAGTATTATTGGACATGATTTTTATATTTTTTTAATGATTATTACTCATCAGAAGAAATAATTGTGTACAAGAAGATTACTAATAAAAAATTTACTGACTGCTAGTTTCTTATTTTCACTGCTCAATTCGCTATTAAACTGTCTTAATTTACTATTAGGGGCAACTACAGAACCTACTATAAAATATTATTAATTAACTTATCACATTAGTGAAGAATTTATTGCATAAAAATTAAAATAATCAAAAATTCTAATGTCCTTCCCTTAAAAATCACAATTTTTTTTGTTCTGTATAGGAATGGAACGGAACAGCAAAGAATATGGACTTTTTGAGATTGACTATTGTGGCAGTTAAAATTAAATAATTCCTTTTTTTTTTTTATACCTGAAATAAATTTAAGGGTTTTGGACATTAATCTTCTGATTATCAACGTTTGAGGGATATTTGAGCTTTAGATTTGCTGACATTTAAAGAATAGATTATAAACTATGAAGTAATCATGAGATTCATGAACATATGATCATCATGTAATGACTTATAGCTCGCAAGCTATCAAGTGTATGCAATTTATGTGATTTTTATGACCACATTTTTTGTGAAAAGAGAAATTCCAAAGCATCAACAAAGGAACTCTCTTAATCGACTTTAATAAATATCATCAACAGCAACTAAAATTGCATATACAGTTGATGTACTCTCTTATTGATTCTCAGTATTCGCTCTTTACTCATCGTGAACGGTTGAGTGAATAAATCATGAAAATTTTAATCTACTTTTCGATCTTCGTGCTAAGTCTATATTTTTGGTATAGAAAAACTTTCGGTCATCGAAACAAATTATTATCAAAGTTCCCAGCTCCAAAGTCCTATCCAATTTTGAATCATTCAGTTCATATTTTTGGGAAAACACCTGGAGACATTTTTCAAATCTTTCATGAGTTCAGCATGAAGTATGGTCCGATCTGGAGATTCGAAATGAATCCATTTGTTTCATTTATTTACGTTCGAGATCCAAAAATTGTTGAGGAAATTTTATCAAGTCAGAAACTTATTGACAAAGCTAATGAATATGATATGTTGAATGGTTGGCTAGGGACAGGTCTAATTGTATCAAGTGGAAAGAAGTGGCATCAAAGAAGAAAAGTTATCACTCCTGCTTTCCATTTTAGGATCTTAGAACAGTTTGTTGATGTTATGGAAAAGCATGGAAAAACTTTTGTTGGGAAATTAAAGGACTTTGATGGACGTAGAATTGACATATTCTCAATAATCTCACTATATACGTTGGATGTCATTTGCGGTAACATTATTATTGCATTAACACAAATTCTAAGCCGTAAATTAATCCCCATTTTTATAATTCAGAATCTGCGATGGGATATGAACTTAATGCTCAATTGGATGATTCTTCTGAATATGTTAAGGCTGTGAAAGAGTATGTCGGAACCGCTTAGCATAATACTTTTTAACCCGATTCTTCTTTTCAGAATAACTGCTTTATACTTTAAAAGAATTTATGATATTAAGAATCGGATTGAATTTATTTACAAACTTACAAGCTTGTATCAACGAGAAAAGATAGTCACCAAGAAACTACATGATTTTACAATGGATGTGATTAATGCGAGAAGGCATTACTGGAATAATCTAGGGATTGATAAGAAATCGTCAGGTTCTATAGATGATTTTGGTGTTAAGAAGAAAACAGCATTTTTGGATTTATTGTTGCAATCTAAAATTGATGGAGTTCCGTTGGATGACATAAGTATTCGTGAAGAAGTTGATACCTTCATGTTTGCAGTAAGTCATGCATAGAGGAATCAAAAATAATAAATAATTTAATGTCATTAAAATTAGGGACATGATACGACAAGTACGGCAGTTGCATTTGCACTGCTAAATTTAGCAAAGAATCCCGACATCCAACAGCTTGTTTTTGAAGAATGTAAAGAAATTTTTGGAAATGATTTTAAACGTGCAGCTTCAATGCAAGATCTGAACAACATGTCATATTTGGAAAAAGTTATTAAGGAGAGTCTTCGATTGTATCCTCCGGTATGCTCTAAAATTTATAGAATTAGACTTACTTATTGATATATTGTATGCTTGACTTCTAGGTTCCTGCTTATTCTAGAAATTTCCGTGAAGATGTTGTGTTGGGTGGATATACTTTTCCAGCTAATGTCAGCACTAAAATACAAATTTACGTCATGGGAAGAGATCCAAGTTTATTTCCAAATCCTCTCAAATTCGATCCATCAAGATTCGAAGATGAAAGGAACATCAAATTATTCTCTTATGTTCCTTTTTCTGGTAATTTTATATCTGCTTGATATTTGTGGTAATTATTAATAATTTGTGTACTCTAGCTGGTCCGAGAAACTGCATAGGACAAAAATTTGGAATGCTGGAAATAAAAAGCATCATTTCAAAAATCATTAAAGATTTCCAAATTTTGGTTGATAAAGAAGACGAAAATCCAAGCTATGCCCAAGAAATTGTTTTACGACCTGACAATGGGATCAATCTACGCTTTAAACTAAGATCTGATGATTGATAAATTGTTGAATTTCATGATTCATATACTTATCGGATTTGTGCTGTTTGGTATGTAATAAAAATGTAATTTGAATCAACAAACAGTGTTTCATAAGTAATTTAATTTGAGCATGACAAGAATAAATCCCTTAAAAACGGTTAATACATATTTTCAAATTAAGCCACATTCACAATTTTAAGCCAACTTAACATTGTTTTCACAATTATTTGAATAAAGATAGTTATATCCAAAAATATTTAATTAAGCTATAATTAGCCAGTGATTTAAAAATATAAAAGTAAAAACGTAAATAATGATGGAAAATCCACACAATTTTCATCAACCGCCTATTCATCGAGTTCCAGGAGAGACAAAAATCAAAAATGAACATGCATTGCATGACGATTTAACGAAATTAACGAGAAGAGAATTGCTGGACACTAAAAGCAGGCAACTGTTGATGCTCCAGAATAAGTAAAGCATTTAATCAATATTAATGACGTTGAATTTCGTAATGTGATGAATTTTTCAGATCATGGATGAACAAACTTCCAGATAAAGGCAAAAAGATCCAGGACTTGTATGATCGCGTCGTCCAAGCTTTAGAATTTAAAAATGAGGTACACAATGCAGCCAATTTGCTATCATCTATGAGTTTAGGAACAAATAATCTCAATAATCTTGAATGGGAAGGAACGACAGAACAACAAAAGAAGCCACAAATTGACAGTGATGACGATGAAGTACAAGATCCATTAGAAATTCTTGTTTCTTCAAATTCAGTGTATTCCAATAAGAAAATTATAAAGCATAAACAAAGTGAAAATGATAAGCCATTAATAACAGAAGAGGATATAAAGGAAATACGAAATCCTGAATTTCATCTAGATCCAGTAATGGAGAAAATTTGTACATATGATAGGTCAGAAGTACCATTTAGATTTTTACCTCATAAAAGTACAGAACAGACATGTCCTATAAAAAATAAAGAAATGAATTCAAAGTTAAAGACAGTCAATAAAATTGATAACAAAGGTTGTGAACAAATTCCGCTCATAGAATCAATAGTCATGGAACATGAGTCTCGAAAGAACAGACAGGAATCATTAGAAAAGCAAGCTACAGAGAGGCTTGATGCAAAGAAAAAGGAACTGGAAGCTTCTGGATTAAAGCTGACAGAACCACCAGAAATGATGCCAGCTATGACAAAGTATCGATTGCCACCAGAGGAATATGATGATATTATTTTAAAAGATGCTGATGATGATTTAAGCGACGATACATTATCAGATGAAGAAGACAAGTGATTGTATTTTAAACAATTATCTATTTTATTAACATCAACCAGTTAAATATATATTTTTTGTTCTACAAAATAATTTATAATGAATAAAATTGTGTCGTTGCTTGACTCGACTGTAACTCAATCTGTGCCATTTTAAATTGTAATCTCTGAAGCCACTTTAATAATGCGTCATTTGCTTTTATATCCACTTCATCTGGATTTGGTGCAATATCTCGACAATTTTGAAGTCTAACTTGAAGCGTTCCTGACAAATTATTACAGGAGAGTAATGGACTCCAGAGTGGAAGTAATTTCGATAAGATTGTTGATCGAGTTTCTTTCAGTGCTTCCAAAAGACTCAAAAAGTGCAAATTTACCATTTCATTGAGTTTTGAGTGAGAAATTAAGTAGAAGATTGTTGGAGTTACTTTTACCCAAAATTCAAACAAAATTGATGTGGCAATTGTGTCATTTGTATGATGTGATATCTGCTCTAAATAGACAGTCCACAATTGACACAATGTGAATGCATGAAAAAGTGATGACATGTGAAGAACTGATGTCTTTGATTGTTCCAAAAATCCTGCAAAAATTGTCTGTATATAGTCAGCAATGTGACATGATGCATCTTGCGGAACTGGCTGTGAAAAGCTATTTTGTTGTGTCATATGGAAATGAGTTTGATGATTGTGTTGATGATCGCGTAGATTAGATGTTTGTGCTGTATGAGTAAGACTTCCCATTAAAAGCCATGACAGTAATCTCATGTGACTAACACATTCTGTAAATTCTTTAGGTCCTTGCTGTAAAGTTGTTGGTGCATTATAAAGCCATGGAAGATATCTAGCAACTGCTCTATTCTCCTTGGAATTTCCTCTTGACATTTCCAATGCGAGATACTGAGAAATGGCACCTTTTAAAGCTCCACCTAAAGTATCTTCTGTCAAGCCCATTGCACCTGACGACATAGTGGATCCATTCTTAAAATTCTTTATTTTACTCAATGTGTGAAAATCTGCCAAAAATTCAAGGATGTCATTGAGATATTGACGCATACAGTCAGCAGTATTGTTCGAAAACATTGGTGGACTTTCTGGTAAGCCAGCGTATACCTCTTTAGGTAAATTTCCACCCAAATCTTGAATAATCATTCCAATCAGAAGTAACAAGTTGTGATCGGGTATCATTGTTTTAAATTTTAAGCATTGAGCAAGCTCAAAGGCAATTTGTCTAGCAATTTGATACTTATCTCTTTCTTTTGTATATGCTCGACTGTTGAGACAACAAAGTTCATGGACTGTCTTGTGATTAAGATGAAGATTTTGAACAGCATAACTGAATATTTTTGAGAATGGCTCAAGAATGCTTTTTGGGAGTCCAGGCATTTTAAATACTGATACCATAATACTTAACAGGCTTTCAATTTCATCCATGCTAGGAAGCATGAATACGATTCGTCTAAAAAGAGAATCAATACCTTGAATAGCTGTTGTCCAAATTACTGGTGCATTTAAGCTCTCGATTTGTAAGCACAGCAAATATTCATTCAGGTTTCTCATGATTATTGGCAAATCCAATGGTAATGTCTTCTTATTATTCAATGATTCCATCAATAAATTAACTGGACTTGCAGGATGTAATTCAGCAAAGTCAAGAAGAGCTAATGCTACACATTTGAAGAATCTTTGACGAACATTTTCTGGATTTTGAGTCAAGAACACTTGATAGAAAATTCCGTTTGGTGCCAGCTGATGAAGAACACATCGAATAAATTGATGAGCGACACTAAAAAATAAGTCATGCTTATTAAATCTCAGAAAATCAATTATTTAAATAAACTTACGCTTGAGAAGCTCCAGGCAAGTGTGTGGATGACTCATATTGCCATGAAAATGTATGAGAATGTGCCATTTTTGAGACAAAGACTAATATATCCGGCAAAAATGGACATGCTAAAGCAGGCTCACGATGAATAAAGGTTCCCAATAGTACTATAAATAGGCCAAGTTCCTCATCTGTATATTCTTCCTTTAATGCTCCACATTCACTACATCTATCAGCAGTACATTCATCTCCAATACGGAATACACTTTGCTTTGTCTCTGTATTAAGATAACTTGTTTTTGTTGATCCTTCATCTTCATCGTCACTGCCTTCATTCAAAAATTGTGGAGCCCAAGAGCCTGCATATCTCAATCGACTATCTCCACATTTTCCTAAACCAGCTCTTTTAGTTGTGACTCGACGTTGATGTTCATCTTGATTTCTTCCTGGTGTCTTTTTATAGGAAATTGGATGTGCGGGATCATGCATGTGAACATGAGGTGGAGATTCTACGAGAGCAACTTGCTTAATAAGCCTGCGTGGTGAAGTAGCACGTGATGAATTTGGTGGACTGTCAGTAGTTGATTTATCAAGATGATCTTGAGATCTTAAATGACTGATGTCAGGGATAGCAAGACCTTCACGAACTCTCTCGCAAAGATTAGTGACATTCTCTTTACCCATGTTTCCAATTGGCAGCAATCTAGTGGACAATAATAATATAAATTATTTTATTGGTGCTTAATTAAGCTTTGACTTACCTCTCTGGTGTTGGAAATTCCAATTTCATGTTTGTTGGAGTTAACACTGGCGTTTCAGTTCCATCTGTAGAAATATCTGCATCAGTTTCTGGAGGACTGAGTGGTAAAACGTCCATTCTTGATAATGGACTTTCAGGAGAACCGAATAGGTTTCGTCTTTCATTAGTTTTAATGTGTGAAGCTACAAATTTCTTTTGTTCATCTGTGGATATTGAAGACTGATGTGAAATTCCATTTGTGTCAATAATCCGTTGTTGCCTTCCTAATGCTCGAATCGGAGAATTACTTCTTCTTACTGAGCTAGTTCCATATCCATTGCTTGTAGTCGTTGGTTGAACAATAGTTGCACGTTGCTGCTTTTCTCCAACAACAGCTGATACGGTTCGCAATTGAGATGTGGTAGCTGATGCGATTATATGATGTGCTGTAGATGTATCCTTACATGTTGTTTGGACAACTTTAGAGGATGGTGGTTGAGTAACAACAATCGCTTTTTGCACATTGACTGGAGGACTTAAAATAGCAGATGAGAACATCATTCTCATTCCTTCAGACACACTTTTTGCTGCCAATTCATTTGATGTTGACTTGACCATAGATTTTGATGCTTTCTTTTTATCTTCAACTGGCTCAACGACCTTCTTTTTATTTTCAACTTTAACAGCAGTTACATGATGATCATCAGACATTCCATCGTCAATACTTTCACCATGAATTGTGCTATCTGATAAATCAGATTCTGGAATGGCAACAAGCTCTGATTCCGTCTCATCACATTCAATGCTCGAGTCTTGTGGCTTTCTTATTTGTGCCATAGATGTTGGTTTAATTTGTGAATGAGCAGATGGTTCTCTATCGTCTGCCTCAAGTGTAGGCTCCTTTATTTCCGGACGTCTTAAACTATCTTGAACAAGAATAGTTGTGGGAATTCGCTTGCATTGATGGAACTGTGATTGTGATTCAAGTGACGTCATAATGATCCGAATGACACTGCTTAATAATGGCTCGGGTATATTATTCAAATTATATTTATAGAGAATAACGAGTACAGCCATTAACCAATTCTTACGGACTTGTGGCTCAAGAAACCATAAAGAATATGATGTATTTTGCATGACGTCAAACGTTGCTGGTATAGAATTATTCGGATATGGCGAATAAATCATAAGATGTATAATGAAATTGAATAATGAATCTGACGATCCCATTTCGACATTTTGATCCAAAAATTGTGGTAGATTAGCCATGAAGCTATTGAATACTGATGAGCATCGGATTCTCGACGAGCTGAATTGAAACATTTTCTCATTTTGATTAAATCCCATCAATAAGTAAACATGCTTCAACACAATAGACATTAATCTGCATGTTGGCTTCTCTTCTGTTGGAAATGCCAAGTCTGGACGTGACATGAATTGCATTAAGAGATGTGTAAGTAGATGTATTGTTTCTTTATCCGTTGATTCCTCTAAATCTATGACTCGAAACAGACTGCCAGAGAAATTGACTTCATCATAGCCACTTATGTGACCATCTACATTGAATCGTTTAAAAATAAATTTATGTTTACTTGTAAATTTTGTAATAAGCATAGCTTTGCATAAAACTACAAAGCACGAAACAGGAAAATGATAGATGAGGATGAGATCTCTACAGTATAAATCTAAGGTATTTCTACTTGCTTACAGAGTTTTATAGTTTATTCAAACACGTACTGTGGTTCTCTGACTTAATAAATTATTATTTTTGTTTTGATTAAGTGATCTTATGATTGATAGAATAATCAAGTCTTTCGAGGTCAAATAATAATAATTTTTTTTTGAGAACAATTCAAATTTGTTGGTTTTGTATAAAAAAAAATATAAAAGTTATGAACAAAAGGAACGAACCCGATGTGACAAAAATCAAGTGAAAAAATTTTTTTGAAAAGATTTTTGTCACTCGGAAAACAAACACAGAGACTAGAGGAAATAGAAAGAGCCAATGGGAGACAATTTTGGTCAACATCGAATAGAATCAAATTCGTGTCTTAAATCTTAGAAACAATCATGCTCTAAGACTTACCTGAAGAACCACCATGTTGAGTTGAATAAGACGGTTGATGGAAATGAAAATGAACAGAGGTTGGTGAATGTGGAGTAAAAGCGGGTGAGGATGGTGGATAAGGAGATAAGTGTTGATGATTGTATTTTGTTGGATGTAAATGATTAAGATTATTGCCGCTGTGAGCGGGGGATATGGAAGGTTGATGAGAATGAGTATGATGCGGAGATGTAGCTAAGTTAAGATGATTATGAGCATGATTAGTATTTCCATGTAAAAACTGACCCAGTCCAAAACGAGATGTCTTTCGTTTTAATAAAGGCGCCGATATTTGGCGATTGTAAATTTTCTCTTTTTCTGGAATCAAATAAATTGCCATAAATTAATTTCATCACTAATGCCGTCAATAAATCATGTCCTCACCAATTTTTGATTCTTGTCGTGGCGCAAAGTTTGCCGGCGCAGACATTGTTCTCTTATATTGCCATTTACCAAACGATGCACTCAATGTTTTTGACATTTTTCGTGACTCTGTCGAGTCTGATGATTGACTTAATGCCTCACGTGCTTTTGTAATCTTATTTGTTAATATTTCACTTCCGTTTTCGGAATTTCTCAAGTCACGAAGGTATGATAAGTCGCCATTTTTCTCGAGATTGACTTGTGCCTCGATGAAAAGCGTATCGAAACGTGACAGGAAAAAGTCCCATGTAAGTATCTTTCGATCAGACAAGGAATTCAACAACTGATATACTGATTGCAATACAACAGGACGATCAATAATAAATGTGTCAAATTGAGACTCCAGACAGAATAGAAGTGACTGTGAAATAATGTTTTTGTATTATTTTAAGTCCATGTCTATAAAGATTTCATTACTCACCCTTATAGCAGTGTCATGAATAGTTCCAAGATACAAAGTAGCACGTTGTGCAACATAAACATTGATATCATCCATGCTTGCAATCAAGTGGCAAAATGCAGTTGCTAGAGCTGTTTGTAAATTTATTTCACTTCTTAGCGGTGTCGAATCCATAAATCTTGCAATGACTGTTACACGTTCTACAGCTTGGAAACGAACACGCCAATCAGTATGTTGGAAAAATTCTTGTAGGATTTTCCAAAATGCATCACTTCCAACTGGCAAAGTAATGCAATGCAGCAGTATTGGAACACTGACTTGTGAAATGTTGGAGTTTTCAGCATTGCAGAGTTCCCATAAACTGTGAATGAAGTAAAAGAATTGTAAGGCTGGACATGAAATGTTAATAAAGCTTACTTTTTGATCAGCAAGTTCTCCTGACACCAAATAAAGAATCCTCGATGATCTCTAGCTGCTTTTGTGAATGCATCTCCGTGAAGTACCAATGTATTTAAACATCTCATCACTGTGAAATATCCATTAAAAATGACTGGAACTTGAAAATATCCAAAAATTAACTTACATTCATAAAGTATTTCCGGTTTATCGATGCTCGGTAATTCAGTCAATAATTGATGAATAAATTGCAATGTTTGTGGCAATTGCTCAATGCAGAATTTAAATTTTCCGACACTTGTGTGCCAAAAATCACCATCCGAGCTATCGTCTGAACTGAGATTAACATTTTCAGCTGAATCTTGTTCAATTCCTACAATTGATGGTTTAGCTATTTGTACTGTAGCTTGAGCTACATCTGCATCAGATAAAGTAACTGATCGAGCGACAGCAGTGACAATTTTCTCACTTGGAAGCATCGTTGCAAGATCCAAATCGAGTGGGTCAGATACAGTCTCAACTGTTGCTGTCATAATCTATAAATTAAAATTACATTATGGATAAAATGATAAAAATGTGCTGTACATAAATTTGGAAATTTTTTAAACTTTAGATTGACATCATTCAGACTTATCACAAAAAGGATTCTTTTCTTAAAATCAAACTAAATGAGTGCCATCGAAAAAAAAAAGCAAAAATATTTTTAAGCAACAAAAGCATTTTCTTGTTAATTTAAAAATTATAAAAGATCAGATTTTGGATAACGAATAAGAAATATTATGATACAGTCATAAACATTAACAAATTTCATTTCATAATTAAAGAATAAAATCAAAAACAAATGGAGTATTTACATTGAATTACGAAATTGGACAAAGTTATCTGCTGCTGTTAGCTTATTGTGTATTTACATAATATAATACCATCGATAGTTTTATATCCGCAAGTATGAATATCACACATAATTTTGATTAAGAAAACGAGGAATATAGAGCATAAGAGCTTATTATTGCCATATATATAAAAGGAGGAAACAGCGGAAAGAGAGAGAGAAAATAGAAAGTAGAGTAGATACAGAAACAGTGATTTAGAGGATGAATATCCTTTTCATTTGACTCAAAAAAATTACAGATTTACAACATTCATAAATGTATATTTATAGATTATTATTTTTTAAAAGGTTTAGGTATGTTCATGATTATTATTTTTAGATATTTATATCCATCAATTATAAAACACATATTAAGTAACGTTCATAATCATTCTGATTGATTAGATTTTAATATTTCTACCTCATCTGTCGCTTGAACTATTTTCGCAATGTCCTTATCGTTATTATCATTCATCTATAAATTTAATTAATTGAAAGAAAAATTTAAGAATTTGCAACTTAGGAATATCATTTTTGATCATCGTAAAATTAAGGAAATCAAACGATAACGCATGTTCTAGGCTTAATAGTTTAATCACTTACAGAACAGACATGTGGCATTTGCATCTGTAAAATAATAAGCGAAATTAAACATAAACTCAGGAGTTTAAGACATTTAGATGTTTTTAACATACCAAAACGTTCCCAATTGAAAACGGCTGTTGTTCTGGAACCTGTACAGCAACTGGTCCTGAAAATGTCAATTGTTCGTCATTAGTAATTTTGTGTCTGTAATCCAATTTTTTGTTCAATTTGGTGTCTCAAAAATAACTTTATATCAAATTTTACTTTAATTAGCTCTAATTTAATTAATTTTACTTTAATGCAAAATCTCAAACTTTAGAAAAAGAATTTTTTTTTATTAAGTTAAGTAAAAACAGATGAATAATGGAACTAAATATTGAGCAATGTTTCTTTATCAATTAATTAGTGTACTATAAGTATGTAAATGAGAAATCAAAATGGTCCAAATCTAATATTTAAATGATTTTTTAATTTTTTTTTCTTTTTGTTTTAATGACAGGAAGCTCAACTTATAAAAACGATAAACAGATAGAAGAGGAAAGAAAAAAATTAAGAATAAGAATAAAAATTATTTTTTACCATGAAAGTTTAATTTTGGGGTCGGTTTCAGGGGTGTAGCCAGGATTTTCAAGGGGGGTGCACAAAACATTTTTATTCTCAAACATAAATAAATCCTTCTCTATTCGATTATTAAAAGCTAATTTAATTGTTCTTGTTTTAAGCTCATTAGCTTTTGTTTTTTTTGTTGCTTCCAGTTCTTAAGAAACTACGATTTAAACTTTAAAAAAATTTATATAAAATTTCATTCTCAAGGGGGGTTGCTCGGGCACCTAAGGACCCCCCCCCCCCCACCTAGCTACGCCCCTGGTCGGTTACTTATGACGTCTAACAAGAAGGTGGGAATAGAATCAGAAATTGTGTGACACTTCACGATTTAGGCTTAAAAATGAATCTTAAAATTGACGTCACTTGTGAACGACCCCTTTAAAGAAAAAATCCCAAAGGCTCCAAAATTATTCAAAACGTTTATAGCAAAGCCATTTTGATAAGATTACTGTTACTGGCAATCGACGCTATTGGAAGTCAAAGAATTTGCAAATTAGTGATAATCTCATTAATCCTAGTATTGCATATCGTTTCTAGACATATATCCTCAATAAAAGTGAAAATTTGACTCAAAAGGCTTCATCATTGGAACCTTCAGCGATTGAAATATAAATTAATTAATATCCAAAGACATAAAACAAACGACAGCAGACTCAAAAATCATGCACGGCAAGTATGATTGTCAACAGATAAATTATGAATGTAAAGCTTGACAATGAAGAACAGAAATCATGCGAGACTTGCTATATATATCCATTTATAATTTATAAAATAAGTAAGCACAAAACAGTTAAGAATGAACCAAAGTTAATCAACAATTTCACAAACATTGGAAATTTCATCAAATTTATTTTTTTTTTCTGTAAAACTTTGTTCTTCATTTTATACCAAAAAAAAAAAAAGTTCTTAAAAAATTTCTTTTAATCTTAATTTGCAATTTGTTTTGATGAAAAATTCACCTGCGAAGATTAGTAAATGATTGCCACCTCCATCTAATTCATCACAATTATTTTTGTTGGGGGGATATTTTTAGTAGTGGTAGTGGTAATAAATAGTAGAAGTAATCACATTATATATATAAAAGAACACACATAAAATATACACATTATATATATAGAGAAGAGATTAAAAAAAATATTTATGTATATTTGAGGAATTTGAAAAAGAAAATTTTCATATTTTAGTAAATTCTTTTTAAATTTAATTTAATAAAATTTTTGAGTCTAAAAATCATACGAATGTGAATGAGGGTTGGGTTAGGGTTTTCTTTTCTTATGAGCAATTTAGTGTGCATGTGTGGTTATTTTTTCTTTTTAAAAATATTTGCATTATGTACGGTTGGTGGAATATTTATTCATCTATGAATGTGTATTTTTTGTGACTTCCTCGAAAGCAGTAATTGAAGCTTGTGTAAAACTATTGTCTCTAAAGAATTTTTCACTTCCAACCATTTCAAAGTTTTTGTGGAAATTTTTGCTGTTTGTTTGTGTCTTTGACTGTGTAATGTGTGATGTTTCTATTTGAACTTAACTATCCAAATTTCAAAAAAATTTGTGCCTGAATAATTAAATTCAATTACAAACCTGCAAGTGATGTTATACCACCGAGAGGTCCGAGTGGAATTGGAAGTGCAGCCATGCTAAATGACACATCTCGATCTCGTTTATTGTGGTCTTTATCAGTATCCAAGAGCTTTTCATCATCAAACGTTTCAATGACTGGAGGTGGCTGTGGACACAACAAAATTCTCACTTTCTATTATTTTTTAAACAAATTTCACTTACATCTGGCTGTCTAATTGGATCCTTTGGAGCCAAAAATTGAACAACTTTAGTAGCAAGCTGATGCCACATGATAAAAGCCTCACATATTAAACAATCGGTCTATAAATGTTCAATTAATAAGTTACAATCCATAAAATTAATTCATTGGCTTACTTTTTCACTACAAACGTGACTTCCTGGTCCCATTGTTTTCACTCCAGCTGTTGCAGTAATCATACATTTTAATAATCGACAAACATTATCACACACGTGCGTATTAATCCCTTGATGCTGTTCAATATCTTGGAGTTCCATTTGTTTCAATAAAATGTCAAGCATAAGAATGCAACAAGTAAGATTATTTTCAGAATCAGTTGAAAATTCTTGTGGGCGATTTGTTGGTGCTTCATCATCGGATATTGCTGAATCGGAAATTGAATCGTCTTCAACAACAGGTGCTGTTAAGGAAATAATAATCAGTCATATGGATTTACTATTACTAATACTAGTGATATCTTACATATTGAGCTCCTTCGTGGTGCAACTCCTTGTGGCAAATGATCCTTATCCTTAACATTCTGTTTATTATCCAATTTGTAATTCTTGTCCTTCATTGCTTCATGCTGAACACCATGTTTCATAATCCTTACTCCGTCCCCAAACATTGTGAATAATTGATTAAGTGGAATTAAAATTTCAAGTCTCGTGAGGACTTGAAGCCAATGTAAAGCTTGCATTTGAACCTTTGCTGTTGTTTTCTCAAATCTTATTGTAATAAAATTATACATTTTGTTGGCATCAAATCCAAGTGGATCAAGTATTTTCCTTAAAACTATTTTCAGTTCGGATAATTCTTTTTCTGGCACGTCATTTGTCACACTTTCCATCCAATGAGGCATAACTGTCTCCCAAATTTCTTGTGTTATAATTTCATATGGAACTAGGCATATAAGTCTTTGGAGACCTTCTTTCAAATGTTGAGTTCTTGAAGCCAAAGTATCCCAATGACCACCGACTCGTGCATATTCAGGAGGATGTGGAAGTAAACAATTTATAAATACTTTATCGTGAGTTTTCAAGATTTCCTTTAGAAAGTCACAGACATGATCGATCTTTAATTTTTCTAATGTACTTTCAACACCGACTTCATTTGTATATGCTGTTATATGGAACCAATGAAACAGCATATTCAATAATCTACCCAAAATTTCAATGGGAGTGTCAACAGTTGGTGAACATCTACCAACTAAAAGCCATATTCCATATTTGCCTAATTGCTGTCTGTCTTCATTGGAAATATTGTCATGTGCTCTTCCTTCAACCGTTAAAATTGAATCCTTTGATAAATCTAAATTTAATGGTTTTGCCTCTCGCAATAAACTAACAATTGCCTCAATCATATATCCTGAACATTCCAAATCCATTTGCCATGTTGGAAGTAGAGAACGATGATAAATGTGATCGACTCCACGTTTTGCATTATGCCTGTTTGTATGGCATTGGTTGCAATACCTTATTGGATGATTTCCATTATAACTAATGCACTCGGTTGAGAAGCAAATTGAAAATGCTGACTTATCCGATGAACGACAGTTTTTGTTTTCACAAATCATTGAAACTTGTGCCATCGGATGTACAATGTCTTTAAATGCTATATTTGGATGTTCACGATGAATTGAATTGGCACATTCAATACAGCAATAGAGTGGTGGAGGATTTTCATTCGAATGAAGAATTGAGACATTATGATCATAGCAGACTTTAGAAGCTTCTGCATTTCCAGTCGAAGTGCAATTGTCACGTTGACATACAAATGGTATTAAATCATCTGTGGAATAAAACAAATTTCATTTCGTAAATTGAAATGTTGTTCAATGACTTTATCACTTACTATTGTATTTCACAAGAAGCACTTTCCTGTCAAATAAGTTGGCATCAAAAGCTGGCCAATAATAGAATAACAATTTAGCTGCTACAGATCTAGCGGTAGATGTTCCATAAGCAATAACACATAATATATCTTTAACTACATTGTGTTTTAATGACATCAAACATTCAAGTAGTTGACAATGATGTGCTGGATTATTAGAATAATGGAAAACAAACATTATGACTGATGATACAGATGCAGAAGATTGGCATATTAATGACTCTTGATCTCCTTGACGTGTTATTGTGAATGGTAGAATATAGTAGCATAGATAGTTGATAATGTCTTGATATAAAAGATGTGGTAATACTGAGAATAATGATGCACATAAATATGGCAAGTTGTCTATTACATCTCGATCTAAGAATGGCAAGATACATCCCATAACTTGGAGAATTGCTTTGCCAAATACTGCGAAAAAGATTTATTATTGTGTTAAAAATGTTGATGCACTCTCTTGTCGACTGACTTACGTGATATTCCATATTGTATATTTGGTGTAACATCAATCTATGTTTCAGAAGTAGACACAGTTAATTTTTAAGAACTAGAAGATTTTACTAATTAGCCAGTACTTACCAACATACAGATAGCATTATAGAGATTAGAATATTCTAAATTAGGGTAAGACGACATTCGGGTTTGATCCAATTCAGGATCTTTAATCATAACTAGCGGTGAATTACGAACATCCTTAAGAACAGCTGAAATATGAAATTCAATTCATCAAAATTCTGTTATTAAATTTCTAAAACTGGAAGTTGCTTATCATGAACAACATTCAACAGGTTAAAGTATGTCCACGTGCTTTTGCAGCTTCCAAGAGAGAACGTTTCTTGCTTAATACTCACTTAGTAAAGTTTGAGAGAAATATTTCAGAGTATTGGCTATATCAGAGCCAGAAGGAAGTGGAACAGTATTGTGTAGGAGACGTTGATGATAATCATGAAGGCAACGAAGCTTTGCCTGGACTTTAGTTTGTAGCAAGAAAATGACAAAATTAGATATTTTTGATTTTAAGTTCCCAAATTTTTCAGGTTAATTTCAAATTTCAACTTTGAAGAAACATTTGTTAATGAAAAACTTTAAGAGTGTTGGACATGACATGAACATTTCTCATCTTCATCTTGTGATTCATGATCAACATTATATAAATTTCATTTGATTAAATAACGTCTAGTTTGATAATTTTCATGAACTTCTTTTACTTCTAAAGTTGTCAATTGTCACAAGAAAATTTTTCCACAGAATCATGTCCGCCATTTTTGATATTTTTCATCTTCATCAAAATCAATTTTTTTCATTTTCACAATTTCAATACTTACAGGCAGCAGCTCTCGTACCCATATTGATGAGTTGTACTCTAAATGACATTTATTTTTATTTCATTCAATCCACTTCCACTTATCATTTAACTTTATCAGCCGTTAACAGCTCAAATTATTTTTTTTTCCATAAAGCTTTCGAGATAAGAAATGGAAAAAATCAATTTTTATGATTTAAGCAATTTCCCCTAACTGCTTATTGTATGGAAATATTTGGATTGCAATAAAAACTAATAGAACAATCAACAAAAGAAAGGAATTAAGCAGAATTAATAATGAAAAAATTTCAGAACTCCATCAATTTTTATTGCGTAATAAAAGTCACACCCATTGAACGCACCAAAAATTGCTTCACAGACACTTAATCACTCATTTCGCACTCAATACATTTCAATAGTTTCAAATGCTTCTATTTATAGCCACAAATAGTTCTTCCACAAGGCTTTAAAAATTTGAAAAAATTTAATAAATCTTTTTTCACATTTTTTCTTTCATCCGTTCCAGATGAAAGAAAAATGGAAAATGTCTGAATAAATCTTTTTTGTATCTGAGAAGAAAGAAAATTTCCCTGATTTTTCTCTCTTTCTCTTTTGTGCCTCCTCCATCTTCTTCATGGAACTCCACAATATCTAATTGACCTGAAAACAATGTTTTTTTACTCACTTTTCTCCCAGAGAAAATGTTTGTTGTGCTTTTCAGCACATGTGAAAATCATCTGTATGAAAACAAATTGCATGTTGGAGGTTTGAGTGTAAACAGAGAGGAAAATTGACATTACGCAGATGCGGACATAATCAGCTGTGTAAGCACGTGCATTGTTGTGATTTTGTGTAAGCATTTAATTATTTGCAGTGCTGACTTTGCTTTGAATGCTGTCAAATTTAAATCTACCCGAGTAGAAATCTGAACATCATGTCTAGGATCAAATTAACTAGGCAATATGTCTAGTCCTTCACTCGGGCTAGTCACAATAATAACATTTCAATAAATAAAATCAACAATCGCTTTTTATTTAAACTAAATTCATTTCTTTGACAACATAAAAATGCCTTTCATGGCATTAAATTCCTCAAAAATAAATAATTACAGTTTTCCATTCTCAATAAATATTTTGTTGAATTATTTGTAAATAAATAAATTGTCTATTATTATAGATTGGAGAAGTTTTACGATTCATCATAAAATTACCTTTCCTATAAAAGCTAAGTTTTCGACTTTTTCTAATCTTTTGGGTAAATACTTCTTCGAAATTATCTTCCAAATTGCAATCCTTATTGGATACTTGTTTTTATTAGCTTTTTTTCTCCATCAATCAATTTACTGTTTTTAGATCATTTAAGGCTTGGCAATGAAAACAGAATAACTATAGCAGTAAATTGATTGCAAAGGGTAAATCCATTTTCTTTGCTTCATGCTTCGTCTAAAAATTTAAGTTATTTTTTTTTTGTTAAAAATCTTTAAAAATTCAAAGTTGAGCTGTCAATACTTAGATGAACAATTTTGGTTCCTCTAATTTGCTAGTCTTTATTGGTTAACCTAAAATATAGCTCTTTCCGGTCATATTCCAGGGATTATTGTTCTTTACTAGCTAGCAACCATTCATTGTTTATATAAGCTTGAACTTAGCACTAGTAAAGTTTTGAAAATTGTTTGTATATAAGGTAGTGTATGCAAATAGACTAAGAGAGAAGAATGGGAAAGGAAATAAAATGTTTTCTCATTTAAAAGTTGGAAAGTTTGAGTTACAGAAAAACTTTATGAAATTCATCAATCAAAAATTAATGTTTTTAAGCTTAGTGTCCGTAAAATTTATTATCATTTTCTAAAGTTCTCGGTTGATTTTATAAAATATTTTTTTATTGTTTCATTCTGGAAGTTTTGTGAAATTTTGATTTTGCTTCCCTGCCATGCATAGAAGAAGTTTTAATAATAATAATTTTGAAAGGAGTTGAATAGCTTTTGAAATAATCTAGTAAGATAAGTCTGTTAATAAATATATATAGTCGGTTCCAATAAATACATGAATTTGTCAAATAATTCAATTGCTTTAAAATTCAACAACATAAATTGAAATTGTACGCAACTTTTGTCTTGTTTAAGTTCACTTCTGCATGTTTTTTATATCATCGATATTCACTACTGGCTTGTTATTTATGAACTTGTTCTCTCCATGGATCAGTTTCTCTATACAATCGATTAACATTATCGTGCAACAATTTTTCCTGTTCTGTGAATAAAAAAAAAGGTATTGGAATAAAATTACAAGCTACAAGTCATCGTGCAATAAAAATTCATGATTTATGGCAAAAATGTATTTTCATCGACATGGAATTGATTTGGATGATTATGATTAGTATTTACCTTTCGACATATTCAAAATATGGCATTGCTTTTTAAGAAAGTCAGAACATAGGTCACGGTTTAAGCCAAATGCGTGCATGTTGCACGTTAAACTACTGCTTGACATAAATAAAAGTCAATTTTGATTGAATTAGTGCTTCTTGAATTGCTATTTAATAAGTTTTATCGCTTTAGTGATCTGATTTGCAGGAAAATGTTCATAAACGAGACATAACATCGAATAACAAAGCACAAGAACTCAGATCACTATTGCATATTGTCTTTAAGACTCACCCTAACTGTGTAAATGCTGTGTTCGTGTTATCCTGTAATTTTTTTTCATCTACATCAAAACTATTGTCTTTACCGCCAGCATTAGTTGAGCTTTTTGAGCGATTTATTTTGCGTATGTTTCGCAATCGTAAACTATCACTAGATCTTGTGGTATTTGTGTGTTGTGTGTCACTACTCGAACTAGAAGTGCTCGACGTAAGAGACGTTTCCGAAAAGGAACGCGATGGTTGAGTTTTACCTTCATCGCGCTGTAATAAGGCATCTTTTGCATCTTCCATTGCATTTGATTGCATGGTACGTGAAGCTTCATTATTAGCTGATGCAGATAGTGCAGATGTAGTTTTTGGAACTCTATCTTTTTGCAAGGCATAGAAAAGTGCGGCATTCCAGAAGCGTAATGTGTGCCAAATCGGTTGATCGCGCAAATAGTTAAACAAGTATTCGCGATAAGGATCACAGCCTGGTACTTCTACCTCCTGATAGAACGTAAAGCACAATGACATAATGTGTTTTGCTGGTAGAAAATCTTCACATTCTTTGCATTCAAATAGAACTATGGCAAAATATTGTATTAAAGCATAAAATGTCGTCTCACTCACTCGCTTTGTCTTTGTCCTTTGTGCACTAACAAAGCGTGCGAACCACATTCTCCCCGATCCGACCTGTTTTGTTGTCGTCGTCGTTGTTGAATAATTCATATGATAAATTAAAATAAAATAAAGATTTAGTGACGCAAAGTTTATTTCTGTAACACACAAACACACACACAATAAGATTCTTTTTTTACTTACCCTCGCATATTGCCCAAATTGATGCTTCAATTCTAACGTTATTGCCAATGAATCAGTAAATAAAATCGACACAAATCGCCTCATAAATTCAAAAACAGCCTCGTCAGCAGAACAATCCATGCTTATCGATGAACAAGACGGTCCAACTGACTCCGATTCAGACTTATGCCACATTTTAACTTCTAACGAATCAATGCTATTCCCGTCGCAGAGACTCAAATTGTCTCCACTCTCGCTAGTTATCGTCGAGCAACTGTTTGCCGGAATTGCTAGCAAATTATTTTCTTTTGTAGTTAGCGTTTTAGAACTCGCAACTTTTGCGGTAGTATTATTGTTATTATTAATGTTATTACTATTGCTAGCATTTATAGGATGATGACTGATTGCTGAAACGTTATTTTCGATCGATTCATGTTTAATATGATTCTTAACATTATCAACAACGACAATGGGCGATGATGATGATGGTGATGGGACAACTGGATCTTTCGTACTTACTACATTAATTCTATCTGCAAAATTTGCATGACAATTTTTTTCTATGTGACTCAAATATAATTTTTTTTATGAGATTTTTTTTTTATCTGATTTCGATTTTTCATATTCGTAACAATGGAATTTTTATTTTCATGCAACTGACAATTCAGCCGGTGGTGTTAATGAATGATTAATAGCAATGATGATTGATGATAAATTTCCTTCTATTTTTTTTTTCAATTTATTTCCGATTTTTTTTAAATTTTTTTTCAAAATTGTCAAAAGAAAAAGAAAGAAAAAAAAATTTGCCAAAAAAAATTTAAAACGAATTCAAATCATTTTTCTAAAAATAGTCTACATGTGTGTTTAATTTAATATTATGTCGATTTGATCAATTGTGCAAATTAAAACTAAGTCTGACGATTTTTTTGTGCATTTTTTTAAACTCAAACGAATTTTAAAATGCACAAAAAAATGAATTAAAATATTTTCCAACTTACTAGCTATAAAGGCAGGCTGACGATATCTGCCAGACAGAATTTCTTCGTGAGCTCGACGCTCCTTAACTCGTCGCAGTTCATAATCAATTATATGGTCGTTGAGTGAATATTCAGGATTATTTGTTTTTTCATGCTGTTCTCGCAATTTTTTCCTTAATTTAGCTTCATTAACATTTTCAGGTGTTTCCGTCGATGTTGAAGCGAAACTTAGTGCCGCATCAATCTAAAGTTTGCGTGAATCATAAAAAGAATGAAAATTGCTGTTGAGCATTCAAAAAAAAGTTTTATCTGTATATTTTCGGAAGTTTAATTTTTGTTGTATTTAAATTAGTGTGCTAATTATTTGTAGGAGGTTTTAATTATAAAAATATAAAGGAAACTTTTGCTAGACTATTTTTTGTTGGATAGACTGACAGGTGCCTTGCTACTCCTGATTTTAAATACGCAATTCTTTAAAATTTCCTAAATTCAAAATTATTTTTATTATTTATGCTTCAAATGATTTTTTGATATTGAAACTTTGTTGTCTATCTTTCGTAATTGCGTTCTAAATTCACTGCTTTGCCTGCTGAATATTTTGTTGATACAAAATCACTAAAGCGTACGAAAATGTTCATCAATATTCTTTTTTTTTGGTTTATTCGAAATAAATGAAAATATTTGAATATTGGCAAATGGGACCGTTCACTTATTACGTTCACTTATTACGGGGGGGGGGGGTGGCAAGAAGTATGTAACGTTCTAACTGTCGTCTGTCTTTAAAAAAAAGTTCACGAAAAAATGAAAAATTATCAAAATAAAATAAATTATTAACTTTTGGGGGGGGGGGGGGGGGGGGGGGTTGGTGAGTTGTAACATACTGTAACAAGGGGGGTGAAAAAAGTCATTTTTTTGTGTAACGTAAAAAGTGAACAGCCCCAATAGCAATGCTTGGATAATTATTTCATCATAAATATTTTCGGAACTCATTTTTGACATGCCGTCTTCAGTATTTTTTTTCAGCTCTAATAACATTAAAGTATCGAAATAAATGATTATTTTTCTTTAATGCTGATTTTCTGTTTTAGACAGTCACTGACTGTGATTCAGAACGATAACAATTTGAATAGGATTTTTGAATTTTAAAGTGGATCCAATTTTGTTAAGCAACTGCTTAGTAGGATAACTTGGAATGTAATGAATATATGGAAACTAATGATTAAGATTTGGTTCAGTGATCTCCAATAATTGGAAAACAGAGATGTTTTAAAGGCACAGATTAATAGGTTAATGGTGACTGCCTACCAAAAAAAAAATAATACCGTGACAGGGAGTTACCTGTGACATGCAGTGCCTGTAAATAGGCAATTCCTTTGATAGATCTGTCACCTGTATCTGTGACAAGCGATCTGCATCGCAATTCAGATTTGAAAAATTAAACAGTCAGGCAAGCTTAACATAAATGTTAACCTATGGAAATCAGTTTAAAGCCCTCCTTATAGCTTACTCTGGATACTAGGGCATGTAAGGACAATTAACTTAAAGTTGCAGAAGATATTGAGCATAACTATTGATATTTTCTTCCATAAAAGCTTTTAGTGATTTTATTCCATTGAATTTTGTAGATTCGAATACAAAGTACTTGCTGGTTTTGATTAATGATTGTTGACACTGTGAATATTTTTCTTTGGTCACAAAAACCATTTACAACTTACAGTAGAACGGTTTTGCTTGCTTTTTAAGTATTCGCAAACAGTATTTGGCTTTTAGACAAAGCTATAATTTTATTTTGATTGCTGTATTGACAGAAAGGCTATTGCTTGCTGTTTCAATAGAACAGCTTTGATTAACATTTTTAATAATTTTTGCGCAATCACTTTATAGCTGACTTGGCTTCATCTTGTCACAAATAAAGATTTTTGGAATTAAGTTTAAAAATCACAGAAATGATTAAAGGATTAAAAAATATTAAGACAAAATTTAAAATTATTTGGAATAAGGTTAAAAGCTTCAATCAGGTCCTAAACTTATTAGCATCAATAGTCAAGTCTTGGGATTCAATTATTAGTGTGTAAAATGCTTCAAGCATCTTTAAAATGCAAATAAATTTATTTTATCATATTGACATTCAGGTCACAAAAAAAGAATCTTATCGAAAGCATTTAAAATCATTTGAAGTTTATTCATTCATGAAAATGTTGTGTATTTTTCAATTAGGAACTAAAGAAAAATAATAATTATGCTACACATATCATGCTCTTGTCTATATCCATACGATAAAATAAATAAAATGTTAATTAAGAATTCACATCAAGTTCAAATAAACGTTCAGCACACTCGTGTATATTTTTCAATTATCGATTTTAAAAATTTTCTTCTCTCTTCTTTCTTCTTCCGTTTTAGTCGAAAAAGTACGCCTTACATAATCAAAATATGAACAATAAGGAATAGGAATTAAGTGAAAGTTTGTAATTAGTCTCCTGTAACATGTCTCACAAACCTTATTGGATATTCCTGAAATGAATTGCTTCTTGTATTCGGAGCTTGTTCCAAGAACAGAAAAGAATTTCTGTTTCAAATTTTTCGGTGTCTGCCCCATAAATGCTCGTACTTTTGAGCTTCCTTTTCCTTCACCACTCATTATTATTGCTATTATTTGATAATAATATAATTTTTCATAGCATTTCCTATCTAAAAGAACTACAATATTTCACAATTCACAGGTGCAAATAATCCGAAATTAATCATTTTTATCACGCAAAAACTATCTACTCGAGTGCTCACTACTATTGCGACATTTCTTTTCTTAATCTTTTTTTTTCTTCTCCGTGCAATACGGTCGAAATGAGGATTCTCGCTTTCCTGATGAAAAAATTGCAGTCGCGTTGGCGCTTTTCCTTCTGGAATGAATGTTATGGATTTTTATGGAAATATTCATTGTCCTTTTCATGATGAGATTATTTGAATTTTTGTATGAAAAGTTCGATGTTGTTTTGTAAACATTAGTTCCTTTGGAAATTTCCTTAGTTGATCTTTAGCTGTATTGGTTTTGTTTTGGTTCCAATGGAAGATCTCACGCTAGAATTTATAATGTAAGAAGCATGAGAATTTCCTGCGACAATTCCAATCATCAGCTGTTTATGGGCTAATGGAATGATATTGATGGAACTTACATATGCGTGCCTAAGTGTAATTTTTTAAAAACTTTTAATTTTCAATGAAATAAGTGTCATGCTGACTGAAATATAACATTGAAAATTTATTACACTTGATATAAGCATGTAATTAAGAACGTGTAACTTAGACGAGTATACAACATTGACCTAATGGAAGTGAATTCTGAATCAAAAAGCAGGCTAGTGCAGTTGTTGTTGTAAAGGTTATGGACAGTTGCCAAAGTTATAGCTGCAACTCAGCAGTTATCATTAATGACAATTTATCTAAAGTTCTATAGCTCAACCGGCAAATCTTCTGAATTTTATTACGAAAATTTATTCACGGTTCTCATCACAATCACTGATTTATGTTGACTAGACTCTCCTTCACCCATGATCTCTCTGTCAAGCAAGCAGATTATTAATAAATAATTCCAAAAGTTTATCAAAAGCCAACCATCTCCTCAATAAACTTTCCACAACAACGTATGTCTAAAAGTTTATTGATGATGTATAAGATTGCGAGTTACGACCTTTTTAACAATAAAACTTATCAGAAACTCAAACAGAATTTGTTTTCCGTGCAACATAATGATTTTGTAGACGAAAATAAATGACTGTGAGTTGGAGATAAAATCTGAAATAATATGGAAATAAGTTATAAAAGTCCTTTTGTTACTGGATGAAAAAGGTCTGAAAAGGGTGACCATCTGATTTTTATGAAAATACAGGACATTTGATAAATTTGCTAAAAAATACAGGACACAAAGGAAAATTTGAAATTAACGGTAATTTTCGTGAAAAAAATACAAGACCTGGAACAAAAATTTTCAAATTTATACAGGACAGGGTTTTGAAATACAGGACTGTCAGTTGTAAAACTACGCAGATGGTCACCCTAGGTCTGAAGGTAATCAGAGGACTAAATAGATTTAACACGAGAATCAAGAAGCTTTTGTCAAGATGTAAATTCTCGTCAAAATGTCTGCAGTGGATCACATGCTGTTCATTCAAGAAAGCTTAATAAAATTGTCACGTAATAAAAATCGATATTTACGAAAAATTATCATAATAATCAAGTTAATGGATTAATGTTCTTCTTCTATTTGAATTATACTAATTTACCCTTAATAACGCACAGTTATGCATAACAATTCCTCATTTCCCTCACATTTAATCAACACTTTTATTCATTATGTTAAATTTATTTTATCATTCATCAAATAACTGTTAAAGTAACTAGCAATAGTCATTTCATTATATAACATCAATTCATTAAACATTTAGAGTCATTTACCCTCAATTTACACAATTTTCTTTGTGTCACGTTAAGCAAACTTTACCTGCCTACATGTCATCAACCTGAGTCTTTCATTCATTATTTCATGAGACAGAAATAGAAAAATTAAGGAAAGAAGAAGAGAAATGAAACTAAGTTGAATGTATAATGATATGGAATAGCTGTGGGCGCATTTTGGGTGCATCGATCAATCAACTTTTGAATATTAATGACCTTTCCCGATTGGCACAAGTCGGTTAATTGATCAGTAATCTGGCACAAAGCCGGTGTGCCTCTGGATTCATAGTGCTGGATTCAAATCTAAACTAGCATCATGACAGAGTCATGCTGGCTAAGCGCCGGATTTCTATTTGATTACAAGCAAAAACATTTTTAAAAATTGAATAAACTGGTTTTACTGCACTAGAGCCAGCTACAAGCGCAATTTAAGAGAGGCTATGGATCATAATTATCCATATAGTCAGCCAAATAAGCAAGTAAGTAAGGCTCAACCCCTGCACATTCCCGTCTATTCTTAAAAATGCGCCTAGTTAAATTATTTCAATTAATATTTTGTTGTGTACGTTATGCGACTCGAATATAAATAGGCGCTAGTTTCTTTACTATTACCATAAATAAAAATCGGCATTTTATTGAAACATGGAAATTACTTTTCCATAATCAATAGTACCTGCCATGGTATAGAAATTTAATTGATTGATATTCATAAGGAAAACTAGGCACGTTCGTGTGTTTTTTCATAAAATATAAATTCAAAACCAATTATTGGCTCTGTGCATGTAATGCCTAATTAATGAGGACATGCTGAAAAATATTTTTGTGTCTCTTTGGATATTCGTAAATAAAATCATTTCCAGTTCCAAAAGCACGTGCTCAATGAAATTTCCACAAATGCACATTCAAAAGTTGCATTTTCCAGTTTGGAGCGTTCCATTAGCAAAGCAGCGCAGCATCCTCAATGTTTTTTGAGAATTTTGCGTGATATGAGAGAGAGAACGGCAAAAGGGAAGAGAAAAAAAAATCCCTGAGCATCATCCAATCCACAAGAGCTAACAGAAAATATCGTTCATCATCAGAATCAGTTTGTCGGCAAAGTTTGATCGGAACGTGCGAAATAAAAGCACAAAAAAATATTGTGTCTATTGGGTCGAGTAATAAATAAAAAGTATCAAGATATGTTGAAACGTTCGAATGTGACGAAAGGAATAATGCTTTTTGAATTATAAGCGCGTGTTGGGAGTATTAAATACATCAAGTCGGATTATGAAGGAAAAAAACATTTAAATAAATAATTGATAAGTCGCAATGATAACAAATGAATTCGACACTTGCTATATGAATTATATGCTCTCGCTGTTATTATTCATTTTTGTGCTTAAATAGGAACATAAATAAGTCTTAATAGAACCAAAATTCTTCATTTTAAAAATATTGTAAGTTTCTATAAGCATAATCATAGATTCAACTATTGTTAAATTACCATAAAAACATGTAATAAATTTTTCCATCTCAACAAAAAGGACATAAAATTAAGACGTGTCTGGGATCCCACTTTGTATTGTCATAAACCAGTGTTGTCCAAACTGTGGACCGCGGCAAACTGGTGTGCCGTAGAATTTTTTTGCAGATGACGAGAGCTTCGTGCTGTGTGCAACTTTGGTAGTGGCTTAACCCCTAAAATGTGCCGTGGCTCAAAAAAGTTTGAGCAACACTGTCATAGAGTGTGGAAAAAAGGACGATGATAGAAAAAGGATATTTTAAAAAATCAAATTTAAAGATGTTTTAGGATATGCTAATTTTACATTATAAACTATCCTTAATTTTTCTAAAGTGCTACAAAACAGCATATTTCATATTTTATGTGGGATAAATATGCTAAATAGCCATACATAAAATCCAATCTATCAAATTCTGGTTTTATGTCTCAGAAATAGTATTTTAAACCCTCTGACTGGACATAAATGGAAGATGAAGTGAGGGGAGCAAGTTAAAGTTAAAAGTAGTTTGATTTGGACTTTTTATTACAAAATCAAAGAATTTGTAGGGCTTTAAATCTCACTGGCTGCAACTCTGCCTTTCAGCATCCAAGATAAAAAGAATTTTAAAGTGAAGAATTTTCCTCAAGCATCACCCTTTATGTTATAGACTAGAAAAACAACAAAAAAAGTCGTGTAGCAAATTTTCTTATCAGTGTTATTTGTGGAAATAAATAAAGTAGTTGTGACAGGCAATAACACATTTTGTTCTTGAAAAGAATAAAGTTTCGTGAGACTTCAGAAACAATAATATTAAGGTGATATTCACAACAATGAATCTAGCAGTCGTTCAAAAAATCATACAATGTGGTGTTACTTCTTATTCCTTTTGTTTTACTTTAGTTTCATTCTTTTCTATTTCACATGAATTTTTGTATAATACGAGAGATTAAGGCAAAGCAGCAAACATTAGAGTGGGTTGAGAAAAACGAGACAAAATGAAATAATGAGTGAAAATATTCTAATTAACCTCATGCCTCTCGTTAATCATTTGAAATAGAGCCTCTAAAATTTAGTACCGCTTGCAGGCTTGACATTCCAAGAATTCTTCTTTTGGAAATAAAATCTCTTGCTTAAAACTCAGGTTAATGTTAATTAAATGCTTTGATTTGTGTAATGAGACACGGGTTTTCTGAGAAAAAGCTTGGAGATATTTAATGCTTAACCTTTTAGAATTTTTGGATTGTAGGCAGGGAGCTAAGCTGCCGCAGCATGTTTATTTACAATTAAGAAAACATTTTCTGCTTTTACTTTAAATACAAATTTTCAATATTTTGTAATTCTTGAGTGACACATTTTGAAGTCATGGGCGTATCCAAAGAAGGAGGTCCTGAAAAAAGTCTTGAAGTTCTGTTCTGGCTCAACTCTTGTTTAAAGTTGACTACATTTCTGCTTACATGATACATAGCAACAATTCAAGATTCTCATTAATTTTATAAAAATGAGTCTTAAGATCAAAAATTTAATGCTGATTTCTTCAGAAGTACCAAAAAGAAGTCTCAAGTTGAATTCAGAATAATTTTTCGTCTTTTGACATCAAAGAGAAGCAGTGAAATTCTCATTCTATGATTTTTCAAATAATCCATGTAAATATGGGATTTAAAGAATTTTCTAATTAAGACATGAAGGCAGAAATTGTCTTCTTCTTACCTATATAATTTACCTCACGGTATAATGTTCCTTACGAATGAATTATGAAACATTTAGACATAAAGTGAGAGGGAAATTAAAATAACATGTGTTATGTCACACATATTTAACAAAGTGCTTCTATTTTCATCTATGCATGTATGTGTATTTTATTTCTCATTTACATCCTTTGCCATTTTAAAATGAGAAATGAATTTTCATAAAGAGGTGTTAAATATCTTTGCTAGATTAATTAAAATCCTTCTTTTTGTGCTCATTTCGTGGGAAAATTTTTGCTAGAGATTAAAAAATATTTTAATTAAAGCTCCTTCAAGCAATTATTTCTTGAATCTAGATCAATATGATGCATACTTTTTAATTGAAAGAATTATACTACCTAAGGTAAAGTCACAGATGAAAACTCAAGATTGATTCATTCATTTTTCCTTTTATTAGAGAATTTATTCAAATTATTTGAGATGGAAACGAAATGAGAATTGAATTTGCTTTTCAAAACAGCGACTTCTGCTCTTTTTGACATAATAATGATAAGGATTATAATGTGCTTCAGAAAAGCTTATTATGTTCAATAATTTTGAACATCATTCTTCTTTGGAAATAATTTTGCTTTGTTGCTGATTTTTATATGCAAAAAAGCTGATGGATCTTAAATTAATGCTTAAAAGAAAAATTTAATTTCCAGAAAATACTTTAAAAGATTTATAGCATGCAGAATTGTAGCTTCAAAGTCGAGACACAAGCTCATTCAGAGGTGTAGTCATGGATGAAAATTGCCTTAAGAATCTGATTCATCCAGCGAAATTGTAGGAAACAATCTTTCCTAAATCCACCCCAGAATTCACAGAAGAACTGCAAATGACGCAAAAAGAAATTAAAAGAAAAAAAAATTTAATTTCAACATCTTCTGACATTTTTCATGATTTAATTATTGTCGTTTATGAAAAGGTTTTCCTTCGTTTCTGTACTTTATGCACTCATTCCACTTTCATAGACGGATCCTATGATTACTGAAAAATAAATATTACCGGAATTAAGATACTCACACACTCCTAAAGTTTGCCAAGTTGAAATGCGAATTAACAGACGTTGAAGATGAGGGAGAATGAATAAAGTCAAGTACACAAGTAATTAAAGAAGTGGAAGTGGCGCAGTCTAGTTGAATAATTAAGAGTTAAGGACAGGATTTCTCAACAATAAATTTTTGTTCACCTTTAGAGGGACAATTAGCTAAGATGTGCTAAGTAGTGCACCACAGAACATAGTTTGAGAAACACTGGACTCTTGGAATACCCAAAATCTTTAATAATTGATGAATTAGGATTCCACGAAAATAAGCAAACGCACGTGAATAAACAAACTGCCAATGATTACCAAAATCTAAATATTTTCTATAGACACATGCTGTGTTGAGGAAAAGAAATAAAATTATTATGATATATCTTTATGACTTTTTTCTCACTCACATTTTGCTCATTTTATTCTTAAGAATATGAAAAAAAAAAAGTTATTTTCTTCTAACATCTTCAATATTGCTATTTAATGCCATGCTTGTCTAAGGATGAAGGCGAAAAAAAGGAGGCAGCAGCAGAAGAAATAAAAAGTCAAAGTTTAATTAGAAGCGAAGGATTTTCCATTCGAGTCGTAGTCGAAGAATTCTAATTAAATTCTTTTTCAATAATCCCTATAATGTTTCTATTTCTATGCGATGTCAAGTATTAAGCCTATTGAATGCTTATAAGTAGGAACAAATAAGTGGTGTTAGAGCTGGAGTTCTCAAACTTTGTTTGTAAGGAAATTAAAGGTAGAAGCTACTTTTGACACACCTAAGATTTTCAAGACTAAGATTAGACTTCCGTGAACCATAGTTTGAGTACTCCTGCCTTAGAGGGAGTAGATGGAGTCAATATAATAATTGGAAATAGAAAGAACTCTCTTTCTCTCTGCCTTTCCTTGCCGTAAGAAGCAACAAAAAAAAAATTGTGTGATATAAAAAAGTTTCTATATTTTCTTGTGCTTAAATTTTGAGAGCTTTTTGTGATTATTTTACCTACCATTCTGATTTTTGCCTATGGCTTATTCCGATGAGAAAAAATATTGAAAGGATTTTTTTTTGTTGAAAATCATTTCAGTGAGAATTTTTTTGCCTATTGACGTGATTGTTGAAAAAGGGTATATGAAAATGAAAATGTGAAGATTATTAAACGAAACTCAAGTGAATCGAGAATTGAAGAAGTGATAAAAAAATGCTCAAAAATAAGAAAATAATTTAATCTCTTTAGAATCCTTAAAATCATACATATAAACGTGAAGACAGAACTAAACTTACCTTACTCGAATATCAAATAAAGATCAGTGAAGAAGATATTTTTTTTTGTATAAAGGCACACACAGTAAAACGTAAATTTACCAATCATGACGGAAATAGATAAAATCATCTTTAAGAATTCAGTTGTTATGCTGCTGTTATTTACATTCACAAGTAAGTATTGAGTCGATTCCGTTTTTTGATTACTTTTTTGTTCTTTATGAACGTGATTTTCACGTAAATTTCTTCTCGCTTCTCATTTTGTGAATTTTAAATTTAGATGATTAATGCTAATGTTCCTCCAAATCGCGAGATCGTTTTGTGGATGGAAATGCTTCGGTTTAGTTATAACTAAAAGAATTTAAATCTTCCATAAAATTTAACCTTTCCATAATTTTAAAGATTTACCTAATTTAAGTTTGTCAAGTGATTAAAACTTTTCCACTTAATTTTCACCATTTTTTTTAAAAATATCATTTGTCGATTTTAAGGCATGTCAAAATTGTGGCTTTAAAATTACCAAGTTAAATACTTTGCATAATATTTGAGTTGTACGAGCTACTAAATTTCCAAAACCAACATCATAAAACAGCGATTAAAACTTTTTGCTGTTTGTGAATGAACATTATCACCTCGATAAGCACGATATTATGTGAAATGTATATGTGATGTTTTCATAATCATCATCAGCTTTTCATGAATGATATTCAATAGAAAATTTTGTGAAAAATGACACTCATTTTCATATTTTAACATTTTATTTGGGTCATTTGCATTCAGGCATTTTTGGAGTTATTTCAAAAGGGAGGAAACAAAATGATGAGAAATTCTGAATGCATCAATTTTTATCATTTAAAAGGTTTTAATTGCCAATCAAACTTTATTCCCATCATATTGTTTTCCTCCTTGAATGTTTGTGCTTCATGATGATTATCAAACATTTTATGAATTTTAATTTTAAATATGTAGCAAATTTGATTTGGCCGCAAAGTCACTGATATTAACAAACTGTCTCGATGGAATTCCAAACTTCCGATTCCCATTAATCGCGTTATCGATCGTTATAAGATATATTTGATAAAAAATATATTTCACCCATTTCTCAATGTGATATATAACAAAATAGTGGAAATAGACAGCATACATATACACATCTACGCTTGAGTTGATAACCGACGTCAACATTTCATTCTATAACAATGATGCGGGTAGTTTACATAGGCATAGATGGAGAGAAATAAAAAAAGAAGGGAAATAAAGAAAGAAAGAGCAAAGTACAAAAAATGTAGCGGCATTGAAAGTCGTGAATCAAAATAGCACATGATTCTTTTCCTCTTGCTTCCTGAAGATAAAATCGAGTTATTTGTTGTGCTTGTTCGTTTGAAAGACACAAGTCTGAAAGTCATCATTGATTGTAGATTGAAGGTGCATTGACTGGTTTTCAAGTCAATAATTTAGATAAACACCTGAATTCATAGAATCTCTGAATTCTAGGTCTTTAATGATCTAGAAAAACTGACCGATTACTTAAATTCTAAGGAACTGATGGAAAATAGAGTCAGTGAGATGAAGAGGAAAACAAAAAAGTCATTCGAAGCCAAAAGGCACAAATAAAATAAAATGAAGTGAGGAATGAAAGGAAGGCAAAAAGGCATGAGAAAAATAGAAAGGAATGAAAAGAAAAAATAAATCAAATTCTATTATGAATGTATATATATGCCTGAGAGAGCATGTTGAATGCCTGAATATTTGAATACGCTCGGGGAGCATTAAAAAAGCGTATAACAGATAAATTGTCAAGCAATCAAAATTAATGGTTCACTTCTGTATAAAGTTAATGATGAATTTATTAAGGATGACGATATTGTCATCATTTCATTCTGTACATTAGAAGTAAACAAACATTCAACCTTCCTTCCTCTTCTTCTTGATTATGTTGTGTACAAATAAACATCTATATGAAGATACATACAATAAGTTTGGGCTCTATTTTTCCACATTTTGCCTATTGCTTAGATTTAAAAGGAGAGAAAATCGTACCCAAAAGAGGATATGTGTTGAGAAAAGTACAACAATAGAAAAAGGACCAAAAACTTTTTTTTTCACTCTACCCGAATTCAAAAAGTCAATGGATTTCCCTTTTTCTTTTGATTCGATTCCATTACTTTTATTTAAACTTTTTGCATAGTGGTTCCTAAACGGATGTATGCTAAGACGAATAATATTCAGTAGAATGTAAATTTTTAAATGAGATTAGACATTCATAAATCATAAGGTATAAAAATATGATTTTTTTCGATAGCTATTCAAGGGGACAACTACGCATGAGGAATAGTTTTTATGAGAAATTGCTGGAAATTTGGAGTCCCTATTAAAAATCGACTTTCAAAAATTCGGAACCTCATTTTTTCGAATTTTTTTTCTTTGCATAATTTTCAAATTTTTATGAACCGTTTCCTGCAAAATTAAGTTAACGGTTTTTAAAAATTTGAAAAATATACAAAGAAAAAAAATTCGAAAAACGATGCATTGAAAAAATGAAGTTTTGAATTTTTGAAATTCGTTATTTTAATAGGCACTCGAAATTTGGAATCAAAATGTTTCCTCTTCATGTTATTTTCCCCTTTATAATTATAAGTTTATATAAGGGGCCGTTCACTTATTACGTTCGCATTTTAGGGGGGAGGGGGGGTTTGAAAAATTGTAACAAAATGTAACATGGGGGGGGGGGGGGGTGTCAAGAAGTATGTAACATTCTAACTGTCGTCTGTCTTTTAAAAAAAGTTCACGAAAAAAATTTGTTAACAAATTCACACCAAAAACATTTTTTAAGTTTTCCACCTTTTTAATGATAAAATAAATTATGAACGATCAGGGGGGGGGGGGAGGGGTTGTGAGTTGTAACATATTGGAACAAGGGGGGAGGGGGGTGAAAAAAAAGTCGTTTTTTTGCGTAATGTAATAAGTGAACGACCCCTAAGTTTATAGCTTTATAAGTTAATTTATAAAAATCATAGTCGAGCTTTAACCATCTAATGTGAACTTTTATCATGCAGGAATGTCTGTATGCAGCTGATAGTGTCGTCACATACAAAAAAAGTTTAGTTTTTAGTTTGTTGAAAATTATTCTGATCAAATAAAGCAAAAGGTTGTGAGTTTTTTTTGCTATTGTAGCCACAGCTAGCGCTAGCTTGAAAATAAACTTTATGAGGAAGGGATGACAATTTTTTCGGAGATTATCTTTCATTCATAAAAATAATAATAATAATAATTTTGTGGTAACATTTTGCAGCAAAAAGGGGCTGCTTTTTTATGATGATGATGTTTTTGCTATTGCTGCTGTAATTCTTTCTGTAATTGTTCATCTTTAGTGTGATAATCTGTAAAAGGGCAATTTTCGGATTTTTCTTTCATTTTTTGCTGGGGCCTGTATACATCAGAAATGATTGTTGCTATTGGAGATTAAAAAGCATAAATTTCAATGAAGGATTATTGGAAGGATGTAAATTTTTAGTGCTTGAATGTTTAATTAATATTCACTGAAGTAATGCAGCAATAAAATAGATTTAATTCTTAAACTACGTCTTACACACAATCTTCCGAGAAAATGTTCATGCAATGAGCATCTCTACCTCAACAAAAAATATGATATGTGTAGGCAAATATTCATGTATGCACGCCACAAGCTAGTAAATTTATGTTTAACAATAAATTAGTAATCAAATATTTTCAAATAAAATTTTGACACTTAGGAAGACCATAAGCACTTAATATGTAAATCTGTTTGTCGAAAAATAACATAAAATTGTATTCATTCTACTGAATAATTGCTTGCCATTCAGAATATTTTATTATTCCTCTTCTCTTTTCTCGTTCCTTCTTCTAGTCATTAAATGATTCATGATAAAGAAGTTATGGTTCATTCCTTAGTTACTTTCATATTCAATAGAAATCTTACAGACAAAAATTGGATGTGAAAAAAAATATTCATCAAAAATATGCTAACAATTTGCGGCTGACGGGGAAGCATTTGTTGATTTACAAGAGCTTATCACCGAAATACACTCAATAATTCAATTTACGGAAGAATAAGAAAATGTTTTTGTGCTTTATGATGATAATGAAATAACCTAATAAGAATTTTATATTTTTCCTCTTACTTTACTTCAGTGCTGTTCAAGCTTTATGCCAAAAAAAAGTATTTACCTAAAATACGTGAATGAAATTTTATGAATATTGTTGCCAAAAGTAGATCGCGGTCCATAGTGTAGGTGGTTCTGTTCAACAAGCACAAACGAAAAAAAATTTATTTCTTAAAATATGAAAAAGATGAGGAAACTTTCTTTCCTGACAAGGAAAATGTATTATTCATTAATTTGTTGCCAGTTTTATAAAAGAGAGATTCTTATTTCCTGAGCATGAGAAAAAAATAAGTGTGAATATAGATGAAGTGGCTACTGCTGTTTGAATATTTTATTTGACGAGCATCGGAGGCATTTTCAATGAGCCTTAAAAATAGCAATTTTGTCTTGTTAGGTACGAAAAGTTCTACTCATGATAATTGAGATGTTTTTGTTCATGTCAGAGCTCGAAGTCGACTCGGTTTTGAGTCAAGTCGAGTCAACTCGAACCCTATCAAGCTCTAGTTCGTGTTTGCAGAATATAGAAGAAAAGCTTTGAACTTTTAGAAGTTTGACTCGGTCGGTACATATGAAATGTTTGCCACCCAGCAGTCGGGTTGATAGCATAATTAGAACCAAGCGGCATCCGCTTGGAAGCAACTTCCAATGCAAACATATCAATGTGTACCGGTCGGGTATATTTTTCAAGGGGAAACAAAATGATGAGAAATGTTTTTGGTTTGAAGTTTCCAGCATTCGAGACAAATTCAAACAGAATCAATTTTGCATTATGCACAAGATGATTTAATTTTATGCAAATATTCAAGCTAGATTCATTTTTATAAAAGTTCAGACGCTTAAACTACACGCCTTCATGGATTTCCAGACAAAGTTATATCTTTTAAGATTCTCAACAATCTCCTTTTCTATTTGCAGAATTACTTATTCCATTTTTCAGTTACAGATTTTTTTTTCAAGTCTCTCCTTTTCCTTCGTCGTCTTACTTTTTTTCTGTATGATATCAACAAAATCCAAAGAAATGTAAACGAAGTTGCAAAAAAAAAATATAAAAAAAGCTGTCAAAAGTAAATACTTCTTTCGTCTTATCGGTTGAACGATGAGAACATGCTGATGATGATAGAGATAGAAGACGAAGAGAAGCAAACGATTAAAGATTTAAAATGATAAAAAGGGAATCGATTCTTTTGCAACTCATGATCTGAAACAGCAAAAATATAAAATCAAGCTATTCTAGCAAGTGAATTTCCACAAAGTCGGTGCTCTTCTTATTCCAATCCAAGGAGCTTATTCATGAGTTTTGAAAAGAATAAATTTCTTACATTTTCTTGATATGATTGAATTTTACTTTTTCAAGTCTCGAATAATTTTTACTTCCTTTCCGTTCATGAAATTTCTGATGAAATCAAAATGTTACTGAAAGATTAAAATTTTTGTGATTTGAATTTTTATTCCTTTTCTTTATATTTACAAGTTCAATAGTTACATTTTATTGACTAAGCAGCTTAATTTGAATTTTAAATGCCGAAATTTACCTTCTTGAAGATATTTCCTGATAAGAAATTTTTGTGTACATGATCTTTATCGGCATGTTTCTCTAAGGTGGATTATCCTCATTTTAGGATTATCTGTTTCTTCGATGCTTGGTAAATCCAAATAATTTTTTTGTGATGTATTATCCTTAGATTATCCTAGGATAATCCTGAAGATTATCCGAATTTTCAATCTTAGGGGGACCCAGTTTTAACATTTTAGATTAATTATGTGGATAATCCTAGGATGATCTCAGGATAATCTTCGGATAATCCACCTACTAGGATAACCTTATTTTGTGAAATCCATCTCAAAAAAATCATTTTCTTTAAATCTATTTTTTCTGATTCACCGTGCAGTTTAACGAAGTAAAAAATTTTATCGATTATCCTCGGATTGAAAAATTGGATGATCCGATTGGTAGATAATCCACCTTAGTGAAACAGGCCGTATTATCTCAACCGGCCTGTTTCACTAAAGTGGATTATCCTCGATTTCGGATTATCCACTTCAGTTTTTTGGAAATATCTCCAGATGCTTAAGGTTATTAAGAGATCTAATTTGTGATCTAGTTAGAGTACTTTGCTACTTAAATTAACATAAACTTAGAATTTTTATATCTTCACTAGTTTGAGAATTATAGCAAATATCGAAGATAATCTACTAGATTTGGCTAGAAAATTGAATAATTAATACTTCTTAACGAAAAGTAAAAGTTTAAAGTATACAGAAATTTCAGGCATAGTTCACTCTATTATAATCCAATATAAGAAATACCACACCTCCTATTAAGTTTAAGATATTTACAAAAAATTGAAGTGGATAATCCGAAATCGAGGATAATCCACTTTAGTGAAACAGGCCGAACAGTTTTAAGCTTTAATGCAGTGGTTTTCGATTTTTTTCGGTTCGTGGTCATAAATAGAGGTTGCCAAACTTGAATTGACTAACATATCAAACCTAGGGAGTCACTTAAAGCTGATTTATTCAGCTAACCATACTTACTTACTGATGCGCACGTGGGCCAATTGCTATGCTTAGAGAACGTCTAAAGACAGCTCAATCCTTAGACATCTTCTCCCAGTTCCGGATATTCAGGACTCTAGCGTCCTTTTCAACACAACCAATCCAATAGTTCTTCGGACTTCCTTTTGCTCTCTTTCCATCCACAAAGTCCATAAAGTTGCTTTAGTAATTCTGAAGAACTTTCTGAAGTCATTTTCAAAAAGTTTCGCAACACGCAGTTCAAGAAGCACTAAGTTTATTCAACTGCAGGCTTAAAGTATCTCTAAATCCAATCCATTTGAATTCTAGGACTATTTTCCTCATTTCATTTCTCAATTTTAATATTTCATCACTTACAATAAAACTAATCATTACCATCATCCTCTTTTTATGATGTTGAACAATTTGAATGTCTGTTAATTTGGTTACTTCCGTGAAGCACTCTAAATATTTCTTTCCATTTTTTTCATCTCTACACAAACTCACATTGAGATTTCTTTAAGGTGGTGTGTTGATGGGAAAGCAAGGAGAAGGAAATTTTTCACACTTCCTCAAGTTCCTTTTTCATTGTAGGGAATATAAAATTTTATTGAATAGCTCATAGAGAAGAAGAGAACAAATTTACATGCAGAAAACGTTCCACATTCTGTATCTTATCTCATTTCTTTTTTTCATCCACAGATGCAAGTAAAGGATTACGAAATCTCACGTTATCCGTATATCCGGAAGTTATAAGACGAGGTCAGAGTGCACAGCTACACTGCAATTACGAAGTATTTGATGTGCCGTTATATTCAGTGAAGTGGTACAGAGGAATATTTGAGTTCTATCGCTACACACCATTCGAGCATCCGCCTGGAAAGACATTTTTCTTCAACACCGGCATCAAAGTTGATGTAAGTATACTCATATGAATAATGAACGGATATCCTCATTTTTTTTGATTAAATGCTGCATTTTTCCCATTGCTGATTATTTGAATTTGCATCATTGGGTGTAGTGCAAATCGTAGACGTAATTACGCGTAATTATTTGTGCGCAATTCCGCAGAATTATACGGAACATTTTTCATAAAGAAGTTAAGGAATTCTACGGAATTATGCATAATTATGTCGAGTTCAAATAAATTCCGGGAAAAAAACTGAATTGATTAATTTTTGCGATTCGCAAGTTTTATAACATAATTATACGGAATTTAGCGTAATTACGAGGAATTATATAAAACATTATTTTGAGGAATTCCTTTAAAAAAAATTTTAACATTTAAAATTGTTTATTCCATCTAAAGAGTCCGGATCATCTGGCAGAATCTATGGATTTCCATGGACTTTAACAAACGATCCATAGATCATAAAAATCTTTAAAGTACAAGGATTTCCATAAATTAAAACAATTTTGACCCACAATTTTGTGGGGGCTAGACATTTGCACCGAAAAATGATAAGTCCACAACGAAACCACAACCAAACGAAAAATCACGAAGGGACAATAAGGTCACTTATAAGTGGTCTTAATATTTTCACTGCAAGACGATAAGTCCACTTGGATAAAATCATTTGTATAAGAGATTTTTGTCTTCACTTGAAGTTAATAAATTCGCAACATTTTTTGGAATCGTCTTTAATATCACACTATGAGGCAATAAGATCACTTCAAAACTTGAGTGGATTTATTACCTCACAGTGAGTTGATTTATTGTTTTTTTGTGCAAAACATTCTTAATTTTACAAAAAAATATTGATCAGGTAAAAAATATGTTTTAGTATTTTTAATTGTTTTTCATAAAATTGTCGAATTTAAACTATTTTTGATGCAAGTAAATTCACTTTTGACTACTTTTTACTAGAAGTTTTTTTTATAAAATATAAGTATCAACTTGATTAAGTTTTCCATATAAATGCTATTTAAGATTTTTCAATTTTTGAATTGAGCTGTGTAATTTTCAGCAATTTTACTAGATTTTGTTTCAGCCGTAACAATCTTTTTGCATCAATTTTTCAAAAATTAATTCAAAAAGGAAAAAATCTATACAACTTTCAGCTTTCGTGTGAATATTGACTAATTTGCGGTAAATTTGACTTCCAGTGTGAAATTTAGCCTTAAACTTTACTTTTCTTAATCCTCTATCTTAAATAATGTTTAAACTTCAAACAATGTATCAATTAATTGTCTCTTTAACATAATACATATTTTTGTATTTACTCTCTTGGATTTTCTTGACTTTTTGCCGCATGTTTTCCAAATTTTGAAAACTTCAAAAAAAAACTTAAAATTTTATAAGTGGCCTTATTGTCCCTTCGTGATTTTTCATTTTTCGGATATTTTATCCACTAGTGTTGTGGACTTATCATTTTTCGGTGCAAATGTCTAGCCCCCACAAATTTGGGGGTCAAAATTGTTTTAATTTATGGAAATCCTTGTACTTTAAATCCATGGAATTCCATGGAAATCCATAGATTCTGCCAGATAATCCGGACTCAGCACTTAAAGATTTAAAATTAAAAAGAATCAATGAATTAAAATTCTTGCAAAGATTAGCTTCAAAAAATATATAATAATTAAATTTAGTTAAATTCAAATTAATTGAAGAGGAAAAAAATATAGAAATGTATACTTATCATTAAACACTTCATAAAACAATCATCTCAACTTTTCATTTTTTAAGATAAAAGTTTAAAATATAAAATTTATTTTTCTAAATAATTCCTCGTAATTACTGGTAATTACACGTAATTCTGTGGAACATTCCATGAAAAATGCGAATCGCAAAAATCAAACGCAACAAAATTGAAAAGTGGAAATATGCGTAATTACGTAGAATTCCATTGTAAAATTCCGTTGCAATAAAATTCTGAGGAATTCCGCTAAAAGTTCCGTGGAATTACGTCTACGATTTGCACTATATTCGCATCATTTAATAAAAAATTTATTTATTCAGAAAGTTTGATTCCGAAAATATGTAAATTAGAATCGCAATTTACTGCAAAAATTGAACAAGCTCTTGTTGTGAATCTCATATGGGAAAATAAGAGCATTATTTGTTAACTGGAACAGAATAATTGACTTTTTGAAAAGTTGAATTCAATTGCTTTTTACCTTCTATAATGCTGTAATTGATTGAACGAGATGTTGTTATTTATTTTATTTTATTTTGTACATCTCCAATTGTCTTCCTACACAATCTATACAACAAATTGGATGGAAATATCTACTTTTAAGAAATAAATATTTTAACTTGTTTAAAATTTCTAATTTTTTAAGCTTATAGGAATAGCACAAGTCGATTAATCGAATAGAAATCTTTCACCAAGTCGGAATGACTCTGGCATGGTACTAGCTTCGATTTAAAACCAGCACCATGCCAGAGTCACACCGGATTTGTGCCAGATTTCTGATCGATTAACCGACTTGTGATTTTCGAGCTAATTTAAATTTTAAAGCAGAAGTTGAGATTTTATCTGAAAATCCTTGCAATTTAAAGAGTTGTTTCCTCAAAGGACATTAGGTTTGACCCCTTTCCTTAGTTACGTCATTACAATTTTGAGTATAAAACAAGACTTAATGAAATTCTTAGGAAATATTTTTATAGGTATAGAATGAAAAATACGTCAATTACTCTAACAAGCAACATATTACATCTCAGAGGATTTATTTCAGCAGAAATTGAAAGTATATTAAATTTTCTACTGGGAATTCTTTATTGATGACTTTATTGTGTATCCAATAAAAATACTTGTGTATGACAAATAAATTGAAAAATCTTCTCAGTAGCTTTAAAACTCTTTGAATTTTATGGAACAAATATTGAAAGCCTTACTTATATCATTTGAACATTTCAATTTTAATTCCATCGCACATCGTAAATACTGCATTTTATGTCTTCACATTTACCTTCAATTTAGGTTTATTTTAGAAAAGCTTACGATCTAGATTTTCATATTATTAAAATCCTTTGCTACAAAGCACTTGTTGCAACAATCTTACTTCCATAAAATTAATTTTGATTCAAATTTTTTCTTCTGTTCCTTCAAGCTGAACATGAAAGCGTTTTTCATCATGTAATTAAAATTTCTCTCTTTACATTCAATTTAATGCTGAAAAGCTGAGAAATTACTTTTTAATTTATTCTCCTTCATAATGTGTAATAAATATGAGCAGTCAAAGAAATGAAAATATTTTTATGTTATCACATTGGGAGTTCAAGAAGCTCATTAAAAGCTTTTTAATTGGCGTGAAGTTAATGTTTGAATACATTATGAGGTTGATGTTGCTTCATGTGTGCTATGTCTTTATGGACTCAAAATGAAGTTGTTTCTATTGAAGCAAGTTACTTAAGAGAATTTAAAGACTCGTTGCCTAATGACTACTTACATAGAGTATCAGGAGAGGATTTAGAAGTTCTTTAAGATCTTGTCAGGAGATTCTTCAATTATTTCCAAATTTATTTATTTTCATGAAAATTGTGGAAATGTTCAAAACAAGGTTGCGATACAGGGACCTGTGTACAGGTGAGAACTGTACAATTTTTTGATAATTTATAAGGTTTTTCAAACAAAACTCTACAAATTCTATCAAAACCTCACAAATTATCGAGGAATTGTACGGTTCTCACCTTTGCACAAGTCCCTGTATTGCAGCCCTGGTTTAAATCAAGGGCGCGGAACTATTAAATATAATTTTGAATATTTTTGATCTTTTTGAACATTTTTGATCATTTCATTTGCGGAACTGGTTCAAATTGATCAAAAATACGGTTTTTACTCTTAAGAACGGAAAAATTAAATTTCATGTAATCAAAAATGGTCTAAAATGATCAAAAATAATCAAAAATGATGAAAAATAAACAATAATGAATTAAAACGATCAAAATCCAATTAATCAATTCCGCTACCTTGATTTACACTAACGTCGCAATCACAATAGTCTCATTTTATAGCAGTTAAAGAAGATGATTTCCTTAAAAGCCTTAAATTTTTGATAACCTTTCTTTCTTCAACAAAAATCTCATTTCCACGAACAATACAAAGACTAATTCGCAAAGCGTGCAAGAGATTTTCTTTTTCTGCTTAATATGATCAAAGAAAAAAGTATTTCCTCACTTGAGCAATTTCACTAGTCAAAAAGAAATCAAATGAATAGGTTTCAATGCTCTTGTTAAAAAATTCAAAATATTTCCCAAGCACTCAGTCGACACTTTATATTAATTTAATTATAAGAAGGTCATTTTGCATTCATTTGTAAGAGGAAATGATGAAAATGTTTTCGCTGCTAATGAAAAGTACCTCTTAAGCTGCTTAATCCAATTTGCAGCTGAGAGCATTTCTGTGCTACTAACATTCCATCCATTTTACAGGCGTATATTTATGTGAAGATAATGAGAAAAGAAACGACAAGATGGAAAAAAGTCTCTTATTTCAAGACAAAATAAATTAACACGCCCATCTAAGGCTTGATCGCATGGTAGAAATCTCCTTCGTAGAATTAAGGGCAACAAAAAAATTTTAATTGCATTTTTTTCCTTCTTTTTCTTTTTTTTTTTCATATCGCAAATCACACAAAAAAATATACAAATAAAATTTATTTCTCATAACAAAGCTGTCAGTGTCAAATGCAAGCCATGTTACACTCCGTAATGTGGATTTTAATCTCAACGGAAACGTCTCATGCGAAGTGACGACAGAGTCTCCAAGTTTCTATACAGCAACAGCCACGAGCGTTTTGCAAGTTGTGGGTGAGTATTTTTTATTATATTATGATCCATTTTACTTGTTAGTGAACTTCCTGCGAAAGATTTTGTTGGAACTGTTATGATTTAAATCTCGAGCGACACAAACGCTGTATTTTGATTCCATTTAGAGTTTGGAATTCTTTGTCAATGTTGTGCTGCTCAAGGATTTAGAATCTTTTATATTCTGTTCTTCACTAATGCGCTTCCATCAACCTGAAATTGCTTTCCTTACTTGTCCTTATTCGATTTTGAAAAGGCAAAAAGCTTGTACAAAAAAAAAGTGATATTAAAAAAATGTTATTAAATGTTAATATTCCGGTATGTATAAATGTTCTGCTGCCGCTGCTATTACAACTTGCTTTCACATATATACGTATAATTTTATTCCATTGAAAATGACATTAGATTCAAAAATAGAATAAAGAAGTATAGCATAAAATCATTTACCCTCAAGTATTACTCCGGATGTATTCATTGTTGATGCAGCATCATGCCAGAATTCCTTTTCCTTTTATGAACTTTTCTCTTCTTTGTTTTTTTGGATTCGCTCAGAATGTTTCACTTGATGATGATGATGATTTTCTTTTACCTTGCGGTTATTTGAATGTTTTTATTCTCATAATAATAATGGTCGTTGCTGATCCAGTATATACATTTAAAAAATAAAATATAAAATGTAAAGAATTGTTGGGAAGGAAGAGCTTGGTGCAAAAAATTCTAGTGATTTTTCAAGCATTACAATTTCGGGTGCCTGAAGCAACACATGGTTTTTTATTGCAAGGATGAGGCACTTGACTTTTTGATGTGAATTATGGCGGGTAATCAAACATGTTTTAATGTGTTGAGTACTTTTTGAAACATACAATATGCTGCAGGGATGTTTGTGATACTCAGTGGTTCCCAAACTGTGTGTCACGATACACTAGTGTTCCGGCAAAAGAATCACAGTGCCAAATTTTCAAAATGCTCTCTAGTGTACAGGGTCAGTATATACAATCTAGCTTTTAAGTTTCTACTTTCAACTTCACTACAAATAAAGCAATTTATGCTCTAAAATTAACATTCCTGATCCTATCTAGTCTGTAATAGCTGAATTTTTTTACTACAACTAAAGCGACAGCTCTCTATCCATTATATTCCTATATTACCGTAATTTTTCAGGCGAGATGAAAATAAATTGATATGAGAAGCCACCAAGCGTGATCATGGGAATATCCAAGTGTTCAACGGATGCTACAAAAAATGTTTTAAAACAAGTTCGCGCACAAGAAGAGGTGTTAGATTTATATTGAAATGTTTTGCTTGATGGCACTGAAAGCTTTTTAATCTAGATTTTGCATCTTAAATGGTCAAAATGATGAAAATCTGTTTAATTAATTAAAGAAGTCACTTAATAGAGCAGTGAAGTATTTAAGCATAAAATGAGCTCTCGGTATAGATTATTAGATTTCATAATTAAGAAAACATTTCATCTTGGGTTGCTTGAAATTACTAATTGGGTGCTTGAAAGTTAAACAATTCTAATACTCAATGGAGCAATTTAAATCCAATGAACTAGCAATTAAAAAGCTTCATTATGATGGTCAATTATATTGTCTGATTCCATCAAGCATCTTATCGATAATTTTAAGTGGTTTTCAATGACTTATTAGCATAATGTGGGTTTTATATACTTAAAAGTTCACTGTCCCATGACAATAGCTTTACTTGACTAATTGTTATCCTAAAATTCATTAAATAGCGATTGATTCTAAGTTTACTATCCATTTGACTGCCATCTAGACATCATTTCAATGTGTTCCGTTCGGAAACAAATTCAAACATGACACGACTGCCTGCTGCCACGTAGTGTTATTGTCTGAATGATATATGGAATAAAGTTAATGCCTATGTAATCTTATGTAATCGTTAAAAAAAGGAATCTTTAAGATTAAGTTCAATTTGAATGTAATTCCTTTGATATAAAATATTATAAAAGCTGACATCGAAGGATTTACATCGTCATGACTAAAATAAAAAAAATTTTGTGCTCAATGAATTTATTTCACTTTGTGTTTTGAAAGCTTGTGGAAGGAACATAGGAGTGATGGGAAGTAAAAGCTAATAGCATCATCTGTCTTGTATTTTCAACACGTATACATGATGGAATTATGCTGCAAAAACATAAAATGGATTTTTCTGATGAGCTTTTCAATTTTGTTTAATCAAGTGCTTACGAGAAGCATTGGGATATCCTTCAAGTGGACAATAATTCATCGTCTGTTTGAATTAAACTCTAAAAAAGCTTTCAAAAATTTTCAATTTAGTTCTTCTCCCCAAAATATAAGAATCGCTTCATTATCTGATCATCTTTCAATATGCAGCCACCCTCATTCGTTTAGTTTCAAACATAAAGCAAGGCAAATTGAAAGTTGAAAATGCTGCAATCAGCTGATTTTATGGTTTTTTATAAACATTAACTGTTATAGCTTCTACAAAAGCATTTTAACTGGATTGAGAATGTTATAGAACTTTTACGAGCTTCTTTAATGTACTCACGATCTCGTTGAAGTTTTTTGGAAGCGAAATTTTCAATGCTGCATGCATGATGCTTGATTTTGTTTGACAGAATGGCTCAAATGAAGTATACGCTGTAGAAATCGAGTGGTCTTAAAAGTTTTATGAATAAAGAGCGTTATGAACATTATAAACAGCATATAGTGTTTAAATCAAGAGCTAAATGACATCCATAAAACTAGATTTTTGACAAGGGCGTGGAACTAATCAAAAATAATCAAAATGAGACTCACTTACTACTTACTTCGCTGTTCGCTGGTCGTACAGATCAATTGTCATCCATGACCTCCCTTAGATGACGCCTATAACTAGTTCTATCGCTGGCTACCGTCTGCCAATTTCCAATACCAAGCGCTATACTGTCTCTATCAACAGCTTTCTTCCACGAGTTCTTTGACCGCCCATGTGATCTCTTGCCATCTACGAAGTCAGATTTCAAGACCTTATTCAATGAAGCTTCCACAGGTCTCCTTATAATATGTCCAGCCCATCGGAGTCTGTTTACTTTAATCCTTTTCAATATATCTGCTTCCTTAAAAAGCTGATAAACTTCTGCGTTGCTCCTAAATTTGAAAAGGTCTCCTTCTTTCTTTGGTCCAAAAATGACTCTTAGCATCTTTCTCTCGAAAACATCAATTGCGTGCTCGTCTGCTGCGGTCATATTCCATGACTCTGAGTCATTCCCAAACCCTTGATTCTCAACTTTTCCTTATAATAGAGAGTCATCACACAGCTGAAGCCCCCTCCTCGCATACTGGACGTCATTTTTAAAATTCTTAATAGTTAATCCACATCTAATAGCTTCTTTAACTTGTTGAAAAGATTACCGTTTAGGAAATATTGAAGATTGAAAAAAAGAAACAATTGAAAAAGTTGTTACAAAGCTACATAAAGGACTCTTCCATCCAATTTTATGTTATTGAAAATTTAAAATTGAAAAGAGAATTTTTTTTTGTTTTCCAAAATGGACAAAAAATGAAACTGCACTTAATCCTATATACCCCAAAAAAACTGTATTGCATAATAAATAAATGCACTGCTGTAGAAAATACCTTCAATGCAACTGTTTTTGTGTTTATTTTCAAAGCTCTCATAGCTTTTTATTGTGCTCTGCATAAACACATACATTCAGACATACAAAGAAATGAGAAGATGGAGAAGAAAATTTGAAATTCTAATGTCTTAAGCATAAAATGCATCTTAATTTTTCAAAGATACGCTTCGGGATATTTTACGAAGATGCTTTTCTTGTTTCTTTATGCTTTTCTTATTTCAAAATGTTAAATTGATTTTCTAAAAATTTTCAAGTGCATAGGTGCATGCATATAAGATGAAAATCTGCACTTTGAAGTCTTTTTTCACAATAATGATAATTGCTCCTTCACTGTAGAGAATTTCATCTAAAGTAGAGCAGCTTTTATGACAAAGTTTTAACTGTGGAAGTTCGGAAGTTCCTTAAAACTTCCGAATTTCTATTGAATGCCTTAAAAAATGTCCAGAAACTTTATTGAAAATAAAATCCAGAATAAATGTCCTCAATCTAATCTGAAGGCATTTAAAACCTCAATTCTATAGTCATGTGTATGTTATCGCCAGCAAGAATAAATAAAAGTATAAAGGGTGGGAGAAAAAACTTGCACATTGCAAAGGAAACTGACAATCCGAACAAAATATTTTCACAGACATTTGACAACTTGAAATATTTCTCATGAAAATTCATATTTATTCTCATTCATAGTTGTGCAAAATGTGTTGCTTCGCACAGCTTGACTCGATTGATGCCTCATGAAATTAAATTGTGATCTTTCTGGGAAAATATTCATAGCTATGGATCTGAAAATTGATGAATAATAATCTCCACAGAAGTTTCCATAATATTGACCAAAGATATTGATAAAGTTAATTCCATTCCATGGCATTTATGTCCATGTGTATGAATTTCACAATCCAATGTAGTTTTAATCCAAATGTCCACTCGTATTTCTCTCAATATCCAGTGTTTATTATAGTACAGAAGAATACGAGTGGGTGAATGTGATGCAAGCTAAGCGTACACAAAAGATGTGGAAAAAAAAATTCACAGAGGAAATTGCTCATGCTGCTTGTGATACAGTTGAACCTCTACAAAGATTTATTGAAGTTTAAAGCAGCAAAGAAATGAATTTAAGAATTTCAAATCTCTACAACCTAACCGCTAGTAAACTTTCAAAGTAATCAGGCTCCAGCATAATAAAAGTTTTACAGAACTAAAATTTGTTTGTTTCAAAAGATTTACAAAACAATACTAACTAGGTGTAGTATATCAAACAATTTTCAGGTTCCAAAATTCTCACGAATTCAATGATAAACTAACCTATCAATTTACATAGAGCAAGGTCTGAATATAAAATAGAAATTTTCATCTTAATATTGATTCATGCAATTTATTATGTTTGAGTATTAAACTTTATTGAATGTTATGTTCAGAACTTAAACTACAAGTTTCTATTGTCATGAATTGTGAAACGGAGAAAATAGAAAGAATATAAAAAGCTTTTATCATTCTTCATTGCACAATTGTTTTGTTCATTCAAAATCCCCCACACTCCAACTTCTTTCTCATGTCTACATATTTCTTTCACTATGTTGGAAAATATGTTTCGTGAAGTTATTATTAGAAGATTATTTGCCACAAGAAGATGATGTGCAAAAGGATTCGCTCTTTCTTGCTTTCAATTTATCACACAGAGAATGTCTTCTAGACGACGTGAGATGAATTGAAATTACATGCAAATGCTTCTTCTCTTTTTTGTGCACACAAAAATTGTACTTTCTCTCGTTGAATAGAATAAAAAATTGTTTTTTTTTTCATACATAAGTTGAAAGGAAGGAGCATAGATCTAAGTAGAGGAGGTTTTATTAAATTACCCAAACGATGAAAAAATTCTTTGACATTTTTTTTTTCGAGGCACTTCTTGTGACAAATATGAGGCAATTAGCTTTATTTTGTCGGGTCATGTACATTGGGAGCTTATGAGCTATGATGATTTAAAGCTTCTTTTCAATTAGCTTGTTTAAAAAGTAAAACTTTAGAGGCTCGAGGATGAAGTGTTAAGTTTCTAGTTGCAAATGATACAAGATGTTGCAATCGATTTGCAGGATTATGATGCATTAGACTGTTTCTTTCAGATTTTAGCTTTATCTTAAGCGGTGAAATGGCATCAGTGACCTAAATGGTAGAGCTTTCGCCTTCCGTGCCAAAGGTCTTGGGTTCAATTCCAGGTCATGTCTAATTTTCGAAGCTCTTATTCCATTTCACCGTTCTAGTTATGAAGCTCGGTTCGTGTGTTGGGTGTAGTATTGATGTCTTTAGCACAGAATGTGCCTTCTTTGCTTGGTATACAAGGATATACTAGCATCTGGATGACTTCCTTACGGCATCTTGCGCACACGAATTGTGACTAGGTACATTGCAGGGTACATCAGGTCTTATAACGTACTCGTGTCTTTGCAATGTACAGAGCTTACAAGTGGTTTGGATCTTACTTTAAACTGGAGGTCTAAAGCAGAGGGCGAAGTCGACTCGAAATTTGTATGAAGTCGAGTGAACTCAAGTCGACTTTTCCATTCAAAATCCGAGTCGACTTCGCCCTCTGGTCTAAAGGGTATGGTACAATAGCAATTAATAATAATAATAACACATTATTATTATTAATTACTTAATTAATAAGCTTTATCTTAACAAGCAAATCGATCCATATCAACTGCAAGGTCAGGAATTGATTAATCAGATTTTAAACATTTTCCAAACTCTTAATCAAGTGCCTTTCATACTTGTTTCTGTATGTATCTTTTCTATTTGAGATTTTTTTTATTTATCTCGAATGATACGGAATGTTAAAGCTGTCGTCTTTTAGGAATTTCAAATCAATGCTGGTGAGCAGCACAAAGAAGTCAAAGATTAGAAAAAAAAATATCGAAATTCTTGACATGCCAAAAAGTTTAATCATCAAATTCTTCAGCATTAATATTATATTGGTATTCATAAATCAAATTTTAAGGGTAAGAAATGAAGAACTTGTGGGTTTTAGATTTTTTTTACAATTGTTTGGTTATTTTTATGGAAATAAATTCAATAGGTAATTAGAGACGCCCTTGGCATGAAAAAAAATCTACTTCATCCTTTTTCTATTGAATCATTAGAATGTTTTTCATCAATAAATTCAATTAGAAAAAATCTTATACCTTTTTTCAGACTTTTGCTCTACCTCCACATTCAACTTTCTATAAAAAAAAATATGTCATCAAATATTCATGACACCTTTCATTAGTCTATGAGATATTTTTAAAAAATATTTCCTTGATGTACAAAAAAAAGGAAAGTTTTGAGCATATTTAATGAAAATCCTACAACTTTTTGAAAGATGCTTAATTTACCTTTTGCCTGTCGCTCTCGTACACAGATTATATTTGTGCTCAAATTTCTAATATATTGAAGTTACTCAAAAGATTTATTTTTAGATTCAATGAAGGACATCTTTACAAATTTCATGAAAAAGCTTAACTTAGAAACTTGAAAAATCAAAAATACTAGCAAGTTGACGATTAATTGCTTCCATATAATTTGAACAAGTGAAACATCCACAAATTTGTTTTCATTTCATCATCTATTTTAATTAATATTTTTTTCAGTTCCTTAAAAACACAAAATTTTCTTTCTCTCGACACAAAAGAAGAAGCGATTCTCTTTCGTTCGTTAATAAGCCATAAAGTGTAAAAAGATTTGGTTTTTATGCTGATTCATCATTCTCTCTTCGACACTTGTCTTCTTCGTTTTTAATTTAATTTTCTATCAAACTTGGGCAATCATCTTCAAGAAAATTTCTTGGATACACAAAACCACCTTGCTGAAATGATCGATGAGTTATGAATTTGAGGATTTTATCAATGCGTTCATCACTAAGTCGTGCTCCGATGCCAGGTAATTTTGGTATTTTACATGTAAATGGTTGACGCTGCTCGATGAACGTTGCTGATTTTCGTTGTCCACTTTGCATACGACTCTCATGTATACGCTCTTGATATGACATCGTTTGCGTGTCCTTTTCACGTGTCACATTAATATTCTCTTTCATTTTGACTGTCTCGGCATTACTGAGTGACGACATGGAAGCATTTGATGATGCAGCATCAGATATATCAGATATATCACTTTGTGTTTTATCAACAAGACCAAGTATCATACGCTCGGATACTTTTGCATCGAGTAGCTTATTATCGACCTCAATTCCACTTTCACCAAATATTGAAACAACATTTTTTCCATCAGTAGTAACATTTTCATTACTTTTCACTGCTTCCGTTTCCTTTCGCTTATGCTTTTTTCCAGCACTTAATGATGTTGATGGTAAAATTAAATTCTCTGCTTCCGCATCCCCATCAACATCCTTTTGACGTTGCTTCATATAATGCTCGCGTGATGATTCTTGTATAAAGTAATTATATAGTTCATTAAGATCATTAAAAATAAGTCCATTCTCCATAGCACGATCAATAAACTTCTTCAGGCGTTCATAGTCAACAGTCTCCAGTTGCTTCTTCTCATGCTGTGAACTAAGCACTGATGCTATCGAGGATGTTTCCCGGATAATACATTCACCACATTCTATTGCTTCACTTAAATTGCAAATTGTATCAACAAGTACTTTATGCTCATTCGACGGCGAGCTTGTTAGTTTACTTTCCTCTTGTGTTATAGAAACACCCGATGTTGATGATTGCACATCGTCAAAAAACGATGTGGCTGATGTTGGAAGTTGTTTCTCTGTAACGACAGCCATCTCGGACATGTTTAAACTCTCATCTGTACTCTCAACATTATCATCATCGTCCAGTGTCATGTCCGATGAGATAGAAATTTGTTCAATAAAATTATACGACTTTTTGTAGCAATTATGAGATGTAAAATTATGAAGCCAGTTCCATGGTGGACCAATATCTCTCATCAGTCCGCAACACTCACGTTCCAATGCATTTTTTGCCTCATCCTCTAATGATTGTGCTGCATTTTGCCGCATTTCATTGACTTTTGCATCACGTTTCGAAATTTTTTCATAATCATCGTCATCCTCATCGTCACATTTTAGTTGCTTAACAATCATAATAACATCATTAAAGCTATTTGTGCCTTTAATGACATTCATTGGATCTTTGTATTCACCCGTTAAACGAAAATCACTGCCGCAACGTAATGTTGATGGAATTGAGCATAAATTGCAAAGTTTATCGGAATTTAAGTTATCTTTTTCGTGTACTGCCGGGGTAGATGGTTGAGATGATGCTCTTGCTGCTGCTGTTGTATCTTCCTCTTGTTGTGATCTAACCTGTAAGAAAGAAGAATGGAATTTTTATTATAACATGTTTTATAAAGAAAATAGGAGGAGCTGCAATGGAATTGCATTATAATGCAATATCAATATGCCATTTAGTACTGTTCTCTATGAACATTAAGGAATGAATGGCACTTTTAGTGCTCTTACCAAGCAGATGTTTAAAATTCCGATAGAAAAAGAGTCTAAGGATGTTATGCAAAAAAACAAGAGATTGGACACTGCAAACTGTCAGTGAGGACGATGAATCTCATTAGGTGCTGGTTTTAATCATTGGACTTTAAAAAAAATTTGACTGGAACTAAGGAAGCTGTCCTAAAATCTAGTTTCATCCTAGTTTGGAGATTTAACGACTTTCCCAACTTTTAACCTCAATTATGATGAATCTGTACTTATGTCATTTATTTTATGGAGAAATAAATTAAACCTATTTACGAACTAACGAAATTCTTTTTAAAAGTATTTTTTCCGTGTATACACAGCATATGATGAACGAGCACAAGAAAAATTCTCCGTATGATAAACAAATTTATCATGTAAAGCAGTAGGATGGGGGAAAAATAACTTTTCCATCACAAATTCATTTCTCATGATTTTATTTTTTTATATTCAGTCGAGAGAAAGATTGTGAAACAGAAGCATGCATGCACCATATGGAAGTTCATGTCATTTAAGTAACTGTATGACATCCACCTATGTATCTGCTTATCTTTCACAACTCATACATTTGTTTTCCTTTTCGATCACAACAGAGAAACAATATTCAGTGCTGTGTGCTGCACTTCTGTGTGAACTATCAAAGTGATAAAAATTCATGTTTTACATAATAATAGTAATCCTTTATTTGAATGCATGAAAAATGTCGGAACAAAAATAAAGTTTTTTTGATATTAACCTCGTCGGTTTTAAATCAAATTTTATACTGAGATATGATTAGTGATATGACATGATTTAGACTTTGAAAATTTGAGTTTCGGTCAAAAAAAAATTTTTTTAAAAAAGACCAATTAAAACAAAAAAAAAAAATAATAATAATATACATGTATTTACCGACGAGGCTTCGGTAATTTGTGTTTTACTCGAAAACTCAGTGAATCATAGCTGTATTGGCCAAGTGCTGAGAGTAAGTCATTTGAGTGGTGCGAAACTTTTGTATAGAAATTGTCAGTTAAACGGGATATGAAATTTGACATTAATGGGATTTCAGCTAACCTGTGAATTTCGCTTATTGTTTTAAAGTCAGACCAATTGACATTGGTGTTTTACATTACCTTCTGTTCGTTCTCAATACGATACTTCCAATAATCGATAACTGCATTTCGAAATGAAGTCGATGACAATTTCTGTGGTATTTGTGGCATTTTTAATTCATCATCCAATGCATTTCCAGCTCTGTGAACGAAACAATGGAGCTGAATTAAAGTTCATTAAACAGAAACTCATCAAGAAAATTACTTACAGCACTTTACGACCATCAAAGTATGTTTGCTCTTCAGAACAATCCATTTCAGCGAGATATTTAAAGCATTCACGTATACTCCATAATGGAACTGGAGATGAACCGCCTTCGGGCTCATCCGTTAATAGTTCAAAGAGCATCATTAATGTCTCTTGAAAGCTCTGCGAACGAGAAATTCATTTTCTTATTTAATGAGATGATTCGCATTTTATTTTAATGATATTTGCAGCTTTGGTAGCTGTTGGGTATAGGAGGTATTAATATTGTATGCAGGGTTTTATAAAAAATTCATAAACACATCTCTCAGAGTGCTTAATGTCAAGACTAAGCCATCATCGAAAACTAGTCTGATTTTGACTTTTTTTTTTTTGGGACCCTATGTCTTCATGTAGCTTAATTTGATAAAATCCTAGACTTTAATTAATTTTCATATGAATATCACAAAATGCGAACAAAAATTTAAGGTCAATAAGGACAATTCATCTTTTAAGTTTATCATTTCATCGTCATCATCATTGTCACTAGTAGCGATGAGTAAATTTTTTCAATGGAAATGAAAATGAAAATTTATGCGATGATGAAATAGATTAAGGGCAATTTAAATTAAAAAATATAAAGCATATCGAATGAAAGGAAATGAAAATGAATGTAAACGTAAATTTAGTCATATAGAGCTTACCTGATTAATTGATCCAACCATCACAGACATCAATTTGAGCCAATGTACCTGAGGCCAATAAAGCATTCGGGTCAGGGACAAAAATTTCAGCATTTCATCCTTTTTTTTATCACATGATGAGGAAGGTGTAGAAGGTTGTTTTACGACATAAGATGAAAATGAAGAAATTAAAGTAGATGCTTTAATGGAGATAACGATAAATCGTTTAGATGTAAGAAACACTTACCTCCGGCAAACATAATTCATTCCAACGATGATCTAAAATGTCTCGTTGCACATAAAATCCTTTCCCAACCTGTCAATTGTCATTGAATGTAAAAAAAAGTATAGTTACGAGTAAATATGATACATGCAAGCAATATGAATCTCAATTAATTTTGAAGACATGATATTTATACCATGTTTTTTGAGTACAGCACATAAAGTGATATGGTTTGTTGGTTTCAAGTACATTTTAATTTAGAAAATGTTTAGAATTGTTTACAATTTGTCCTTGAATACCTTTTTGTGTTATCACAAGTAAGTCAGAAAATCGTAATGAAATTGTTCTCAGTAAAAGTGTTTCTATTTTTATATTAATCATGTTTCCTAGTGAAGTTTCATACTTGTTACCATGTGTACATTTCGTAGGTGTTTTGTAAAAGACATCACATATGTAGCATGATGATAAAAAGGGGATAGAAATGTGAAATATAACACTTCTATTGCTAATGCTGATGTTGCTATAGTACCGAATACATTTCATAAAAGGACCATCACACTTATATACGTATATACGTTCCATTCATCTCATCTCAGTTATTATAAATATAGCGTACCTGATTCAACAGAACTTTTATGTATCCTTTCGTCAGATATCCAAGCATACTCTCTTGTTCATAACGAAGCTTTACTGGTGGCATTATATCCATTGATAAGCATCGAAAATAGGCAGCTGACCATCGTAATAAATCGTACGGCTGAGTTTTCAGTGCAGCTTTAAAAAAGTAAGAAATGAGAGTTAGGAATTTATGCATGATTTGAGTTTAAAAGCGCAAGTGTTAAGGATAGTCCAACACCCATTATGTCTAATAAACAAAAAGATCCCAGACTAGCAACGCTTAGCTTTTTTTCATCATGATGAAAGGCAAAAAATCATAAATTTTCATTACTAAAAGCGGAGATACAGAATGGACAATGAGCGAATGGATGTATGAGAAAGGATTTTTCTCACGGAAGAAAAACACATATACGTATTTTGCTTGTCATTTCGTCATCATCATGTCCTAATTTTTGTTGCTTTCATTTCTCGACATTTGATTTTTTTTACATCCAATGAATGCTGAAATGATAGCTTTTAGAAAGGGAATACAAAATGATTTATTGAGACAGCGAAGTTTTGTTGATTTTATCGATTGAGCATATTTTAGACATGATCTACAATCATGGTTCGCTTGATGCAATTTTCTACGAAATCTAATGATGTAACTTGTTGGAAACAGCATAGCTAATGCAGACGTAGTCTCGCTAATTCTCTTTGTCATTTTATATTGAGGTTCCTTTTTTGTGCTTGAATGCATTCCACTTTTCAAATAGAATTGGTCAGAGCCATGAATTTAACATAAACCATGTTGCTAGTTCTCATACATATATTGACTGACTTGACGTACAAATAAAAAAAAGTTTATTTCAAAAAAATCCTTCCAATTCATTTTTTAAGCATTCATCATTCGCTCAATTTCTCTCCAGAGGATTAATTCATAATGAAAAACTTTTTTATTTGCAATATTTTTATAGCCTTAAATATTTGCATAATAATCAATTCCAAAGCAGATACATGTGCATTGGTGATATAGTTTTCATTAAATGTCTGTCAATTATGTGTAAGGCATATATTTAAGGATAATTTATAGATTGAAATCGACTAGGCTCAAATAGACTCGAATAGGCTCGAATAGACTTAAATAGGTTCGAATAGGCTCGAGCAGACTCGAATAGACTCGACTAGACTCGACTAGACTTGAATAGAATTAAATATACTCGATTATACTCGACAAGACTGGACTAGACGCAACCAGGCTCAACTAGACTCAAATAGACTCGAATAGGCTCAACTAGACTCGAATAGACTTGAATCGACTCGAATAGGCTCGACTAGACTCGAATAGACTCGAATAGATTTGAAAAGACTTGAATATACTCGATTTTACTCGACAAGACTGGACTAGACTCAACTAGACTCAACTAGGCTCAACTAGACTCGAATAGACTCGATTATACTCTACAAGACTGGACTAGACTGGACCTGACTCGAATTGACTCGACTAAACTCGACTAGACTTGAATTGACTCTGTTATTAGCTCATGCAAAAATCACAAAACCTCTCCCTTAGAAAGCAAACTTAATATATGAATGACTTGTTATTAATAAAAAGAAGCATTTAATGCATTCTTAAAAATAAAATTTTCAACCCCATTCAAACCAGTCAACAGTCGATATTCTAGTATTTGCATGCATTTATAGGCAAATTCAAAAGAGAAAACTTTTTATTTTCAATGTATTGTTGCAATCATAATACAGAATGAGAATATAAAAAAATTGGGGAATAAAAAAAATTTTCACATACCTTTCGCATATGTTTTCAATAAATTTGAAATTTTTTCTGGAATAACTATTTGTTCAGAACAATACATTTTGGACAAAACCATTTTCAGCACTCAAAGTTCTTTTTTTATCTTCCTTCCTTGTTCCTCGTTCTCCGATTTTTTTTGTGTTTCAATGATTTACGGTTGTTTGAGGCGAAAGACGTTATTTCTTCTGTGCATACACGAAGCAAGTAGCTCAACCGCACAGTTTGACAGAGGAAAATAGTGTTTGTGGAATCGACAGAAAAAGAGCTTTTAATAAATTTTCCTCTTCTTTCTTTTTGTGTGCTCTTCCTTGCAGTATGTAAACTTTGTTTTTTCAAGTGTAAAGCAAAACTTCCCTGTAGCTACCTTAAAATACAGGAGCACAAAAACAAACAAAATTATCACTTAAAAGAAAAAATAAAATTAAAATGAAAAAAATATTCCTATGATTTTTGTTATTTTTTCTTTCACTTAAAAAAGAGAGCTTATTTCCAGCTCAGAGCATTTAGAAAAGCTCAACTGAAAAATAAACTTTCTCTATGAATTTTTTAAAAAGTTTACTTAAAATATTAGGTATTGTGTATTTTATAAAAAGTTTCAAAGTTCAAAAAATGCAAACTCATAAAAATAGGAGATGCGTTGTCAAGACTAAGGGTTTGGAACTGATAAATCACGTTTTGATCATTTTTGATCAAGACCGGTAACTTGAGTGATTCCAGACACATTGCTTTTTAATGACGTGAGTCATTAATATATATAATGCTGGATTTTATTTTATTATATTCACACCGTTTTCACGTGTGAATCTATTGGTTTTGTTCAGATTGAAAAATCAGTTTTTAGAATTTTGTGAGGATATGGAGCAAGATAGCTTAAAATGTTCAGAGATGAAAAGTTTGTGCCTTGAATTTCACATCTTTTGCAAAAAAACAGATTTCAAATTGATTGCGGCATTGCTGAGAAAATCGCAAAATATGCTTTCTGTAAGCAAACAAGCAAGTTAATCAGCAAGAAATCTCAATAACGAGACATCGTAGAGACTTCTAGTTTTTTACATTTGATCCGTGCTGCTCTATAGAATGTATTGTTTTTGGGCAAGGTAGGAACAGCCGTTGCTTCAGAAAAAGCAAAAAACTTTCCTTTCTTACGAATTTTTCAAATTAAAGGTTCACTGTGATTTTTTTTTATTTTAAATTAAACTTTTGATGAAAAAAATTTTTTTGAGCAAAGAACCAAGTAGGAAATACATTTTCAATTTTGGACTAGGGGCGACCCTAGTCAAAATCAATTTTGTCACTTTTTTCTTCGAGGGTTTATCCAAATGGATTAAAACTTTGCATAAATATTTCAGTGCTTAAAACAAATACAAATAAAACATCCTAAAATTTTTTTGAGCAAAGAACCAAGTAGGGAATACATTTTCAATTTTGGACTAGGGGCGACCCTAGTCAAAATCAATTTTGTCACTTTTTTCTTCGAGGGTTTATCCAAATGGATTGAAACTTTGCATAAATATTTCAGTGCTTAAAACAAATACAAATAAAACATCCTAAAATTTTTTGAGCAAAGAACCAAGTAGGAAATACATTTTCAATTTTGGACTAGGGGCGACCCTAGTCAAAATCAATTTTGTCACTTTTTTCTTCGAGGGTTTATCCAAATGGATTGAAACTTTGTATAAATATTTTAGTGCTTAAAACAAATACAAATAAACATCTTAAAATTTTATTGAGCAAAGAACCAAGTAGGAAATACATTTTCAATTTTGGACTAGGAGCGACCCTAGTCAAAATCAATTTTGTCACTTTTTTCTTCGAGGGTTTATCCAAATGGATTGAAACTTTGCATAAATATTCCAGTGCTTAAAACAAATACAAATAAAACATCCTAAAATTTTTTGAGCAAAGAACCAAGTAGGAAATACATTTTCAGTTTTGGACTAGGGGCGACCCTAGTCAAAATCAATTTTGTCACTTTTTTCTTCGAGGGTTTATCCAAATGGATTGAAACTTTGCATAAATATGCTTGTGCTTAAAACAAATACAAATAAACATCCTAAAATTTTTTTGAGCAAAGAACCAAGTAGGAAATACATTTTCAATTTTGGACTAGGGGCGACCCTAGTCAAAATCAATTTTGTCACTTTTTTCTTCGAGGGTTTATCCAAATGGATTGAAACTTTGCATAAATATTCTAGTGCTTAAAACAAATACAAATAAAACATCCTAAAATTTTTTTGAGCAAAGAACCAAGTAGGAAGTGACAAAATTGATTTTGACTAGGGTCGCCCCTACTCCAAAATTGAAAATGTATTTCCTTCTTGGTTCTTTGCTCAAAAAAATATTAGGATGTTTTATTTGTATTTGTTTTAAGCAATAGAATATTTATGCAAAGTTTTAATCCATATGGATAAACCCTCGATGAAAAAAAAGTGACAAAATTGATTTTGACTAGGATCGCCCCTAGTCCAAAATTGAAAATGTATTTCCTACTTGGTTCTTTGCTCAAAAAAATTTTAGGATGTTTTATTTGTATTTGTTTTAAGAAATAGAATATTTATGCAAAGTTTCAATCCATTTGGATAAACCCTCGATGAAAAAAAAGACAAAATTGATTTTGACTAGGGTCTCCCGTAGTCAAAAATTGAAAATTGATTTTCTTTGGTGTACATTGATCAAAAAAATTTTTTGGATGTTTTATTTGAATTGAAATAATTCTGACATAAATCACATACCAATATTACTTTTTGCAATGCATAGCTTAAAAAAAATCGAAATCTAAAATTTCGACTACCCCATCTGAATTTTGTTCATACTCTTCACTGTGGAAACCAAAAAAAAAATTCTTTATCTTAAAACACTTGACAAAATAGCGACATAATTCAGGATTAATTACTTTTTAATAATATTTTAACATTTACGAAAAAATGTGGTTCAAATAAGTGTGAAGTATGGCCGAGATTTGGACCAAAATCAGCTATACTGGTTCATAGTGTTCCCGACGGTGACAAAATTCACACTAAGTGTTTTTGAAGCTGACATAATTATGACATAAATTAGGTATAACTTTTGAACTGTGTCGATATGGGTCTCGGCCGTGCTTCACGCCCACCCTTCAAACTTATGCTGAGCAAATCTTGGTCTATCCATAAGACTTTTGATGGTACGGTGTGAATATATCCGCATTGGTTTTCTACCCGATACACTAGTTTTTTATTTTTTATTTATGCATTAGTCTATCTCACAAAACAATATTTGAGTCTAGCCCAGCAGAACTCTGGCATGGTGCTGGATTCAAGTTACGCTAGTTGGGTACCAGATTTCTATTTAATTAAACAACTTGTACTATTTGGAATAGCTTAAATTCTAGTGTGAATTGAGGCCTTAATCTAAGTCAGATAAGCCTTCAGCCTGCTCGTTAACCTGGATATCTATAGAAACCAGCTCCAAATACACCATTGAAAGTTATGATTAAATATTCTTCCCAGAATTTCATTTTAAATCCTTCATTCTTTATTTTCAATAAATCTGAACTTAACATCCCACCATAGAAAAAATTCTTTTGTACCATAAAGCTAAAGAAAAAATAAATCCAGAAAACACCCAATACACATATGTGTGGTTTACCGCAAATACCTATGGATTTTAATTCCATTTATTGCTAGCTATTGTGAGTCGCTATGTAGCCTGTCCATTTCATTATAAAACTGTAATAAATATTTACGACTATAATTCGAAATTTTTTTTATATCAGAACTGAATTTTTCAGATCAGATTTAGAGAAAAGTTTTTTAATATCAGTAGCTATGGATTTGTATCTTTTTATAGGATCTACAATATATGGCGTCGATGTCACATAAAAAAAAATTTTATCACATTCTTTTGGGTTTTCTTTTCTCATTTTCTCGATAAGATGCTTTTGGATTTATTTTTTATTTCTCTTAAAGACTTAAATGGACATTGAGAAATATGTTTTTAATCAATTCTATGTGTTATGTGGGGAAGCAAAGCTTTATTGTACACAATATGAGTTGGGATTATGTGGGATTTAATTAGAAAATAATGAACGGCTTAAAATCATAATCATAAGTGCAAGAGTCTTGGAATTAGAATCACGAATCAAAAATTAATGGATAACATTGGTGAAGTTTGGAGGCTACTGGACTGAAAACACAATAAATTAAGCTTCAAAATCCATTAATAGAGTTTAAACTTTTGATTTGAGCTCCACCTCTCGGCTACCAAATCAATCTATTCCCGTTTCTATCAAAAAATTCAGTACAAGATAGATCATTGAGCTCCAAGTCACAATTTTGAGCTCTTCCTCGAACAAATGCACAACATCAGAAAGACACAGCACTAAATGCAAACATTTGCATGAAAAATTTCAAATATTGGCATTAATATTGATTCCAATGCATTAGTTGAAATGGAAACTGTCTATTGCACACAATGTGCCGCACTCACAATCGATCCTTATCTATTTCCATCAAGTTTATTGAAGGGATATATCCCAAAAACTGAACTCTCTTGTGTATTTGAAACTTTAATCCTCACTCAATAGAACAGAAATAAAATTCTAAACGGAAATAGGATTAAATGCGTACGATTTGTGTGACACAATCGGATGACTTTTTTTTTGTTTTGTTGAAGATCCTTGAAAAACGTTTTACTTCGCCCGCTTGAAGTGAACTGAACTGCTGTTTCAAATTCAATATTGGAAATATTGTCGTCGTTATTGTTTCATCCAAAAAAAAAAAGGGGACCGAAATTGTTTGTTTATTATTTTAACGTTGCCATAGCGAAAAAAAACAAACTTCACCATGGCACTGCTCATCTTTGTGTGCTTTCCTGTCGTATTTCCTCTTTAACACACTTTCGTCTCACTGAATGAGAACAAGAAATTACAAATTAAATTCGCAACTGCCCACAATTTGCGGATACATCAACTTAAACTTCATAAAAATTCGAAATACTTTCAATAGTTGTACCTTCATCCATAAAACTTTCTGTTGGTGCACAACATTGTGCATGAAAAAATAGCAACTTTTCGTCGTCGTCGCTCTTTTGGCTGTGCAAAAATATCTTCGGAATAAATTTAATATTCAAATTTAAGGGTTTCGTTTCCAATGAATATGCATGCGATAGTGATGCAAAATTTATTCGACTGGAATTTTTATTACATCTTCATTTTTATGTATAAAATATACAAAAGGTCTTTTTTTTTGTTGTTGCTGAATATTATTACAGTTATTGAAGATTTTATAGATGTATTGTGACCTTGGAAATATTCATGTTAAGGTAAATTCTTTCTTTTTGATGAGCAAGTGGTGCGTCAATTTCAGTTATTTGAACAAGTCATGCATACTGTCGGTGATTGGGAAAGAGGTCGTTCACTTATAACGTCCAAGGGGGGGGGGGGGGGGGGGGTCAGCA